TATATTTCTTCTAAAGACTTTTTATCAAAAAAGAATGTAATAAAGTACTAACGCATTTTATATAATTATATCAATATTATACTAATTATAAAATTGGACGTATTCGTTTTTATTCAAATTGGTAAAAAAGTATTAAAATACTACAATATCGGTACTTCTTAAAATAACCGTTTTAATTTTCCGAATACTACTTTAGCCGACTTTGATAATTCAAATAATTTCTATTTCTTTCCCTTTAATAAATCTGTTAACGGAATTATATTTTTAAAATAGGATATTATAAACCGTTAATAAAATCCTATAAATCCTAAAAAAATTTAAATATTATAAATATTTTTCGGAGCTTCCTAATCCGTAGTTACTACGATCCTCTCCGAATTTATCGAAATACCCTCAAGCGAAACTACATAATTTAAAAATAAAACCCTCTTAATATAAAATTCACACTTATTTAAATTAATGTATAAATTACGCTTGTATAAATATTAAAAAACTTCCTTAATATATTTATAATAATCTTCTTTATTCTTACTACAAATTATAATGTTATCGAAATAAAGAATATACATAGTATTAATTAAATTTACTAGTATATTATTAATATATATTTAAAAAATAGTAAGAATATTAATTAATTTTATTAATATAATTAAGAATTTATAGTGCCCGTACTTTATATAAAACGCCGTCTTCTTTTTATTTCTTTATTTAATCCGAATATAATAATATACGTCCTTTAAATCTAATTTTATAACAATCTTTACTAACGATAACTGATCTAAAATCTTTTAAATAAAAAGTAATATTATACAATTCTTTTTTTTATTACTTTATTAAACATATAGTAATCGATATACAATTTCAATTTACTTCCTTTCTTTGGAATAAAAATAATAAGAGCTCTTACCAGGCTAATAAATAAATAAATCTATCCTTTATATAACGCCTCCGCTAATTACTCTTAAAATACTTCTAATTCTTTAATTTTAAACGTATAAATAGGGCTTTAAAGAATAACTTCTCCTTTAACTAAATCGATATAATATTTTAAATAATTATACTATAGTAGGAGTATAGCCAACGTTTCGAATTTTTATCGAAATTCTTTATACTCCGGAAGGATTATTAATTTAATAGCAATTATTTCCTCTTCTTTGGGTTCGGCGATAGGTAGTTTTGGAGTTATTAATTCTAATAAAAGTTCTAACGGTGGGTAAATTCTATTCAATATAACCCTAAAAATTTTAAAAAGTATATCCGGGGATATATTAAAGGATATAGGAATAAGTATATTAGAAGGAATATTAGAGGAATTTAGGAAATTTGGTAGGGTTAAAAATTCTATGTGTAAAGATAGAGGAATTTTGAAAGGGATAGTCGAATATAATAGGGGATTAAAATTATTAATAAACCCTAATATTTCTTTCAAGTTTAAAATAATGATTAAATTTTATTATAGATTATAAAAAAACGTTATAATTTCGTAAATATTTTTAATCGGCTCTTTATTCGTTTTTAAATTTTATATTTTAATTTAAAACCGGAATTTCTTCCAACGTTAATCGATTTTAAAATTATATTCGTATAACTAAAAATGATTAAAAATAATGTTTATACTAAGGGAATTAATAATTATAAATATAATACTTTTTTTTCTATTTACTACTATAAAAATCGTATATTTTAATAAGATAAGTAATCGAACTATATATAAGAACGGGTTAGAAAGAGAAATTAATAAAACGGTAATTTACTAGTTCTATTTTAACGTCCGACGAGAATAAATATTTTTTTAATAAAGTTTAATTCCGCGCTAGAATTTATTAAACTATAAATTTTCCGCTAATTTCTATATATTTTTTATTAATAATTTCGTATTCAAATACAATTATAATATACTTACGTTTCCCTAAGCCGAAATAATTACAATCCTTACTAATATTATCAGCTTAATATTCGCGCCTTAAATTAAGGCACTATAGGGAATAAAGTATTAATATAATATATAGCCTAATTTACTGCAATTATAATAAGTATGCTTAATATAAAAAACGCCGAGTATTTAAATTTACTATATTCGTAATAAATATCATATAATTTTACTACCTAGTATTAACTGTATATATATCCAAATTAACTGTAATAATAATAAATAATATTAAAATTAATAGAAACCGTAGGGAAAGGACGAAAGAAGCTACTAAGATTAGGACTAAATATAAGAATAGAAGTAAAAGTAAGAGTAAGAAGAAAAAAGGGAAAAAATAAATAAGAATACGATATTTAAAAGTATTAATATTATATTATTAATTCTAAAGTTTCTAAATTCTTTAATTATTCTATATATATTACTGCCTTAATTAATATATTAATACCGCTTACTAATAAAATACCGCTATATAAATAGGGACGTAAACGATTTATTTATTATAGGACGCGTAAATATTTTAATTATTCGTAGGATAAATTAAATTCTTTAGTATAAAAACGGTCATAAAATATATAAAGTTTTCTAATAAGAATATTATAAATAGGGTTATAATTAATTTTCTTCTTAAAGGCTATAATATACTTAATTTATATATTCTTAGAATTACTTTCGATATAGTTAATAGTAAAAAAAAGGGTATCTAAAGGTATTGAAAATAATAATCGTCGATATTAAAAATAAAATTATATAATTAGGAGTAATTTTCGCTAATAAATTTAAAAATATTAAACTTAGGATATTATTTAAATAAAATAGCAAATTACGTGGGCTAAGTAAATATAAGAATAGAAAGTATTATAATTTAGGGAATAATAACAGGAATAGAGGGGGTTAAGAGGTACGTTTGATTATAAAAAAGATAATCTTAATAATAGAATCCGAAAGGAATACGAAAATAATTATTAAATTAATTTTATTCTAATAAATCGACGAAATTATTCTAATTATAAAGAAATATATAAAATAAAAAGTAAACCAAAAGTAATTTAATAACCGTTATGCGGAATTTAAAAAGTTTTTACTTCTATACTATAATATTATTCTCTAAATAGTAGAAAGGATTACACAAAACATACAAGAGGGTAAAAGAATAATCGATATCCGAATTATCGTCGTCTACTTCTTTAATAATTAATTAATAATATTAGGATAAAAGGAAAAGCTATTACTAAAGGATATCGTTAATTATAATAAAAGGAGTAATAAATAATTCTTACGTACCGGAAATAGAGGGAAGGGTTTCTTTAACAATCTGAAAAATAAATCATCCACTATATATTTATATCCTATTAATAATAGCTCAACTCCCGCAAGAAGAGCTATTAATGTATTAAGATCGTAAAAAAAAGAATTTTAAATATTTACGGACAGCGCAAATATATAAAGGATATTAGAGTAAAGAGAAGATTAAAAATATATTAATAATTAACCCCAATAATTTTAGAGGCGAATTCGACCGGCTATTTATATTGTTGTAAACTCTATCCTATAGTAACTAAATCCGCGATAGCTCCGATCCGTTCCGACACCATACTACGGCGCTATACTATACGGACATCAGCGCTCCTCAGTACTAGCACAGGTCTAACGCCTAACAGGTCCCTAGCGACCTGACAATAAAAGTATTTACGAAGTAATAATAAAAATAAAAAATCTTATTCGATTTTAAATTATAGAAAACCACTTACTACAAACTAGGGAGAGCTAAACTCGTAATTACTATTCTACCTATTAATAAAATCGTCAATTAACGGATTCTTCTAGGAAAGAAGAATCTAGTAGTAACGGATTTATTAAAGGGATTAATACATAGCGGAAATTATTACAATAGACGTAACAGATTCTATTTAAAGAACTACAATTAATTATAACTTAGAATTTAAATCAATAAATAGTTTTACTAAGTAAATACTTTTAATTATAAATAATAATTAATTAAATAAGAGAGGAATCCGTTTCAATAGAGACGAATCCATTACTAACTATCTAATACTACCCAGAGCTGTGTCGGGGCCAAGACATGCTGAATCCAGCATGCTCTGGTCCCAGTATGCTCTAGCCCAGCCGACCAGTCGTCATGTAACAAAGATTCTTAATATCGAATATTTGGAGATAAAGTTAATACTAATAGATAAACTAATAAAAGTATTAGGTATTTTAAAATATAGGACATTTAGGGAATTATTAGGGATAATTAAAGTATTATTGCGGGAAGATAGCGGAGGAGATAATCTGGTACTAGGAGAGGTAGATTTCAATAATTTAGATGAAATATTAGGTCTAGAAATATAAAATGACGAGAGTAATATATAAATAGCTTTACTTTTAACTTTAAAGAGGAAAAAGAAGTCTATAAGTAAGGGGGTATATTAGATTCTAAGGTAATATTCTAGCTAGATGTAGGCTAGATGCTAGAGTCCTAGCCACCTGATTTAATAGGTTTTAGCAAATATAGGTTACCCCCAAAACCCCCCATACCAGAGCGCTCGAGTCAGTCATACAGAATATATAGAATCAATCAATCACCAGTAAATCTAAGAGAAGCTTGGTAGCTGCATTGTCAAAATTAGCATGCTTGGTCAACGTGAAGCACGTCCGATCTCCGACCTTTCCGTATGGCTGAGGAGGCTTGATGACAATCTCACTTGTCGGTGGACGATATCCTACGCTATTGGCTCATGCCAAGTCTTACAAGCTGTCATGCAACTTTTGTTAGCCTCCGCCTACCACTTGTCACCTGTTGAGTAGGATGGTAGCGGCTTGGCATCCCAGCTGCGAATAACTACCATTTAACTTCAGCATCGCTCCATATAAGACGGGGTGAATACCGTCCGAGGCTGAACTGTCAAGTGTTGTGTGTCGAGCCGAATCGAAAGAAGTTAAACCGATGAGTGGCCGGATGTTCCAGAAAACACCACATGTAGTTTGTCTGAGCCGCTGCCACCTTCTTTCTCCTCCAGTCCTCCATTAACCTCAGAGTTAAGTCTTGAACCAATGCCGGTTGCCTCTCCTAATACCCCATCCAGTCAAACACCTTTCCCGGATTCATGACCCATTTGGGATCAACCGAAGCCTTGAGCTGCCTCATAAGCCCAATCGTCTCCTCTCCGAGCTCGTCCACCAAGCACTCCTTCTTCCCAATACCAATCGCATGCTCCCCGCTTACGGTACCCTCCATCTCCAGTGCCCGTGTCATCATGTTTTTGACGCACTTGGCGACAGCCTGCTTCTGCTGCAAATTTGTAGGGTCATACATCATGGAGACGTGAAAGTTCCCATCACCCACATGGCCAATCACGCTCGCAAACAAGCCCAGAGATCCGCACTCCCGCTTCGAGATCTCGATGATTTCCGCCAGCCGTGAAATGGGCACGGCCACGTCCGTAGACCAAATCTCGGTGCCCTTGGGCCGAGTGTTTACCATGGTGAAAAGGGCTTCCTTGCGCGCGGACCAGAGGTCCAGCTCATCCTGCTTCGTCTTGGCAAAGTGGAACTTGCTGTCTGTCAAGGGTTTGACGATCTCGGCTACGCGGGACACATCGCTCTTGATGGCGTCCTTGGTGGTCCCGCTAAACTTGAGGAACAAGGTAGGTTTCTCGTCCCATACACGCTTGCGAACTGCGTCGCTTCCGTGGGTGTTGAGCAATTTCATCTGCTCGTCATCCATGAGCTCCAAGGCAGCAAGCTGGATCCCGGAGCGAATCAATTTGGAAGCGGCGGCTGCGGCAGAGTGGATGGTGGGGAAAGCAACAACGGCGACGCTGGTTTCCTTGGGGATGGGAGCGAGCTTCAGGGTGACCTCGGTTACCATTCCCAGAGTACCTTCGGCGCCGACAAACAGAGAAGTCAGGTTGTAGCCAGCCGAGGTCTTGCGAGGACGCCGACGAGTCTTGATAATGCGGCCATCCGGGAGGACAACGGTCAGGTTGAGCACCCAGTCTTTCATAGTCCCGTAGCGCATGGCGTTGGTGCCGGAACAATTGGTTGAGACCATTCCACCAACTGTTGCAGTGGGTGAGGGATCCAAAGGCACGAAGAGCCCTGTATGGGCGATCTGGTTGTTGAGATCAACCCAGTTAACGCCAGCCTGAACGACCACATCCATGTCATCTGGGTGGAAGGCGACGACCTTGTCCATGTAGGTGAAGTCGATGCAGATGCCGGAATATGGCTGGGAGAAGTTGCCCTCGACGCTAGAACCTGCGCCAAAGGGGACCATGGGGACATTGCGAGCACTGCATATCCGGGCGATAGCAGATACGTGGTCAGTCGTGCGTGGGTAGACGACGGGCAACGGCACGCCCGGGTGAGTTGGATGTCGACCAGTCCGAATGGCCGTGGTGTTCGAGAACATGGGTATCGTAGGTGACGGCGTCTTGTCCCAGTATCTGAGCAATCTCTTTTGCAGCTTCAAGCATTTCTTTGTGGCTTGCGTAGGTCGGCTTTACCAGTGAAAGCTCTTCCTTCTTCGAGTCCTTCAAGACAATAATGACTATGGCCGATAACGCAATGATGATCCAGCCTTGTCTGGAAATCAGGCGTAGCGGATTCCTGTACTTTTCCCGTCCAGCCCTCTGGTGAATATCCGTAGGTTGCTGTGATGCCCATCGAGTCGACTGATATGCCTGGGGAGCAAAGGCTGGCCGATGTTGACGCTGTACTGGGGGAATCAGGTTTCGGGAATGGGGAATGAGAGTGAGCCGTGCTCGCGGAAAGCCAAGCACTTGACGTGTCGCCATCTTTGGGTAAAACACGGAATGGAGAGATGGTCTCTCGGACTGCGGAAGCGGAAGTCATGGAGAAGCCGTCGGGGCGGGGGAAGCGGGGCCGTGTTGGCGTCGTCGGCGGTTCCACATGACCGCTTAGGGCGGGGATCGAAATCCGGGGTTGTACTCGCCAACGTCGCCAAGAAGGCTTGTACATGTGGGCATCCTCAAACAGTTGGTAGACATGTCGCATGGCTGAGGACCGTCGCCATCAGGACATAATTATATAGTCTCATGTCGAGATAGTGTGGCCGGCAGGAGAAGAAGCGAACTGAAGCGAGAATGGAAGGTCCAGTATTAAAAAACATGGAAGGTCCAGTATTAAAAAACCAAGACAGCTGCAAGAACAAAGTTGGAGAGGATCGTTCGCATAAGAATTGGCCACGCCTGGGAAGTCAACTTGTACCTTGCGCTTCTACCAGTCGCTCCTTCGCTTCGATGCCGTTGTGACGGGAGTCAAAGATATCCGTTTGACGGAAAGAAGACAGGAGGTTAGAGTGGGGCACATGCCCCAACACTTGTATGCAAGGGGCAGCGCTCAAGCGTAACGAGCATACAGTAATCAACAAGTCAACCGAAGACTCTATGGCCTTTTCAATCATGACTTGAGGATAAGAAGTTGTTGTTCATATGTGAATGCCATGAAATGGACTGCGCCCCGAGGACTTTGAGGTTCTGAAGATTGCAATGGAAGGGCGATCAGGGTTCATACTTGGTGCGACATGGCACTCTTGGCGCAGGCCTTAACAAAAGGGCCTAGAAAGGGCCTAGCGTTACAGCTTGCGACGGCACCGTTACGGCCAAGATGCGGAGTGGTGCGCATGTCATGCATGGATAAATTGAATGAAGATTGGGACGACCCTTTCCAGTCTCATCTCCGCAACTTCAAGAGATGCATCGAATGGACAATATCACCCGGCCGTGCCCACCGTGATACGCAAGGCGATCGGCTGAAAATCCACAACACTTGAGAGCCAGTAAGCCCATCCGCGACTGCCGATCCACTGAATCGCGTACCTGAATTTCACCACAACCAACGGAGCAATGCCGTGATGGGAACAAGCTGAGATTAATTCCCACTCGTGCCACTCGACTCGTCACACGCATTGCACTGCCCACTCCCGCTCGCCGGCTTCAGCTATCTTATCGCGTGGAAAGCACTCAGGCCACCAAGGTTCTACAAGAAGGACAAGGGCAGGCCTTCAATCGATGGCAACCGAGAACCCCTTCCATTCTGCCGCGTCATCGTGTGTGGTACCCACTCTCCCGATTTCAATGTCTCCAGCTGAAACCTAACCGTCTCCAGATTCTCTTCTTGTTCTTTTCTTCACTTTTTATTTTTATTCCGCACACCATAGGGCGTCGTCGTTCTTTGTAGTTCTAGACCCCCATCACGTCGGTCTAATACCAGTCCTTCGTTAAACCATATTTCATTTGGGCTCATCGTGTCCTTTTTTCCTTACAGTCTCTTGGATTTCGCATTGTGTATATTGCATATACTCCTGACATACTAGAACTCGGAATATCTTGGCGACATCAGATATCGAGCTGAGCGGCGGACCGACCACTACTAATTAATCATGACGACAATATCATCGCCAAGAGGAGCGACATGGCTCACAGCTCTCTTTGCCGCCGCAGCTTGTTTGCTGCCGGCAGCAAATGCCCAAGGCTACGCAGTCGATACCCCAGGTACTGCGGCCACTTGAGCACTTCAACCTATTGCAGACGCAACTAACACCCCCTTTCAGATAACATCCGTGCCTCCGCAAAAACTCTAGCGTTCGATATGATGAAATTTTACAACGGCAACCAGTCGGGCGAAATCCCAGGTATTCTGCCCGGTCCGCCCTCCGACGGCAAGGGCGACTATTACTGGTGGGAAGGCGGCGCCCTGATGGGCACCATGGTTGACTACTGGCACTTGACCGGCGACACCACCTATAACGATGTCATCACCCAGGGTATTCTTCACCAAGTCGGCGATAATCGCGACTTTCAACCCTTGAACTTCACGGCCTCGCTTGGCAACGACGACCAAGGATTTTGGGGCATGACCGCCATGCTCGCCGCCGAGACCAAGTTTCCCAACCCGCCCGCTGACCAGCCCCAATGGCTTGCCCTTGCTCAGGCCGTCTGGGCCACCCAGGCCGCGCCTGACCGCCACGACGATACTTGTAACGGTGGTTTGAGATGGCAGATCCCTCCCACAAACAATGGCTACGACTACAAGAATACCATCGCAAACGCCATGTAAGTATACGTGCCACAACAAATTTCCGAGCTGCCCAGCTAACCAAACCCCCTAGCTTCTTCAACATGGGCGCCCGTCTCGCCCGCTACACCCACAACGAAACCTACGCCACCTGGGCCACCAAGCAATTCCAATGGATCTGGGACGTCAACTACATCGACCACGCGTCCTGGAAAGTCTACGATGGCGGGCACATCGAGCAAAACTGCACGGACATCAACAAGGCGCAGTTCAGCTACAGCGCCGCCATCCTCGCCCAGGGCGCCGCCTTCATGTACAACTTCACGGACGGCGACGCCGCCCAGCAAGACATCTGGAAAACCCGCGTCCAGAATCTCACCGATGGTCTTTTCCGCGATTTCTTCCCCAAAGGCGTCGCCTTCGAAATCGCCTGCGAGTCCCGCCACGGCGCCTGCACGCCCGACATGTTATCTTTCAAGGGGTACGTGCACCGCTGGATGTCGGTGGTTACGCAGGTGGCGCCCTTTATGCGGGATACCATCCTCCCCATCCTCAAAACCTCAGCGGAAGCGGCAGCAAAGCAGTGCACCGGCGGAGCCACGGGGCGAGTGTGCGGGTTCTACTGGTCCGAAGGTGTCTTTGTCGATCCCGCCGTGGACAAGACTACCGGTGCGGGAGAGGCTATGGATGTTCTCGCGGCTGTGTCGAGTCTGCTTATTGATGAAGCCGATGCGCCGGTGACGAATAAGACGGGTGGTATCAGTAAGGGAGATCCGAATGCGGGACAGGGAAGTAGGCGTGCTGTCGAGCCGGCGACGCCGATTACTACGGCGGATAAGGCGGGTGCGGCTATTTGCACGATATTGTTGCTGGCGGGAGGGATTGCGATTTGGGTGTTTATGAATTTGGGGGATTGAGGTGATGATTTGATGAACGAGGATGGAGATTTGAGGGGGGGTGTATCTGCAGTTATATTCATGATTTTGTACACTTACATCTTTTGGGTTCTTGTCTAAGAGACGGGTAGATCTTGGGCTGGCGTTATGTCGAGGGGGTTCGTCTTCTTGTATATGAAGAACTTTTTTGATACCAGCACCATATATGTGACATTACGCTGTCACGGGTTGAGAGGAGGATGACGAGATGGGATTGAAGCTTCTGTGTCGTCTTTCCTTTGTCCTTGGCATTAACGGTCAAAATAAGCTTACTTTGCTAGCGCTGGCCAAGCCAAGTCTTTAAGCATCACCAAGTGGTCACCCATTCAACAATGGAACCCGAACGGCCGTGTCAACGTCGAGACCTGGGCCTGCGGCGAAGGTATCCACGGCATGAACATTGTCGTTTTGTCGCGACCACTGTGTCAGTGCTTACGCCAAAATGATGAGACGCAGCAGCGATTTCTTCCCGCTCTTCCCACAGAGGAGCATGACGACTTGATATTGAGGGGATTGTATCAAAAAAATAAAATCGTACGTCCTCATTTCACATGTTCAACGGCCACCAACATACCCGTGGAGATGGATGAGGGTGCCTTTTTCACCTACCTATCCCCAAAGCGGACGGTAGGAGAGTGGGGATGGGTCCCGTCAGAAAGCCACCCTATATCGGGCTGACTAGGGCGACTGTGTAATCATCTAAGGCGACTGTGTGGGATATGCACTAGGCACAGGTGTAAGTCACCTCCGACAACCTAGATTAGTGTTAGGGTTAGGTGTTAGGGTAAGTTCTCGGGGGTGCAGGGGCCGGTGAGAGGCCCTCGCGTGTGAAATGTGAATTTGGCGTTGAGAAAGAGGTTGTTTTGAGCTCTCAATGTCGTAGTTCAAGATGATGACTTTGGGTGATGTTTTTGACAATTGGCTTGATGCCAAGACTTGGAGGTTTTGCAGCAGACAGCCTGCTCCACACAGTCGCCTTAGACGATTACACAGTCGCCCTACTTGTAGTCCGCTCGCCCTATATTCACGGGTACGCAAAATTCCGTAGTGTTGTGCAAGTTTTATGCATTGATCGGCAAACGGCCCTTCCAATTCCCGAGTCGAACCTTCTATTGTGCATTCGGCGGTTCCGTTCATAAACCACGCACAAAAGCTACAGATACGAATCATGAAAAGAGCCAGATCGTTCGATCCGATTATGCGTAGCGCGCGATGGCAATATTAGATCGCTCGGTACTTATCCGTTTCGTTACATCGCAGTTAACATAGCAACATACCCCTCAATGCCGACCTCAACTTGGAAACAGCAAAAATCCGGTTACCGACACTTGTTGTATCCCGCGAAGGGACCTAGCGATATCGCCCAAGTCGAAGGCCAGGGACTAAGAAGAGGCCGCTTTGTTGCAACGTCTTTTTACATTGCAATAATGGAAGGTGCCAAGGTGGTTGCTGCCCCTACCTCTACTTATTTTGTTTCCTGGGATGATTCGAGAATCGACACGACTGCACCTTAAGTTCCCCGTTTATGTTCTTTATTTGTTCGCGGCTACCTCTTAGATAGGAGGCATACCGGCAGGTGCTATTGATCACCTTGACCGCCTCATAACTGAAGACCCCAAGCGAACTGGAACCGACCTGTGTCGTGGCTCATGGCAAAGCGGAGCCGACTTATGTCTAATCCACTGTCGATCACCACGCTACCGTATTTGTTCAACGGCCACCGGCAACATATGCAGTAGTTTATGCTTCGACTTATGCACAACGGCTGTTCCCATTCCCGAACCCACCGGCCGGTGTTTGGACAGGTGGGATAGGTAGCGAAAGAGTTCAGTGTCTCAACGGGAATTCGGCAAGGTAACATGGTGTATGAATGGCAGGGCATCATAGACTAACACTAGTGTATGAGTGAGGGTGGGTTCCGAATCTCCGATCGAGTTCTGTAGGCAAGTGGACGAACGACCAGTGGCACTTCACATTGACCGAACGACTTTAACCTGGCCGCGTATACTTCGTAGTGGTGGGGTTTTTATGCACAACACGCAACGGCTCTTGTCATTCCCGAACTCAATTTAATCCTTCACTGCCGTTATGAAACAGGAACCATGAACAAGTTATGAAAAAGTGGCCGATTAGGGGACTCGAACTTCCGCGCTATTCTAGAACGCTAGAGTTGTGTATATCCAATCGAGGGGTTGACATACCCAGTGGGTATATATATAACTCTGGGATAACCCCATCTAGAGACCTGGAACTACCAGACACCAGTCGTCCTTGAACACTCACCTCTGTTTACAAAGCGCCGCAGTTCACAGAGATGATGGATCTCTTACACCTCCTCCCACTGGAGGTACTACCCAGTCCCACCAGTCTCACGGGGATTGTCCTCATCGGCGTAAGTACTACTACCTATCCTCAACTCATCCGTCTCGTCCAACAACCTAACTAACGTCTTTCCCTAGACCACCCTCGTCGTATCCTCCATCCTCCTCTCCGCCATCTACAACCTGTACCTCCACCCCCTCGCCTCCTTCCCGGGCCCCCTCCTCCACCGCGCCTCCTTGTTTCCGTACCTCTACCGCCAAGTAACCGGCAAGCTCCCCTACTCCGTCCTCGACTTCCACGCGCGTTACGGGCCCGTGGTCCGCATCTCGCCCAACTCCCTCTCCTTCGCCGACCCGCAAGCCTGGAAGGACATTTACGGCCATCGCTCCCCGGGACAGGAAGAGTTCGCCAAGCCGAATCTGTTTTATCGGACCAAGGGCATCCCGCCGAGTATCCTAAGCGAGACGAGAGAGAATCATGGCGTGCTGAGAAAGTTGATGGCGCATGGGTTCAGTGAGCGCAGCATGAGGGCGCAGGAGGGGATTATCGGGGGGTATGTGAATGCTTTGATTAGCGGGTTGAGGGGCCATTGTTTTGGCAAGGAGGAGAAGAAGGATGATGGAGTGTCGTCGGAAAAGGAAACGGAGCAGAAGAAACAACAACCGGTACCCCTCGACATGGTCAGCTGGTACAACTGGACCACCTTCGACGTCATCGGCGACCTGGCCTTTGGCGAGCCATTTGGATGTCTGGAGAAGGCCGAGTACGACCCCTGGGTGGACGCGATCGGAAAGAGCGTGCGGTTCGGCAGCATCTTGTTGGCCATCAGGGTTTTGGGCTTGGAGGACGTGGTGCATCCCATCATTGAGAAATTGAGCAACAAGGCCAGACGGTTCCATCGGAAAAGGACCATGGATAAGCTGCAGAGGAGGGTGAATCTGACAAAGGAGAGACCGGACTTTTTGGAGGGGTTGTTGCAGAAGAGGGAGGAGTGGGTGAGTCTACCTCTTTTCTTTGGTTGTCTGGTGTCTGGTTGTAAGAAGAAAAAGGGAAAACAAGGGGGATTTGGTGATTGATGCTGACAAGTGACTAGGGCATGGACATGGAACGACTCGCAGCCAACGCAAGTCTCTTGATCATCGCCGGTTCGGAAACAACTGCAACGCTCTTGTCTGGAGCAACATATTTGCTGCTTAAGCATCCCGAGGCAATGAAGAAGCTGATTGAGGAAGTTCGCTCGACCTTCAAATCGGAAGAAGAAATCACCCTTTCGTCGGTGGGCAGTCTCGAATACATGCTGGCTTGCATAAACGAGGCCATGCGTCTCTATCCGCCTGTGCCCATCGGCATGCCCCGAGTTGTTCCCAAGGGCGGTGCAAAGGTTGCGGGCACATTCGTTCCAGAGGGTGTAAGTTCCTTTCCACTTCCTTCAAGAAGAGCTTTTTGTTATGGCGTTCTTGAGCTGACCATTCTTGCTTTTCCGTCGACAAAGACCGTTGTTGCTGTATGGCAATGGGCCACAAACCACAACGAGCAGCATTTCCTCGAAGCTTTCGAATTCCACCCCGAGCGTTGGATGCATGATCCCCGGTTTGCCAACGACAGGCTGGATGCGGTACAACCCTTTAATGTTGGACCTAGGAACTGTCTTGGTCGGAAGTGAGTGAAGAATTTCCTTTGGTGTTTCGGCATCTTTATTCTCCTCCTCCTTGTTCTTTGGCTGACAAATTACCCTCCTCTATCACAGCCTCGCAATCGCGGAGATGAGGCTCATCCTTGCCAAAGTCGTTTACAACTTCGACATGCAGCTCGCAAACCCTGGCAAGGACTGGTTGGATCAACAGATCTTTACCTTTTGGGATAAACCCGCGCTTCCGGTCTGTTTGACTCCGGTGGAGAGGAACGGTGCATAGCTTTAAGGCAGTCATACGGTACCTTGAGGGTTTCAAAGTAATGGAACAGACCGGATGGTTGACTGATATGAGTGCGACTGGGAAACTGGCCCTGATTCGGAACGTCAGCGATGGTCTCACTCATGTTTTGTTCAACTGACGTGGACGCTAGGAGAGGAAAAGAAGTGTTTTGGATGAAAGGGATCAAGAGGGTCGATATTAATGCAATGCCTCTTTCTTTAGGGCAATAGATTCCGTCATGTATATTGTTCGTGCGCAAATTGCCCTTCAGCATGAAGACATCGCCGATGTGACAATGTTCTTTGTTCACTTGCCAAGCTTCTCCCTGAGAGTTCTACCCACAAACACTCCACAACTTGATTAGGTTGATTGACGCTTACTGTCTAGCTGGTTGGTGTGAGTGGCCACAGCATCCAGACCGTAAATATTCGAACGTAACTAGAAACGAAATCGGTAGCTGGGTAGTCCCAAACTGGTCCCTGGGTAGTCCCCCTCACTTTTTTTTGGGCGCGCAACCATCTATATGTCGTACCGCGCAAAAACTTTAAAGCTATTAATATTATTAATATTATTAGAGTTGGCGTTGATATCACTACTTATTACTACTATTTTAATAAAGAATTGGGTAAAGTAGAATACGCTTCTCAACAAACTAAATAAGGGAGAGTAAGTCTATGATCTATCTAAGGATTAATAGACTAAGAAGCGAAAACATTGTAGCAAATTATAAGGAAGCTGTAAACGACATAACAACGATCCTATTAATAGTAATAGCGATATTCGTTAGGTTTTTAAAACTGACCGTCTAATTAGCGGGCGGTAACGAGTAGCGATAATGACGGAGATAGCGATAGCTTTAAGTCAGAGGGCGCGCGCGAATATACTTAGTTGGCGATATAAAATTGACGGGCGTAGTTGGGAGCTAGAGATTGGCTACACACCCTAAAAAGTGGGGGGGACTACCCAGGGACCAGTTTGGGACTACCCAGCTACCGATTGCGGACTAGAAACTGATCAGTACCTGGCCGTGAGGATGAAGCGGTGGGGAGATCGGTGGTAACAGTCAAGACGTGTATCTGTAATATTGTATCGGTTGTAGACCTGTCCTCATGGCGTCCAGCGACCAAGCAACGTCCAACGGGCCAGGCACCGTCTTTGTCGTCGGTATCCTGTTTCGGTTCTTATGTTATGACAAGCACTAATCAGCATCAACACGCCCGCAGGACGAGGCTCAAAGAAGACACCACCACGGAAACCCATTGCCAAGCAACTTGTGTGAACCCACTGATTGATCCAATACCAATAGTCATTACGATGTTATCCCCCAGTCTTAATCCCCTAGCATAGACGCCGTGGTAACCGTTTCCCTCACTACCCATAATCTAAAGCACCAATACCGGCCAGTTCACTCTTGTGCTTCCCCGCAACCGGAAAGACGGCACCCTCGCTGACATTCTTCAAATCCGGGTGTCCGTGAACTATTCCCTTGTGGTGTACGATCTTGGCCTTGGTGTTATTAACTTCCTTAAATCGTCTAGTAGAACATATCGGATGAGGATCTTACATACGATCATCGTCAAACGGGGCATTCGGCATCCTCCGGCGCGCCCTCGGTTGATAAGCAGGACGTGCCAGCTAGTCCTAATTGAGAAGGTTGATGCTACCCCTGACTGTGAATAGCATGGCACTTTAGCATTTCCACCACTGGCACCTCCATGGCTCCTTGGCTACCCTGGCATGATGTTTTAGCGTGCTACTATATAGCGTCGCATAGTGACCACATCTTGTAGATCTGTCAAGAGAGCAAGGTGTCTTTCGACAGAACAGAAGGTGTCTTTCGACAGAACAGATTATTGATAAGCAGGACGTGCCAGCTAGTCCTAATTGAGAAGGTTGATGCTACCCCTGACTGTGACTTGGGCTCGTTGACGATGCGGCTGTTAAGGGCGGGGCAGGCCGAAGCGTCGTCTAAGCGCTTGAGACCCTCGGGCTAGGATATTTGGGGATGCTTGTGGAGGTTATACCGCTTTTTTTCACTCGATGTGGTTTTACTCAACCTGCGCTAAGGTCCGAACTAGCAAATCCTAACACGGGGATGCAGGTCATACCGACAATCCCACCAATGTCTGTTACTGAAGTGTTCCGAGGAACCAACTGACCACGTTGGCAAGCGTGCGATCGACTGTGACCCGCATCAACTCGGTAACAGATTGGTTGAACCCCTTGTTAGGCTTTGCTTCTGCCAGATGGTCCCGGCCCTATACCTGTTTGAGCAAAACCACATCGACTGAGAATTAGCGGTAGTAGTAATCGGTCGAAGCTCCTACAATAGGGTATGTTTGGCCGGGCTGGGAGAGATCGATATCTGGGTGGGAAGGAGGGATGGTCGAGTTTGTCGTGCCCCGTAGGACACTTATTTATACTCCTGTACTCCCCCCTATAACCTCTTCCCTTAGAACTAGACAGGCTATCCAGACAATTTCAACTCAATCTCAGTCTCGACACACATCACCATGATCTCCAACGTCCTCACCGTTGCCACTCTGGCCGGCGTAGCCATGGCTGCTTGCCCACTCTCTGTCCAGATTGTTGGCGCAGACCACCACGTCGCCCAAGTCTCCGTCACCAACACCGGAGCCGAGCCCATCACAGTCTTCAAGGGCAACACGGTGCTCAGTGAACACGCTACCAAGGATCTCCTCGTGACTGATGCCTGTAAGCAAAGCCCCCCTTCCTTAGCATTGTCCCAACGCATCATGGCTGACATCTCCATAAGCCGGCAAGGCACTTCCCTTCGAGGGCGCCTACGTCAACTACAAGCGTACCGGCGTCTCTCCCGACATGTTCCAGACCCTCCAGCCCGGCGAGTCCGTCACGGCCTCCGTCAACGCCGCCAGGACCTACAGGCTCTCCGGCGTCAAGAGCGCCAAGATCTCCGCCCTCCAGGGTTTCAAATACGTCACGGGAACGACCGCGCCCAACTCGCTCAAGGACCTCTCCTTCTGCGAGGCCAGCTCGGACTCCTACACCATCACGCCCGACCAGAGCAAAGCCGCCGAGTAAGCCCACCCACCCGCCTGTCAGTCACTCATGAAGCCCCGTCCCCGGCTAACATATTCCCACCCCCCAAAAGTGACCACATCTCCAAGCGCCTAGCAGGAGCACCCCCCTCTCGCATCGCCAGGCGCTCCGTCACCTACCACTCCTGCTCCACCGCGCAGACCAACTCCCTCAAGACCAGCGTCTCCGACGCCATCTCCATGGCCGGCGCCGCCTACACGGCCGCCGGCTCGGCGGCGGACTACTTCACCACCTGGTTCCGGGCCACCTCCCAGGAGTCCAAGGTGCGCTCCATCTACAACGACGTCAAGAACGTCCAGACCACCTCGCCCGCCATCTCCTGCACCGACACCTACGGCGACTGCTCCGACGGCAGCGCCCTGCTGTACACCGTCCCCAGCGCCAACACCATCGTCCCCTGCCCCAACAACGGCTTCTGGGGCTTCCCCGAGTTCGCCAGTACCTGCGCCGACGACGACTATGACATGGCTGGCAGCATCCTGCACGAGATGACGCACCTGTACGGCACGGATGACTATGCGTACGGCCAGGCGGCTGCGAAGAAGCTCTCGGCTACGCAGGCGTCGGCGAATGCTGATAGTTATGAGATCTATGCTGGGAGTGTGCGTCTTGGTGGGTGCAGCTCCTAGAGGAGGATGGGTGGCGGGGATGTGACAGATCTGGTCACAGATTCCATGACGATCATGATAATTTATGACCATGGCTCCGATAGTCCGTGGTTTGATGATGTAGTACGAGATAGACGAATATGAAATGCGTTCTTAAGGGACTTTTAACCATGTTGACGTTTATATCGTCCAGCTTGACTCTGTGACTGTCGCCCGAATGTCGGTGGCCAGTCCCTCACCGTCGATTCGTTCGTTTAGTCTCAATGAATCGCATGATTTGCATCGATAGCAAGTGAGTGTTGCAGCTGAACCTAGCAAGATAGTTGATGATATCGAAGTGATAGACTGTGATTGGATCCTGTTCGGTATACATTCGAAGTATAGCCTCAGCCAGGAAAGCGATCCCGGTCACGAGTTGCTGGTCGCTCAAGCAGACCACCATGTCATGGAAGACTTGCCGATAGAGGCGAACATATCGTTGGCCTAGGGCCTGTTGCACCCATGCGCGGAACCGGCGCCAGTACTTGGTTCCAGGGCAGACCTCATCGTCCATCTTCTTGGACTTGGGCTCGTTGACGATGCGGCTGTTGAGGGCGGGGAGGGTCGAGTTTGTTGTGGACGACGGGGCAGACCTGGGGGTTCGTGGTGGCGCCAGTCATTGTGATGTTGGTGTTTTGTTTATTGGAGAAATGGGCTGGTGTGCGATGGTATCTGGAGACTTGTTGGTTGAGTTGACTGTTCTTTGATGCTGTGGAGGAGAGGTTTCGTTTGTTGGGACAAAGATCCAAGTACCTAGGCCCGTTGTTAGTGGGATACGATAGAGTGAAATAGCGACCAGGTGACCTCGACTGCGTACTTACCTTACCCGACGGGAACCGCACAAACAACTGAGATTCCTTTCCTTTGTTGGCGAGAAAGTCCGAGGCGCAAGAGCGGTGATAGTGGTCAAGAAGAGGAGGCAGCTGGCTTCATCGCCTGTAAGAGGAGGCTAAGAAGATCGTCCATGATGTTTCCCATGACGTACCCGGATAAACTACTCCACAATCAGGGGACCGTGGGGAATGTGGAGCTAGCTTCTGGCTCCGGACCAATGAATGGTCGTACATTGATAAGCTGCCCCTTGCTTGATGCTGGTCTTCTCTCTCGGTTTTCCCCAGCTTGTCTTTTATCACATCACCGAATGCAAATGGCAAGTGCGATTGAATACATGGGCCTTCCACTTCTACGTACAAGCACTCTGACTTGCTCTTTCATTCAGCCTGCTGTGCCTGATCACATCCCACGGGAGGGGAAGGTGGCTGAAAGGCAAGATCATCCCCCAAAGTATCAGGACCAAAAATGCTTGGAGTGCCTTCGACGAATATCATCCAAGATATCGCTACCATCTTAGGTAGAGGGGGCCAATCAAGTTATTAATGCAGCGAACTTTGGACGACGACAGCAAGAACACCGCCTCAGCTTCAGCACCTGACAAAGTCAAGTAATATCGGCGAAGTTGGCAACCTCGAGCATCGTATAAACACGATTGTCGCGGTCTGTCTGGACGGCAATTCAGCATTCCTCGATGGGCAACATATCGCCAGCAAAGACTACGAACGAAGCAGATTTGACAGGTTAGAGAGCTCAGCGTTCGGCGATAATAACAACAATGACAACATAAGGTCGTCACGATATAACGAGATAAGTACCTAACGACAATTGAACTCGTTCTCCTATGTTTGTCAAGGACGGCGGTGGTCATCATTTTCGTTGTGTGAAAACGAAACCGTTTGCAAAGTTGCCAGCTGATGCGCTTCTTCGGCGTGTCAAATTGACATTCATTACTATCATTTTCCCCATTGATATGGATGTTTTTTTCTTCCTGGCATAGATTGATATTCTTTTGACCCATTGCTGGGCACCCACGTTGAGAGATCGTTCCGATCTTAAAGATAGGTGGGAATCAGTGGAGGTTACAATTCTTTGCAGATGAATAATGGTACGACGGGAGGTGAGACGGAAGGTGAGAGAGAGTTCGGACCAAAATAACACATTCCCGTCGGCCGATTTCATCCCAACGTCAGCTTATGAGCTTATTTCAACCTCAGCCGAGCCATGGATGGATGGTGTTGTGTCACAATAGCCACCAGGAAATCTCCTCGTTCAGAAACGAAGTGGTACTCTTCCTATTTCTAGGTAGTGATAGGAAGACTGAACCTCAGAGCTGAAGATATTTCTGCCGGATTCAGTTGGCTTGAGCAATTAGACATAGGGTTGAACTAAACCTCTAGGTTTAACCGTAATATATGAGATGGGGGAAACCAGGAAAGAAAAGACAGGACAAGACAAGGCACCCAAGACAAGACAAGACAAGACAAGACAAGACAAGACAAGACAGCCTTGTCTCCCTGCTTTGCAAAGTGAAGGCTACCTTACTCTCTCTCTTGTTTAAGTTTCCCAAACTGAGACTGAGACACTTGACCCCAGAGGCTTCCGACTTCGCGTGTGTCAATATGTCTACCATTTACGTAGGTATCTATTTTATTCAACAGGTTGAGTTTTGTCACACGTGATCCGGCAAAATCACCAGAAGGTTCAGAGGTCCAGAGGTTTCGTTCAGAGGGACTGTTCCGAGTCATGTCCGGGAACATCGTTGTTGTGAACTGAAACTGATGAAACTCTGAAACAAAAGGGCTGGATTAACCTTCTTCTAGAAGAATAGAAGAAGAAAAGCCACGGGTACCTAACGACATGACATGACGTGATGCAGTGGACACGGCGGACTAACTCTGATGATGAAAAATTTCGCCAGAACACGATATTAAGGAGATTTGAGTAAAGGGTTCATAGAGGTAAACTGCAGTCGAATCAAAGTCTGATGAAAGTCTCACGACGGTCACGCGAGGTTCAAGCGATTTTAGGCCTCGAGCATCCGACCTTGAGGGAATATCAAGGTAATTTATTGGAACTAAAGGGTGTGGAGGCGAAAAAAAAGGTAGAATAAAAATTGTAATACGTATATATACTATGCGGTTGGGAATTATATAATCAAGCAGCCATTACGCCGTTATCCAGAAAAAATATTGACACCCGACGGACATACGATTGATGGTGTGCGACCGACCAGCCTTGTTGTATGTACACGGCGTTGCTTGCGTGGCCTTCACTGACTCTCATTGCTTTCAACAACAACATTTGCCATTTCTTCTAATGCGACTTTCAAACCGTCAAGTGTGCGTTTGGGTATCTTTCCACCTGCTTCCTCTCAGCTCCCAAGATGACTACAGCTTGTTTGTTTTCTTTTTTTGCTTTTCTTTGTTTCGTCTCCTCTAAAATTTGGTTAGAAAATTTAGAGGAGCAAGCTAGCAGTTCCGAGAACGGCAGCCATCAGGACACCGGTGGCGGCGCCCTTGGAGACAGCGCCGTTCTCCTTGATGGGGCCGGCGACGGTGGTCTTGGGGCAGATGTCGGTGCCCTCAAGAGCAGACTGCTTGACCCAGACCTTGGGCTCGCCGGCGCCCATGAAGGCGGTGATCTGGCCGAGGCCGTCGGCGGTGGTGGTGGCGCAGCTGAGGACCTCGACGACCTGGTCCGAGTCGCGGAAGCCGCCGGGGACGGGCAGCTCGTAGCTGTCGCCCTTGGAGGACTTGTTGGTGACGCAGAACACGACCGAGTTCTCGGCGGGGCCCTTGGACTGGCAGAAGTGGTTGACGTCGGCGATCAGGACGTTGGACGTCTGCTTGACGTAGTCGGGCGACACCTTGATGGCGTTCTTGCGGACCTTGTTGAGAATCTGGGCGAGTTGGTAGAGGGGCGCCGAGGTGTTGTAGTTGGAGGTCCAGAGGGGCTCGCGGTTGTCGGGGGTCGCGCCGCCCTTGAAGTGCTGCTCCTGACCTTGGTAGACTGTTGTGATGTGTGTCAGATTAGTCATCTCATGATGCGCAGAAAAGCCGGAACAAATGTGTGAAAACTAAGGTGTCTTACCAGTAGGGATACCGTCGTTCATGATAACGTAGGTCATGGCGTTCTTGGCGAGGGCCATATCGTCGTTCTGGCTGGCAAAGCGGGGCATATCGTGGTTCTCAATGAAAGTACCGAGGGCAAGAGTGTCGTTGCATTGGTCTTGGGCCTGGGAGCGGATCTGGCCGAGGGTGGTAAAGTCACCGCCGTTGAAGGCCGCGTTCAAGGGGTAGTAGTCGAGGTAGTTGGGCATGCCGGGGAGGAGGCTCTTGGTCTTGTTCTGGTAGCGGCACATGTCCGCAGTAACGCCGGTCAAAACCTCACCGAGAGCGAAGACGCCGGAAGCCTCGACGAACGCGGGCAGGAAGGCATCGTTGACGTGCTTGGCGGCATCGATACGAAGACCGTCGATGGAATAGGTCGAGACGAGATTCTTGATCCACTTGGTGAAAAGGCTGACAACATCGGGGGACTCGGTCTTGAGATCGGCGAGGGCGATGCCATAGGGATAGAGCCAGCAGTCCTGGTAGTTGGTGGCGTTGTCCCACTCGGTAACGTTGCAGTACGGGTGGAAGTACTTTTTGTCGTTGAACGGGTTGAACAAGGAGTAGTCGACCTTGGGGGGTACAATGTTGTCGAACTCCTGCGCCATGTGGTTCACGACAACGTCGACCATGAGGAACATGTCACGCTTGTGCATCTCGTCAACGAGGTTCTTGAGGTCCTGCTCGGTACCGAACTTGGGGTTGACCTGGGTGAGATCCTGCGACCAGTAACCGTGGTAGGGCTGGCCAACGGCGGTGTCCTTGTCCTCGTTCTTGATGACGGGGCTGATCTGAATGGCATCGAAGCCCATACCTGTACGTATTCTGTCGGCTGCTGGGCTCACAAAAACGGGCATGAGACACAAACTTACCTTGGATGTAATCCAACTTGTTGAGGAGGCCCTTCCAAGTACCGCCGCAAAACTCGTACAGCTTGCAGTCGACCGAACCACCGTCGTCGCGGGCGAAACGGTCGATCATGACCTGGTAGATGGATCGGGACTTCCACGCCTCAGCGTCGGCGGCGGCAGCATAACCGGAAAAGCTCAAGGCCGCCGCAATGGCGCCTGTCAAAAGAGATGACCGCATCTTGGTGTGTGTTTCTGATGGATGTTGTTTTTGTCGTCGTTGTCGTTGTCGTTGAGGTGAATAGCAGGTTTTTTTCTGGTCTCAACGAATGACTCTTTCTCGTCCCTTTCTTTCCTTCTTCCTTCTCAAAGAGTGGCTGTTTCTCCGTTCTTTCGACACCGTCCGTAAAACGAGGGGAGGGATGGCGCAAAGGGGAGTAAACAAAAGCGAGTGTCTACGGGCAAACCGAGGGTGGAAAGACCGATAAAAAGAGCGTGGGCGGAAAAGAATAAGGGATTCAATTCGCGATATACTACAAAATGACACCGGAAGGACGGGATTTTGGTTGTAGAGAGAGAGGACGGAGTGGACGGGGGATGGCTAGAGTTTAGGGGGGAGGTCGTCCAAGTACGAGGAGTTACAAGGACGGTACCAGGCCAGGAAAGGCTACGATTGGCCGGCAGTGCCTCTTTTACCTCGGAAGGGATGGACGGCCCTGCTTGGGGATGCTAGTCGGCCAGCGAACCACGAGACCCAAAGAAGCCCACCAACCTAATGCCGCTGAGATCTGCTGGGAAGACTCCAGCCGCTACAGCCTCGACATCGTTTTCCACGGACGACGGCAGAAGGACGGCAAGACAACGGCCAGATCGTGGAGAAAGGCCAGCCAGGGGGGGAAGAAGGGGTTACCCTTTTGGGGGCAGTCTAAAAGCGTCTCATGTGTCGAACAAGAAGATCCCAAGAAGATCCCAAAAAGTCTCATTTCAGAACGGACAGGGAGACGGACGGGTGAGGGTTGGTTGAGGGTTAGCTGAGGGGGGGCCATCAGGGCTGGACGAGAGGGCAGCAACAGGGACTCAGGGAATAACAGTGGGCGAAAAGGGGCGAGCCGAGGGAGGATCATGGAGCAACCAAGACCAGAAAAGAAATGAACAGGCCACTTCGGGGCAAGGCCAGCAGGGGTCGCCGGTATTGCTTTAATTCTTTTATTGACGCGGCACCCACTGTCAAATTCATGTGCAATTCAACCTCGTGGGTTTCCATAAATGAACCGAACCCACTTTCCCTTTCAGCAGGTCCCTTTTTCTCTTCAAGTGCTTTGTCGAATTGTCGCAGGCTGCAGCCGTTGTTTATGGCAAAAGAGTCGGTGAGATGAGGTGGTGACCGTGGTGGAGGGTGGTAAGACGGAAAGGAAAAAGTTGACAGGGACTGTCATTACCCAGCTTGCATGACCCAAATGCAGGAACAAAGTTATCCGAGCATTTCGCTGACCACAGTGTCACTTTGTAACACAGTGTGCGTAAGGTAAGGTACCTTATGTAACGTAACGTACCTCTACCTTATCGCATCGGCATCAAGCGGGACGGGATCTGTACATGTGTAAGCTATGTAAGAATGGCATTGTCCTGCCATTGTGCACTTCCAGTTGGAATGTTTGATGCCATGATGGATGTCAAGATGCAATTCACGATCGAGGGGTAGATGGAGACGGGATCGCGGCACAGAGGCGGATATTGCCTGCCATCATCGTGCCTCGTAATTCATCGTCAGTCTGCGATTATATCAGTGTAATTGAATCCAGTGGTTACTGTCAGAATGCACGGTTGAATCAAAAAGGTGGGTAAATCTCTGTATTGATCTGTGTGTGTAGAAGAGTGCTGTGGAACCAGAGTTGGGGGCTCCCAGAGTATTAAGGAGGTCTACAGCCAGATTCTGGGTGGCTGGGAGGCTAGTCCTTATTCAAAGCTCCCTTCTTACTAGCTGGATTTAACCCTCCAAACTAATATACCTCCCTAGTTAAAGTCTTATAGAGATAAAACTATTTAAAAATAAAGTTATTTATAGTATTATATAATTATCCTACGATTTATCTCTTTATTAATCTTATTTATTTCGATATATACTATTATATTCTCCCGTCTTTTGGATTCCCTATTCTTTATTGAATCTATTCCTACTAGTTTTATAAACGCTATATATTTCTAGAAGTCTAGTACCTTCGTTAAACTATTTATAGGTATTTTGGCCATCTCTAGATATTTGATTTTTATCCTTCTAGTAAATACTTTTTATTTTACTTAGTATTTGTAGATATTTACGTACTTGAATTTTATTATTAGCTTTGTAGCTTCTATAATTAAAATTTTAATAGTTTATTAATTAATATAATTTAGAGTAGGGATAGAATTAATTAATTTTATTATAAAACTAGTAATAAATTTTATTATAAAGAGGGCTTCCTTAGTTATATTAGTAAGTATAATAAGCTTTGCTTCGGTTGTAGAGGTGGTTATAATTGTTTATTTAGTAGTGCCCTAATGAATTAGCCCTTTAAAGAATTATATTATAAATCCTTAAGAATTTTTACAGTTCATAGAATTAGTTATAAATAATAAACTTAAGGTAATCTAGAATATTTTATTACTTCTATAATAAAATGCTATATTAGTAGTAGTATAGAAGTAATAGAGTATTTTATTTATAGTCTTATAATAATTTAGATTGGGGTTGTAACTATATTTAGAGAGACGGCTGGCGGCGAAGGTAATATTTGGGTGTATAATAATGGCGGTGTATAGTATTAAGCCTATTTTGATTTAATATAGGTATATTAAGTAAGGGGACGTTTTGCTCTTAAAGGGAATTAATTCGATATTAAATATAGGGATTAAAGTAATACATTTAGTATTTATAAAGTAATAGATCTTTTATAAATACGAGCGTTGAAATAATTAGATCTTTCTTATTTTATAGTCTCGAATAATTTCGATGCTTAGGAATTATTATAGTTCGTTTCTTCTAATTATATAATATTATTAGTTGAAGTTATTTATATATTTCTGTATAACGGTAGCTTTATTAGGGTAATACGCGAAGATTATATTATCGACGTAATAGAAGACGAGGACGCTGTCGTTAATAAAGATATATAGTTCTTTAAGGATTAATTCGAAACCTATTATTTTAAAAGTATTTATAAATTCTCGTTATTAGAAGAGTAAGGAATACTGCAGCCCGTATAGAGCTTTAAGTATTTTAAAGATTTTATTTAGAATTTTATAGTTTAGAGGTATATATATATAGATATTTTATTTATATAAATATTAACGAAGGTATTGACGGTATTGTATTAAATGAATTTGAGGTTAAATTGGGCGGTTATAGTGATAAGAGTGCGGAAAGACCGGCTAATAAGGGTGGAGGCGTACGTTTTTTACTTTACTTTCTTTATTTATTAATTTTTATAGACGATAAAGTAGGCTTTAACTTTATTAAATTTGCCGTTCTTAAAGAATTTGTACGTATATACTTATATATAGTCGAGGATCTACTTATTTTGAGTACGTAGTTCGTTTTTATCGACCTTTAATTTAATTTTTATTTCCTTATAGTTAGTAAAATAGGTTTGTTTTATTTATTTGAAGAAGTTTCTAAGGATATAGTAGTTAAGAGATTTGTAGTTCTTAAGCGTTGGGGGAAAATAGTACTTATAGATAGATTAAATTTTATTTATATAAATTAAGGATTCGAATTCCTCTTTAATAATAATTTTATTATTATAAATAAATCGTTATAATTCTACTTTCATAATAAGTTTACTATTATATATTATTATAGGCTAATAAAGTTGACTAGTATTAAAGGCGGCCTTTTAAAGTTTAAAGCTTTTATAAATTTCGTTTTTAATATAGGGGTTAAAATAGAAATTAGTAAGGAAGGAGGTAGGTAGCGGTCAGTTTAATAGAAACGTATTAAAAAAAAATTAGGATATTTATTATTAAAGATAAAGTTAATAAATATTTTGTTTGCAGGGGTATTCGAATTCTCTAATAGGGGTTTTAAAAATATACGGTTAGTCTCTCCTTTTCAATAGGTTTAATTAGATTTTAGAAGGAAGTTAGGTATATTATACGTTTAAGTATTTTTAAAATCGATTCGGCTACTAATAAAATTAGAAATTCTTACTATTAGAGCTATTTAATTATATTTTTAGAATAGTATAATAAATTCGTCAGAAGAGATTTTCAGGGATTACGCTTCGGTTGGCACTTTCCTGGAGTAAAGCGTATCTTTATTAAATAATACATTATAAGTATTAATAATTAAATTATTAATAGGGTTCCAAATATAATAAATTAAAAAAGCGACGTAGTTAATTAAATAACCGATCTATACTTTAGGGTTTATTTTTTAGCGCTTCTCTTCTTTCTTCTAGGCAGCTACAATTATAGCGTATATTTTATAATTATACATACGAAAGTATATAATATTTAGCTTACGTAGAGTTAAACATATTGAATCCATCTCATTTAGTAATAAAAGTATAGAAACGTTTATATAGGGATTTCTAATTATAAAAGAATTTGGGGGACCGATTAGTAAAGTAAATTACTATAGAAACAATTTCTAATTATAAATCTTTAGCGAAATAAAAATTCTATATTATCGCTCTAGACTTTTCCTTAATTATACTTCCCGAGCGTTCTATATTACTATTCTATATTTAGGTATATAGAATAAAGGGTTTAATAACTATACTTCTAAGAGTAAAGAATTCTTTTACCATATAGGACCTGCTAATTTCGTTATTATATTCAATAACTTTTGGTTGGATATTATATTAAATATTTAATATTATAAAGAGGTCGTTAAAGAAGGAGGCAATAATAGTAGCTTTGTAATCTATTATATAGTAGTCCTAAATATACCCAATATATTTATAGGTAATAAATATAATGTTGGAATATCCCTAACGGCTCTTCGTATAATTAAAAAAATCTATAATTAATTTCTCTCCTAAGCTATAACTACGGTCGTAGGGTTTATAATTAATTTATCGTTTAATTTTTAATAAAGTATATATATCGTAGTATATAATAGAAGGACCTTTAAAGCGGGCACTGACAACGTTAGTAAAGTAGTCAAATATTTAAAAACTATAGTAATTAAAGCGGTAGTACTAAATAATAGCCTCTTTCTTATAGTATTTATAGCCGTTAAAGGAGTTGAACTAATTATATTGTATAAAGAAAGCAGCTTTGGAAAAAGAAGGAGAAAGGTCTTCGAAGACTATTTAATAGTATTATATTATAAAACGGTAAAAAAAGGAATAATTTAAGCTTCGAAGGTAATTATTGGGTAGTCGCTAGTCCTAATAGAAACTTTTTTTACGAAGGAGGTAGAAGGAGATAAAATTAATTACAAAATCGGGATAGAAGGCTATATTATAGAAACGAAGCCTCTTAGGCCCTCTATATCCTTAGATTATAATATCTATATTATTATATGCTTTAATAAAAATATAGGAATTTCTAACCTAAAGGTTATTATTATAGGGAGTATAATGAAAGTTGATAAAATAAGTAATTTTATTAAAAATATAAAGGGAATTGCTAGAATCGAAAAGGGTGCTATTTTTGAAAGGGTACGGTTCTAAATTTCTTTTTCCTATTTAGAGAGCCGCTTAGTAAATAATTATTTTGTAATTAACTATTGTTTCCTAAGTACTTTCGTTAGAGAGTTAGTTATTCTTATTACTATTATTATTCTACTTTATCTCCTATTCGAAGCGGTCGATTTTTTTCTTTAACTTTAAGTTATCGCGGAGGTTCTTTTTAACCTTATTTTAAACTTTCTTAATAGGTTTCTATTTAGAGTTAATTACTTTAATAGGGAATAAATATTAATAGTATTTAATTAAATAGAAACCTTATTAATACGCTTTGTAACGAATATTTAGGAATAATAATAAAATATTTGTAGCCGTAACTTCATATTTCCTTTTATAATAATTTTAGGTCCTATTAAATTAAGTATCCTTATTTTTAGTACCGCTATTCTATAAACTGTTAAAGGTTAGGCCCATACCGAATATTCTTCTATAGCCTTTAATCTTACTAATACTAGTAGGAAGTCGCTCGTTTAATCCTTTACGGCGGAAATCCCCGGATATTAAATAGAAATTGAAGGTATTAACTATAACCTTCTTATTAAAATATTTAGAAATACTAAATACTTAAGTAGGTTTAATTAACTATAAATAGTTTAAAAAATCTTTAAATTAAGCGTTAGCTATAGTAACCTTTAAAACCTTATAGTAGATTACGTTAATTATTATAGCGTCTTAACTATTTATTTATTTATTTATCCCCTTATCCTTCTTATTAAGTTTATTTAATGGTAATTTAAAGTAATTATAATATTTTTAGCGAATTTCAGTTTAGGTATGCTTTTTTCGGTAGTTATAACCGTCTTTAATATTAGCGTACTATTCGATTATAAATAGGAGGGATAGAAAATTGCCAATTTTGTAAGAGGGGGATTTAAATTCCTACATTTACTTTCGAATATTAGCGTTATTAATCTTAAAGGATTCGTAGACCTTTATATTATAAAATTAGTTAATATAGTTATATTTATACTCCTATAGATTAAAAGCGGTAAAGTTTATTAATTTAATTATAGTATTATTAGTTTACTAATCTAGGGTTCGGTTAGTAGTTTCTACGCCCTTTAGGAATTAGGGTGCCTCTGAGGCTTTAGTTTCCGCGTCTACGTTTATAATTACCGCTACCGGGGCCGGGGGTACGTAAACTATTATACTAGCTTTAAACCTATTAAAGACTTTTCGAACTCTTTTAATATAGTAGAGGGCTATAATCTTAGTAGCGTAATTGTCAATACAAATAAGTAAGGGCTTTTAAATAACTAGCTCTAGCCCTAGTACAAAATTAGTAAAGTCGAGACTTTTAATATAGCTAAGTAGCTTATCGCTCTAATTACGAAACTTTGAGGGCCCGTCGAAGTAGGGACGGTTAGTTTTTAGAGAGGATTCCTTTAATAGGGATATAATTACTTAATTTGGTCGTTATAGGGGTAGTTCGAAAAGCACTAGTACGTAGATACTCGTACTTCTATAAATATTGGCGTAAAACGCAAGTATCGCGAGTTAGACTATTAATTATTAAAATATATAATTAAATTAAAAAGGTGGGTAAATCTCTATATTGATCTATGTATGTAGAAGAGTGCTGTGGAACCAGAGTTGGGGGCTCCCAGAGTATTAGGGAGGTCTGCAGCCAGATTCTAGGTAGCTGGGAGGCTAGTCCTCATTCAGAGCCCCCTTCTTACTGGCTGGATTTAACCCTCCAAACTGACAATTACCAGCTGGACAACGGTGGAGAGCCCAAGTCCCGTCCCAGCAAGAGATGGATACGAGCAGTTGTCCCCGTACCGTCCTTGCCGTCTTAACCCAGAGCGTCCTAGTTCACGTGCTAAATTTACGCGAGATTTTCTCGGATTTTCCCGAGCAGAGAAGCACGGTCCACCTTGCCCACTATTGTCCACTGCTGCCCACTCTGCTCGGCCGGCCAACCCCTTTCTGCCGTGGCAGCCCACTATAGCCCACCCATTTCCACCACTCTTTGCCAATCAATCAGAAACCCGGCTATTCGTTCCGTCGTCGGTTTAGCCAGAACACCCAAGCACCCAAGCACCCATGCTCCCATACTGAAGATGGACGGCGACAGAGAAGAAACGACCGAATGCAAGAGCGAGCCGTGAAACGCGTTAACAGTAAGTCCAGGAGGGTTCTTGATGCGGGGATGGGCACGCTGATGACAAAAAAAGTGGCAGTATTTCCACCACCACCCAAAACTGCCGTGATGGGGATGGATCATATGCCCAAAAAAAGAACAGCAAGAGATGGCGTCGTCAGCCATTTGTTCGACAGCTTTTTCTAGCTCCATCCTTATTGGCATGTCGCAGATCGCCACCTCCCCACTGCAAAGATTGGGAGGCGTCAGAACATGACCAGGGCAGCACCTGCATGGCGAGACACCACCGCAGTACAGACTACAGACCACAGGCTACAGAGAGAGAGCCCTGTGAGAGCGCGGAAACCAGACACTAGAATACTGCGAAGAACTACCTTCTACACGAACATGGAAAGAATAGAAGAATACCACTCCTCTGCCAAGCAAAGCGAGCTCCAGCAAGACAAGGCTTCGTCTCGTACCATGAAACTGAGCCCTCGGCTGCCAGGTACTCCCCTTCTCCTGCTGCCCGGGCTCCGGGCTCCGGGCTTGTTGACTACCTATACACTGCTCTAACTACCTACGTATCGTACGCTGGCTGACTCTTTCTGTGACGGACCAGACAATGAATATCGTCCCTCGTCCCTCCCTACCCACGTGCTACTACCGCGCCGATATACACCTCAACATACCACAGTATACAAACATGTGCCGACGCAGCCACAAGGCACAGAAATGCTATTTGCTACACATGATGGTTCGCATGATGGTAATGGTGGGTGGTAGTGGTGGTAGTCCAGTGCCCAGCCGGTGTGGTTGTTCCTGAGCGTTCAGGCCTCCCGATTGGCCAATCAGTTCATGTTCTTTTCGACCACTGGCCCGTAAGTAGAGGGCTGCCAAGCTTCTTTAGCCTGCACTGGACACCTCACAAAATCTCCTAGGTCGCTCGTATACTGGAAAAATGTTGTTTTTGCCAAGAACCTGAAGTTGCTCTCGCACTGGCCACAAGACCCCTCATTCAACACGACAATTTGTTGGCCGCCGGATTGCCTACCACGTCGTCGAATTAGCCAATGGCACGGAGATAGTGAAAGTCTACGAATCGAGATGATGGACAGAAACACCGAGGGTCTCGCAGAAACTACTAGCCTCTACTAGCCTCTAGGGGCCTCCTCTTAGGGCCTACGGTATCGCGCCCCCATCAACCCGCGCCAAAACTTGCCCATGCGGCCCCGTCTGATGGAGATCCGGTGGCGTTCTGCGTAAAACCAAACGCTGTGATGTGAGAAGGACATACTCGTCAGGTCTTCAAAACAGCCCTGACGCCTGACGAGGACGCTACTGGACCATTTGGACGGCTTCTTCGTCGCAGAACCACCTGGACGGGTGAGAGAATGCCGTTGTGCCTCCTTTTCTGGGCTCCTTGGAACGTTTCGCTGGTGGGCCGTTCGGACGACACGACACCCTAGACACCGCCAAATAGGGGCCGCACAGTACGGCACCAAGGTCGCTTGACGTCGAGTGGGCCGGACGGCGCCCCCTATCGCGCCCCCCTACTGGCTGCTACTGGTCGACGGCCCCTTGTCCACCGTGCATCACAAATGGGCGGAAGACACGGATGCGCCAACAACCATGAACGCATCCGAGCTTTGGCAAGCCAGACAAGTTGCCCCAGAATGGCTGAAGCCCCTTTCTGCCTGGTGGGCCTCTCAAAAGCAACATGTTCATGTCGTGGGGTTGCCAGCCACCAAGGACGGCCAGATCCGTTCGTTACGTATCCAACACCTTGGGGCAGCCAGCACATCTTTTCCTCTTCTCAAACTCACGTTGTTCCATATTCTGTATCGTCCTTCATTCGCGTGGCTTGTGTTGGAGATCTTGGGCCGGTTCCGTCGTCGTCGTTCGTTTTACACACGTTTACACGCCTATTGCCTACCTACCACTACTACTTATCCCGTCTCTCGTTACAGTTTTTCCTGTCGCTCCCCATGAAGTGGTGAGCGACGGTGACGATGACTCGTCTTGCGTTGTTTTCGATTCGCGCTCTCTTCACATTAGCGACAACATTCACACTCACTGACGCCCTCCGATACGATGCCACACAGATAGACTACAATCTCAACCGGAACAAAACCGCCACAAATCCTCTCGACTACTGGGGCGACCGAACAGAGGATGACCCGAACTTTAAATACCACCCCTCGCCCAAATCCTGGCGAGTACCCTTCTACACCGTCTTCGTTGATCGTTGGGTAAACGGCGACCCAGACAACGACAATGCCAATTTAACCCTTTTCGAGGCCGATATCATGAGCAATCAGCTCCGGTTCGGCGGTGACGTGGATGGAATAATAGACTCTCTGGATTACATTCAGGGACAGGGAGTCAAGGTACGAACGAGCCGACTGTTTGAGCACCCCCCAAAAATGGCGGAAACTAACAAAAAAAAATCACAGGGCATCTACATTGCAGGATCCCCCTTTATCAACCAACCGTGGGGTGCGGATTCGTACTCGGTAGGTTTCTCCCTCGAAACTCGACAAGACCTCAAAGCTGACCGTTTCTGCTTGCTAGCCACTTGACTTGACTCTTCTCGATAGGCATTTCGGTAATATCAAAAAATGGCAGGAGGCGATCGACGCCATTCACGCTCATGGCATGTGGGTTATCATGGATAATACAATGGCAACGTAAGTGAAGCCTGGCTCCGAACTCTTCTCTCCCGGTCGCGGTGATGGCTGACCTGATTTGTAGCATGGGTGATCTCATTGGTTTCGAGGGTTACCTGAACACAAGTACGCCTTTCCTCACGGAGGAACACAAGGTCCTGTGGAAGAGCGATCGGCGTTATTTGGACTTCGACATCGGCAACACATACAACCAGACGTGCGACTATCCAGAGTTCTGGTACGAAGATGGCAAGCGGATCAAGCCCGATGGGCTAAAGGGATGCTACGACAGCGACTTCGATCAATATGGTGATATTGAAGCCTTCGGTGTTTTCCCCGATTGGCAACGCCAGCTTGCCAAGTTCGCCTCCGTTCAGGATCGTCTCCGCGAATGGAAGCCCGACGTGATTGCTCGACTCGCCCGATTTTCCTGCATGACAATCGGCATGTTGGACGTCGATGGTTTCCGTATCGACAAGGCCGTCCAGGTTACCGTTGACGCTCAGGCGCATTTTAGCAGCGCGATGCGAAAGTGCGCAAAGGAAAAGTTCGACAAGGACAACTTCATTATCGTCGGAGAAATTACGAGTGGTAACACTTTGGGTTCTATCTACCTTGGCCGCGGTCGCGAGCCCGAACCAGCCGAGGAGCTTTCGGAAGACCCCCAAAAGGCTCTGACCCTCGGCAACTCGACTACCGATGTCTCCAAGTACTTCGTTCGCGAGAAGGGCAACAGTGCCCTGGATGCTGGCGCGTTCCACTATTCCGTCTATCGTTTCATGACCCGCTTCTTGGGCATGAGCGGCAACCTCAGAGCCGGCTACGATTTGCCCACGGACTGGATTGAGACTTGGCAGGAAATGATCGCAACAAACGACTTCTGGAATGCCAACACCGGTGAATTCGATCCTCGCCATCTCTACGGTACATCCAATCAGGACGTGTTCCGCTGGCCAGCCATTGAAAAGGGTACCGAGCGCATGCTTCTCGCCTACTTCATCACTACCTTCCTCTTGCCAGGCGCCCCCCTGATGTATTACGGTGAAGAACAGGAGCTGTATGCGCTGGACGGCACGGCCAGTAACTATGTCTACGGTCGTCAGGCTATGGCTCCCAGCCCGGCATGGATGGCCCACGGCTGTTTCTCGTTGGAGAACGATCTCTACGTCGATTGGCCGGCCACCAAGGCCCTAAATGGCTGCAAAGATCCGTCCGTTGGCTGGGATCACCGCAATCCTGCTGCGCCCGTGCGCAACATCCTGAAGAACATGTTCGCCCTGCGGAACTCTTCCGAGCTCGGAGTCCTCGAACACGGCTGGTTGCTTGAGAAGCTTTCCAACCAGACCGATTTCACGTTGCTTAAAGGCAGCGGTGACCCTACGGAACGTGGTATCTGGAGTGTCGTCCGTGGACTGTACCCTGGAGTGCAAGACGCGCTCAAGGACAAGCCTGTTTGGTTCGTTTACCATAACCGAGAGAACACAACGACTTACAAGTTCAACTGCGACCAGAGGGAGGGCGCGTTCCTTTCGCCCTTTGATGCCGGAAGCCAGGTCAAGAACCTGATGGACGATGGCGATGTCGTCACGCTGTCTTCGTCCAACGTCAAGAACAACTATACCAACTCGGGCAAGAACATGGGCTGTCTTCCAGAGGTCACCCTGGAGCCGTTCGAGTTCCGTGTCTATGTGGATGACCCTGCGGACCGCTGGATGCAGCCGGCACCGATGATCACCAAGTTTACGCCAGGACACGACCGCCCTATTGACTCGACGACATTAGTGAACGGCCGTCAAGAGATCTCGTTTGAGTTCAATACTGAGATGGACTGCGATAGCGTGACGAAGTCGCTCACTGTCAACTTGACGCAAGATGGCGTGAATGACCCCACGCCGCTCTCTTGGACCACGCCCGTATGTGGAAATTTTACACCCCAGGATGAGGACAAAGTCAAGTACACGGGAGCCATCAACTCGGCCTGGAAGTGGTCTACTAATTTGACAAATGTTGCTGACGGCATCATCAAGCTCACTGTTGGTCCCAACGCCGCATCCAAGCTCAAGGTGGCGACCGGCACTCGCGATCACTTCTTGCTCAGAATTGGCAAGCCTGTCAATCCTGTTGTGTGGGGAATGGGTGCAACCTACAACTGGGACCTTCTTCAGAGCGTAAGCGGCAACATGTACAAGATCAAGCATAGCGCCCCCGGCGCAACGAAATGGCGTTACAGCACCAACTTCGGATCTACGTGGAGCGGGTGGGTTAATTATACCGGCATAGACACCCCTGTTACCGCCCAGCAGTGGTCGGGAACTGATTTGCAGGCATGGGAGGGCCAGCATATTCAAGTCCAATACTTCAGCAAGCCTTTGGGCTCGTCGGCGTTCATTCAGCACTCGGACAAGGGTGTCAACTACCAGCGTGTGCAGCCGCACATCAAGCTTCACGGTCCCTTCAACAAGTGGGGTTACGACACCGGCCTGCCGGGTTCGATGGATCTTGTCGGCGACAACACTTGGTCGTTGCATTACATGTATGAATGGCCGGCCAACTTCCAGCTCAACATTTGGGGTATCAACGCGGACAACCAGCCTGATGTCTCCTTCATCTTTGGCGATATTGATGGTGACCACGTTGTTGACCGCCTTCCCCCTAGCAGTCTTGCCAACAACGTCATCAACATCACCGATCCTCCCCCAATGCCAGCTCTTGCGTGGAAGGTTTACTACAATGACGCGACCTGGACGTACCATTTGGAGCCGGCTGGCAACATGAACGTCCAGATTGCTCTCTTCTGGCTCTTCGCAATCCTACCTGTGGCGTTGGCATGCTTCGCTGGTTGGATCTACGTCACCAGTTTCTACCAAGTCAAGGTCAACAAGTCCGGTTTCGCGGCCAAGGGCTGGATGCCACTCAAGATTGGCAACCTCTCGAAGCTCAACCTTGGCGGCGGCAAGGGCGTTGAGATGAACTCCATTACACCACCGCCCCCGAGCAGTGCGCTTTCTCCCCTTGGTGCTGCCGGTGGCCGAAGAACCGTGTTGATTGCCACCATGGAGTACAACATTGATGACTTCAAGATCAAGATCAAGATTGGTGGCTTGGGTGTCATGGCCCAGCTGATGGCGAACGCGTTGAACCATATGGACATCGTTTGGGTCATTCCCGTGGTAGGCGACGTTCACTATCCCCTCGAGAAGATGCAAAAGGCCGACCCCATGTACGTCGATGTCATGGGTCAACCCTATGAGATCGAGGTCTACTACTATGTCGTCAAGAACATCACCTACGTCCTTCTCGATTGTCCCATCTTCCGCAAGCAGACCAAGGCCGATCCTTACATCGCCCGTATGGACGATATCGAAAGTGCCATCTTGTACGCTGCATGGAACAGCTGTATCGCCGAGTCTATCCGCCGCTTCCCAGTCGATATCTACCATATTAACGATTACCACGGTGCCGCCGCTCCCCTCTATCTGTTGCCCCAGACCATTCCCATCTGTCTTTCGCTCCACAACGCCGAATTCCAGGGTATGTGGCCGATGCGTACCCCCGAGGAAGCGAAGGAAGTCTGCGAGGTGTTCAACCTGCCGCCTGAGGTCGTCAAGGATTACGTTCAGTATGGTTCCGTCTTCAACCTGTTGCACGCTGGCGCCAGTTATCTCCGTATTCACCAGCGTGGTTTCGGTGCTGTCGGTGTGTCCCGCAAGTACGGTGATCGTTCATTGGCTCGTTACCCTATTTTCTGGAGTTTGAAGAGCATTGGCCAGCTTCCCAACCCCGATCCTTCCGATACCGCCGACTGGGATCCCAGCCAGGATGCCAATGACCAAGCAAAGGGCGTTGAGGTTGACCAGGCAGCCGAGGAGAAGAGAGGAGAGTACCGTCGCCAGGCACAGGAATGGGCTGGTCTCGAGGTGGACCCTTCGGCTGAGCTCTTCGTCTTCGTTGGTAGATGGTCTCTTCAGAAGGGTGTGGATCTGATTGCTGATCTGTTCCCCAGCATTTTGGAGAAGGTGAGTCAGCCCCCATTACATACTACTAACTGCATATTGTTTGCTGACAGAGAATCGGAAATAGTACCCCAAGACGCAGCTCATCGCCGTTGGTCCCGTCATTGATCTCTACGGTCGCTTCGCTGCCCTCAAGCTGGAGAAGCTCATGCAGAAATATCCCAAGCGTGTCTTCAGCAAGCCCGAGTTCACCTCGCTTCCTCCCTACATCTTCACCGGTGCCGAGTTCGCCCTTATCCCTTCCCGTGATGAGCCCTTCGGTTTGGTCGCTGTCGAGTTCGGAAGAAAGGGTGCCTTGGGTGTCGGTGCTCGTGTCGGTGGTCTCGGTCAAATGCCTGGTTTCTGGTACACTGTCGAGTCCATGACGCCCTCCCATTTGATCCAACAGTTCAGACAGGCTATCGAATCCGCCCTTGCCTGCAAGCACAACAAGAGAGCTGTCATGCGTGCGTGGTCCGCCAAGCAGCGTTTCCCCGTCGCCCAGTGGGTTAAGCAGCTCGACGACTTGTACAGCGAGTCTATCCGTATCCACATCAAGGAGCAGAAGAAGAAGAAGATGGAAGTCCTGAGCCCTGGCCTTAGCGTGCCCGGTGCCTCGTCGCGTGCTAGCTACGCCGATCCTGGCAGCGGTCGTTCGTCTCCTGGTCCTCTCACCGGTCCATCCCGTCCCGTTACACCCACGCTCCGCGATCTCGCTTCTCCCGATCTCCCGACACCGGGTGCCCCCTGGGCAGGCGGAAGGTCCGAGTCACCGGGAGCCCGCGACTCGACTGCGAGCTCCATTGGTGGAAACTTCTACTTGCAGCCTAACGGTGCTCGTGAGAGTACTATGAGTGTAGACAGCTTTGCGATCCGTGCCCAGAATGGAGGGCCCATGTCGCCTGGCCTTGCTCCCGATGGCGGCCTTGCCTTCCCTCGTCCTGCGTTTACACAAGCCCATCGCAACAGCAGCCTGCTCAGTCTTCCGGACGTTGTCGGTGACCGACACGATCTTAAGCTTCAGAAGGTTGACCAGTTCTTCAACGATACCAACGGCGAATACTATGCGGAATTCGAGCAGATGCTCGAGGCCTTGACCGCTAGCAACTCTTCTAGCGACCTCTGCATTGAAACCTTCTTGAAGAGGAGTGAAAAGGAGTGGTTTGCTAGATACAGAGACGCCAAGCTTGGTCGCCACAGAGACGCCAGCCGTATGGGCCGGAGTCCTGGAGGCAGCAGACCCGAGTCGAGAAACGGGGATCGCAGCGAGTCGGTTGTCAGCCGTGGCCGCCAACCTATGCGCAGCGCTACCCCCAGTGGCTTGGCTAGGTCTGTCTTCGAGGAGTCGCCACCGGGTGGACGTGCCGATTACGACGATGAGTTCTTGTTGGGTGACGGTTACCAGGCTCCCACTGGTCTGAAGAAGCTCCTCTCCGTTCGCATCGGTGACTGGCCGCTCTACGCGTTCCCCCTCGCTCTTGGTCAAATCATCTCTGTCAACTCTTACCAGATCGTCCTATTGAGTGGCACGCAAGCCCAGACGCCCGAGAAGCTCTACACGGTCGCCGGTGTGTATATCGCTACATCCCTCGGGTGGTGGGGTATGGAGCGCAACTTCAAGTCGGTCTACGCCCTGTCTCTTCCCTGGTTCTTCTTCGGTCTTGCCTTCCTCCTTCTCGGTATCGCGCCATTCATTGGCGACTGGAAGGTGGCTGACAGCGTGACAAGCGCGGCTACCGCTTTTTACGCGGCCGGAGCCAGTCATGGTGCCTTGTCGTTCGCCCTCAACTTCGGTGATGAAGGTGGTGCTCCTACCAGGCAGTGGATTACTCGTGCCCTGATCGTTTCCGGTATCGCCCAAGTCTACAGTCTTGGTCTCTGGTATTGGGGTGCGACTGTGTCGAGCGAGGCTCAGACCATGTCCAAGTTCATTGGCGAGTCGAGCGTCCCCCTGGCCGTTGTCATTTGCGTACCGGTTGCCATCTTCCTCTGGGCGATTGGCGCGGTTCTTTACGTCGGTTTGCCAGACTTTTATCGCCAGTCTCCGGCCGCGATTCCCGGCTTCTACATCTCGCTGTACAGGCGTAAGATTGTGCCCTGGTTCTTCGTCATGATCATCCTCCAGAACTACTGGCTGTCGGCGCCCTATGGCCGCAGCTGGGGCTTCCTGTTCGCGACGCAGTTCATCCCCAACTGGGGCATCTTCCTGATGGCCCTCGGTTTCTTCGTGGTGCTCTGGAGCATCGTCCTCTACGGCTTCTCCTACTTCTCGGACGAGCACACGTGGCTCCTGCCCATCTTCGCCATCGGTCTCTGCGCTCCTCGCTGGGCTCAGGAGATGTGGGGCACCAGCGGTATCGGCTGGTACCTCCCGTGGGCCGGCGGCCCTGTCGGCTCGGCCGTCCTCTCCAGGTGTCTCTGGTTGTGGCTGGGCCTGCTGGACAACATCCAGGGCGTCGGTCTCGGCATGATGCTGCTGGCGACGCTGACGAGACAACACGTGCTGACGGTGCTGCTTGGCGCCCAAGTGATCGGTTCCGTGTTTACGATGATTGGACGCGCGACGAGCCCGAACGCTCTGTCGCCCAATACGACTTTCCCCGATTTCTCGCAGGGCTTGTATCCCGGCGTCGCGAGCCCGTACTTCTGGGTTTGCTTGCTTTTCCAGTTGATTATCCCAGTTGGGTTCTTCAAGTTCTTCAGAAAGGAACAGGTGGCGAAGCCATAAATGAATTTTTACATCTCTAATTTAATGGCGGAGTTGAGTGTTGGCGGCGATTGGTGGTGTGCGATGCGGCTGCTGCGGCGAAGTTTGGCTGGAGTTGTGGTATCGTCAACAGGTCACAGGTTATAAGGTGGTGGTGGTGGATTTGATGGTGGTTAGACCGGGTGGTGAAACGTCTTTTTACATACACTCACGCACACACGCACGCATACGCACACATACGCAAGGCTACTCTCACGCGCAAAGCATATTATTTACATATCATATATATTTTTGTTTTATCTCACATCTTCATCATCATCAAAGAGTGCGAGCGTGTGTGTGTGTGTGTTGGGAGAGGGAGGGATAAAAAAAGGGGGATTGATTGACTGATCATCATCGTCGCTTTTGGAAAGAGATACCACCATCCTTTTTTCTTTTTCTTATCATCACGTCTGTCTCTTGTCATTTTGTCTTGTCATTTTTTGCGGCGTCATTACAGTACTTATAGAAAGCGAAAAGGGGGAACGAAGGAAGGAAAGGCGGGAGGGATCAAAGAGAGCACGCATCGCATCGCATCGCGTCGTCTGTCATCGTTGTCATGAAGAGAGCAAGCAACGTTTCCATTTTACCACTCAAGCAAAGGGTATTCTTTTGTATATATAGTCTTCATACGAATTTTGTTAATAGATGGGATACACAAGTAACTTTACAAAAGTAAAAACATGAACTCCGTTGCTCCTGTGAATGTGGTCACCTATCTCAGATATATTCTGCCCACATGTCTAGCGGTATGAAAGAGGAGGAAGATGAAGCAGACCACGACCGGTAATACCAGAATCTTAACATTAATTTTTCAAGGATGCTTGCTAATTATAGGTACTTTGCAGAACTAATAGATTTGGGTATAATTCCATGCTTCCATGCGTCAGTCATCATCGTGGACACCATTCTCATCAGGCGTGACACTCGGCCACTCAACACCCCTTCTTATCCAAAATCCATGCCCCAAGCATCACTCATTCAGTACGCAAACAACCTCACCCCCTCCGTTATACTAGACACCTTTGCTTAATCCATATGAACCATCTGCCCGGTACATGCGCCGACGCCGACGCCTTAACCAAAGCTAGAAACAAAAGCAAATGCTCAGCTGCGAGAAGATCCGGCTCTTGACCACCAGTCGTGAATATGCCGACATCGAGCGGGTCATGGCTCCTGTTTCCCTTTCTGTACCCGCCTCACGCGAGGAGGTGGAGAAGGATATTCTAGTCTTTGTCGACAAAAGCATCAGTCGAAGCAACAGTTTCAAGCGTTGGCCCCACGATCTGAAGCTTGAGGAACAAAAAGAAGAAGGCCAAGAAGATCAGTGTTGAAGAGGAGCACGAGATCAGGATGGAGCTTGATGGCACGACGCAAGTCGACGATACCATGGCAGTTGAGGAGACCACGCAAGTCGAGCTGGAAAGAGCAACTCGAATCATGTCGAGGAAGGTGCCCCAATGATGCTGATGATGGTGGATGAAGGAGAGAACGAGAGACGGAAAAAACTTCACGTCCATGGGGGAGAAGGACGGGGTGTACCGAAGCCAGGAAAGAGCAACCCGTTATTATGTCGAGGAAGGTGGGGGAGAATGACGGGGTGTACCGAAGCAAGGAAAGGGCAACCTGATATTATGTCGAGGAAGGTGGGAGTGATATCGGGTTGTTCTTTCCCTAGTGATGATGGCTTCGGTATACCCCGTTATTCTCCCCTATGGACGTGAAGTTTTTTTCCGTCTCTCGTTCTCTCCTTTATCTATTATTAGTATCGTGGTCTAATATGGCGTCCGAATTTGTACCCTCGAAAAAACTATACTAATTTATATGGGAAATTATAAATAATAAGCATGTAGTGCTTGAAATCCCTGTACTCATTCCTTTCTATGAGGTTTTGAAAGGACTTCTTATTAATGTTGAATTCGCTCGTGGTGTCCCTATTCTCTTCGATAGCCTTATACCCCCGACGATTGTATTCTTCAAATCGCTACCTAGCAAGTTCTTAAGGCAAAATTGGGGAGTTTATATCCTCATTTTAAAAAGACCCGGCTTACTGATAGCAATTTATATCGGCTCCTTTATAACCTCTAGAGGAAGTATTATGAAGCGTATTTAGAAATATTGTTAAGCGCGCGCTAACTTTGGTAAGGTCCCTTCAGTTGAGGGCGTTTAACGGGCCTTCGACCGGGGATATATAATTGTCTATTATGGGTAAATTGCGAAGGTATTATTACTAAATTAATAGACGAAGAGAATCCGGGTTTTGATTATCGGTAAGAATAACTATATCCTCACGCTTGTACCCAAAATACTCGACTAGATATAATAATATGTTCCTAACATTATTGTAGTTATCGAGGCTACTATATATTGTATTTTGTAGTTGTTAAAGTCTAATAAGATTTAGGGTTTCTATAACGCTAAGTACCGGGACCTCTGCCCCTGAGATAAGGCCAAATACCAATATATTAGTCTTAATGGAATAAACCCTTCACGTTGGCTAATTCCAGGGTTTAAACGGAAACTTGTTGTTGATAGTAAAGAGGAAGCTAAGCGTTATGTTTGCAAAGATTGCAGCAACCAAGTTTTCGGAAGCAAGTCGGAGCTAGACAAACACCTCACATCACAGAGGCACAAGGACCGTGTAGCTGGGATATTGGGATTCCGTTGCGGTGTATGCAACAGATATTTCAAGGACGCCCACCGTTTATTGCGCCACGAGAGAACTGCCAAGATCCACCAGGATATGCTTGCGGCTCGTGGAGAGGAGGTACAGCCGTGGGTCCCTACCAGGGGCAAGTCCGTCAAGCCACGCTGCCAACCGTGTCGCAAGAGACACAGAGGGTGTGACAGGCAACGACCTTGCGGCACATGCAAAGATGACGGCATTCCCGCCGAGCAATGCATTGGCGATGAAGCCGACTCCCTGCTTGATGTTGACGCTACCGGTCAGCTTGTTGGGGATGAGCCGTTCCATCACGAAGGGATCCCGGAAGGTGTTGTTTAATACCACTAAAAACCCGTTCGGCTCGTCGTCGTCTTGGTTCTCTCCTGAGCCGTTAATATGGAGTTGGTTCTAATATATATCATTGCCAACCGCCCGCGCGCTCGCCTGCCCGGAGCCGCAAGTCAAAACTGATACGGCCCTATCTTGATATACGCGGTCAGCATGTCGTGTTTAAGGGAAGCGTTGAGGATCTTGGCGTTGCCGATGTTGGAGCGGTCGAGGTAGCAGAGGAAGTAGATGGAGGCGGAGAGGGGGACGATGCGGGAGTCTTGTTTGCGGCTTAGGGATGCTTCGGCGGCGGCGAGGGATTCAGGAGTTTGGTCTGGGGTGGTGGAAGAAGGGGATCGGGATTGCTATAGGGTGGCGGGAGAAGTGTTAGTGATGCTAAGAATGAGACGAGAAAGAGAGGTGGTTAGATAGGTGGGATAAGGGGAATGGGGCGGCGTAAGGGGAGAAAAGGGTAGCGTACTTCCTTGTTGAGGATGCCATGCTCGACGTCGTCGTCGGCTATCCTCTTTTCTTGTGGGTTGAGGTCCGCCATCTTTGCCAGCCAGTGGGTGTTGGGGGGAACTGCCGTTGGATGGTGTAGTGCGCCTGGTGAAGGCTTGATGATGCTTTTCCTGCTAGAACTTGACTGCCGTGATTTCGCCCCTAGTGGTCACACGATGTCTCTGCGATGGTCCTCGATGAAAGCAAAGTAAAGCCCCCTTGTGAAGCAAGAGCGACTGAAAGCACCAAAGGGGAAGCTGGAGAGAGGTCGTATCGTGGGACAACTCTTCCCTTTATGCAACACCGGAGCCCTTGAAGACACCGCCCAACCATCTTGCCTTGCATCTGTACATGTAACCTGATGTTGGCATGTAACTCTGGTGATACTGCATAGTACCTAGTGCGGTGGAGTCCAACTTCACCGTTCGGTGCGGTTGGCCACGACTGGAGGTGGGGTACAAAAGGCGGTTCTTCCACTTGTAATTTCTTCCCTAGATTCTTCTCCAATACATCTACTTTTGGCCACTAATCAATTATCATGATCTTTTCTACCTAATAACCGTGCATCAACCTTTCTGCATTCTGGATTCGGTCCATCATCACCGCGACGGGGGATCACTTGGAGATTGGAGGTTGGAGGTTGGAGAAAAAGCAAAATGCGGGGGTGAACATCCGGGTTTCTTATTGGAGAATGGACGGGGTAGGAACGCGGGAAGCGGCCACTGCAGGGGACAGAGTTGATAAGAGCACTTTGGAGGACAGTGTCGTCGCGGACGACGAGATTGTTCTGGGTTTAGGGTTTTGCGCCGGTAGTGTCTTTGACGTAACATTGTGCTCCTCAACAGGAAATAGTCACCTACATAGTACGCAGTGAGATACAGACAATAAAGAGGGTTGAGACTAACAGTCTAATCCACGATTGAAAAGCAGGCGGATTCCTTTCGTCTCGTCTCAGTAAATCTGCCCCTGGGTCCGGGAAGCTTGCAATCCGAAAGATGGGCGTAAATCATTGGAAAAATAGAACGGACGAAATGTCGAGACGAACTGGTTCTTTGTGTAAGTCAGCCCTACCGGCCGGCAAGCTCCACACTTCCTTGGTGATGCTCGTGCGGTACTGGAGCCAAGAACGGTCCACTTCATCCGAGGTCCCAGTCTGTCGATGGACATATATGGATGGACTCGTTGAATCTCAACATAGCGGATGAGAGAGTCCAAGAGATAGACGAGTAGGGTGGTATCCACACGTTTATTTTGTTTGTAAATGATCATATCAGATCACCCCCTCTAAAGTCCCCCCAGTTCTCCTAAAAATCGCTCATAAACTCGCTATACAGTACATACAATACACACAACCAAATAGACCCCAGCCCTAGGCAAATCCCTTAGTCGGTCAGGTTGTAGATCTTCTGGATATCCTTGAGGATGGTCTTGAAGTCGACGTTGAGGTCCGTGAGCAGGCCGTCGCGGAAGTTGAAGACCCAGCCGTGGATGACGGGGAAGCCGTTCTCGGCATACGACTGCTGCAGGGCGGCAGTCTTGACGACGTTGCGGCACTGCTCGTAGACGTTGAGCTCGACGAGGCGGTCGTAGCGGGCCTCCTCATCAGCGATGGCGTCGAGCTCCTTCTCGTGCAGGCGGTAGACGTCGCGGATGTTGCGCAGCCAGGGGTTCATGAGGCCCAGGTCCTTGGGGGTCATGGCAGCCTTGACACCGCCGCAGCCGTAGTGGCCGCAGACGACAATGTGCTTAACCTTGAGGTGCTTGACGGCATACTCGATGACGCTCATAACGTTGAGGTCCGTGTTGCACACCAGGTTGGCAATGTTGCGGTGCACAAAGGCGTCGCCGGGCTGCAGGCCCGTGATCTGCTCGGCGGGGATGCGCGAGTCGGAGCATCCGATCCAGAGGTACTCGGGGTTCTGGCCGGCCGCGAGCTTCTTGAAGAAGTCGGGGTCCTTGGCGACCTGCTCGGCGGCCCAGGACTTGTTGTTCTCAAACACCTTGTCGTGCGTCTCCTGGAGATACATGGTGATGTCTTTCTTGCGGTCTTTATCGTCGACGACGGTGTGGGAGCTGCAGAAGCGGCGCGGGGTAGCACTCGGGAGCGTGAGTCGCAGGGGAGTCGACGTCGTTGTCGGGATGGCGAGGCGCGATAGGGCTGAGGATGCTTGCTTGGAGGAGTGAAGCAGGGGAGAAAGACCGAGGCGTGTGCTAAACATGGTTGAGGGTGGTGGGTTGTGGCCTGATGTGTGGATCGTGGATCGAGGGTCTGGATCTGCAATTGCCAATGCGACAATTCTGTGTTGCCCGAAGAGAAACCGAGAGACATTGGCTGAGGCCGATAATGACCCTAACCCTGTGTTATCAAAGCAAAAGGTGGAGAATTGTCAAGCAGAGTCTCGATGTCGAGTCTCTGGGCATCAGGGGAAAGTGCGAGATGAATGTTGCTTCATGAGATTGCCCCTGCCCTGCCGCAGTGGGATTGGGCAATTGCCTCAACGCACCTGCTCGCCCAAGTGACTCGCAGGTGCAGACCAGCACATCATCTCCAAGGAAGTCGCGACCAAACTGGAAGTCCCCTCGTGCAGAGCTGGACTTTCCCAGCTATCCTTTGACCAGATCCGTCATCCATAACCCCAGGCAACAACATCGAGCTCGACCAGCAGTGAACCTTCCAGCCTAGATGCCTTTGCCGTGGGGTTCTACTCATTGCTTGCTCCTTCAAGGTCCAATGCAAGGCAACGATGAGCAACGATCATGGTTTTGGCATCACCTTCCCTGTCCGCTTTCACCATGAATTATCACCTCTTTACCTCTCCTCCCCGCCCCCCTGCTGCTCTCTTCTCTTGACTTCAGGCGGATCTCCGACGAAAATCAGGAAAGAATGTTTCGACCATGCCCTCTGTCAACTACACAACCACTGCTCCTCATCAGTAGCTCATGTACTCTCCATGGTCGTCCACTCCTGCCTCGCCTTTTATCTGCACAGCTCAGCAGAAGGCATCATGGTTAAACAGACCTATTTATCATGATCAACCCGTTAGCCCTCTTTCATCTTCTTCACCACCAGGCCGCACCAACACATAGACTCTCTAGACGCCATTTTACCAATCAGCATTGATAGCATCGATAAACCGGTCTTGCCCAAAGCTCTCCAACACGAACCCGTTGCTCTCTTGACACTCGCAGCATTCCCTCTTCTTCTTGAGTCACCACGCTTGTCATATCTTGATCTGCAAAAGTAAGTCACATCACTCTTCTTTTCCCAGCTACACTTGCTGACTATGAGGTATGGCCACAGGAAAACGCCAGAAACGTCCTCATCAGGTAGCCACCCCGGGCCACTGCCACAGATCTGCGACATCTGCAATCTTCCCTTTGAATCGGAACAAGCACTTCAATCCCACCAAACGACTCATGTTGAATTGAGACCTTTCGAGTGCCCACAATGCCATCAACGATACGCACGGAATGACCTCTTGGAACAGCACCTTGAAGTTCATAAAGAAGAGGAATTTTTCGACTGCCCACATTGCGATAGAAAATTCAGAAAGAAACGCAGACTGAATGAACACCTTCTGACGCATACTGAAGAGAGGCCGTTCGGGTGCGAACATTGCCACAAACGATTTAAACGGAAAAGTGATAAAAACCAGCACCTTCAGACTCATACTGAAGAGAAGCCTTTCGAGTGCGAATATTGCCATAAAGGATTTAAACACAAGAGCGACCGGGATCGGCACAGTCGGACGATTCATACTGAAGAGAAGCCTTTCGAGTGCGAATATTGCCATAAAGGATTTAAACACAAGAGCAACCGGGATCAGCACAGTCGGACTCATACTGGAGAGAAGCCTTTCGGGTGCAACCAATGCGAAAAGAAATTCTCGCGGAAATACTATCTCGAAAAACACCTGAATAGTCATTGCATTCCGAGGCAGCCTTTCAAGTGCCGTATATGCAACAAGGAATTTGAGAAGCAAGAAAGTTTTGATGACCAAATGGAAGACCATGCCGAGGGTTTATTCGAGTGCCCGGTATGCGCAAAGGACTTCCCAGATCAAACCAGCCTTAACGAACATGATTGTAAGGGGCCATATCCCGTCTCGCAGCTGTTCGAGTGCCGTATATGCAAGAAGGAATTTGAGAAGCAAGAAAGTTTTGATGACCACATGGAAGACCATGCCGAGGGTTTGTTCCAATGCCCGATATGCGAAGAGGACTTACCAGATCTTGACGAGCATGATTGTGAGGGGCCATATCCCGTCTCGCAGCCGATCAAGTGCGATAAGTGCATCAGGGAATTTGTGGCGCAAGAAAGTTTTCAAAACCACATGAAAGAACATGCCGACGGTCGGCTCACGTGCTTCAGATGCCACGCAGAGTTCCCTGATCAATCCATGCTTGTGGCGCATGACGCGTGTTGTATGTACGAGGTACATCCCAGCCCGCAGCCTTCAGAAGGCGATTCGAGTGTCCAGGAACAACCTCTCCGCAAAAAGCGCCGTACCTTCTAATCCCCATGACGTCCACGACTCGGACTCTGCCCGTTTGACATCAGGCAAGTATTTGATCCAGCCGGCCATCTAGGCGTGGGAGTACATCTCAGCGGCTCCGAGCTTTGGTATATTGGTCTCGCTGACTCTGGCCTTCATAGAACACAGATGTAGCCACTGATGGCCCATGACTTGACGGTCGTCTCAAAGGCCCAAAGGTCTGCCTGGATTTTTCAGTGTTCTTCCCACCTGTTGTTGGAAATAACTTGAAGCGTTGGGCCGTTGTAATTGGGGTGGTGGTATGAGCAACGCCAGCGAAGACCGCGAAGGTACGAAAGAAATGGAGAGAGGGTCATGAATGTTGGAGGAGAATCCGAATAAAAACATGCGACGGAAACTCAGGCCTGAATGAGAGTTATCAACAGCGATGATCATCTTGGGTAAAACAGCATTAACAGTCATTAGTACCTTGTCTCATTTTGTTTATCCCCCAGTCTTCTCAAACCAGCCAGGCAGCATAATCACATTTTTTTTGTTAAACCAAGTCCCCATTACTCAATGTTGCCCGCCGCCATTACTAGCATGGACAGGTAAGCCCCCAACTCTCAGCTTCTCCCTCCCTGCTCCTCCTCCAAACAAGCTATACCTCATCTTTCTCCTCCCCGGCAGTGCCGTCGAAGCAGGCACCGTCGTCGCTATCGGCATTGGCATCGCCATCGACATTGGCGTAGGCAGCGGCCCAAACCCAGCGGCCGCAGCGGCAGCAGCAGGGAAGTTCAAGTTCAAGTTCTCAGCCGGGCCATTGCCAAACCCCTGATGTCCACCACCACCACCGCCTCCTCCTCCTCCGTAGTGTCCCCCGAATCCCTCTCCGCCTCCCTCCTTCTCATACAGCGGCGCATGATGATCATGATGACGGAAACGCTCCAATCCTAATCCCAATCCCAGTCCCTTCGGCATGTGCCACCCCGTCCCCGCAGCTCCAGACCCAGACCCAGACGACCCCATCGAGCTCGAGTTCGAGTTCAAGTCAACAACAACAAACCCCTGCACCAACCCATGATTTCCACCTCCACCACCCGCAACACCGTTACCCCTCTCCAGCCTCAACCTCGTCTTTTTTGCCCTCTCTCCCAACACCGCGTTCGTCATGATCCCCCCTTGTCCCATAGCGCCGCCCAGGCTAATCCGAGCCTGCCCATCCAAAGCCGTCATGCCCGGCAGCGCGGAACTCTTGAAGATTTGTATCCCCTCCATTCTGGTTTGGACGATGATGGCGGTGAGGAAAATGGCTGATAACAAGACTTGGACGAACAAGAAGGAGAGCCAGGACCAGTTGATTTGGACGAGCGTCACGGCTGCCTGGTTACTGTCGAAGGGCTCGCCGAAGGCGTTGTGGTGGGGTTGCGGGGGAGTGTAGGTGATGAGGAGCTGGGTGAGGGAGGGGGTGAAGAGGGTTAGAGCGGTGATGAGGGTTGCTAGGAGGCCTAGGGGGCTGTTTTTTTGTGTTAGCTGGAGGGGGGTTATGAGGTGGGGTGGGAAAGATGGGGGAGTTGGAGGAGGAGATGATGGAGGTTAAGGAAGTGGAGGAGGGAATGAACGTACCCTCCTTGAAAACCGAGTAATTTCCAACAGTGGTGGACTCCCCTCGATGCCTGGTCGATGGCCTCAAAGTCGCTTGCCGGTCGGGACACGTTCCCCCGCCGTCCGCCGGTGTAGCGAAGCCAACGGAGCTGGCCGAGGCCTTCGATGACGGGGATCATGTAGCAGGCTGTGGCGAGGGAGGTCATGAAGGAGAGGAAGACGTTGAGGTTGAGAGCGCCGGGCCGTGTGGGTTTTTGGTCATAGATGCTTAGGACTAGGCCGATGACTTGATGGGTTGAATTGTTAGCTCATGACGGGACTGTGTCTATTCCTGCCTCAAACTTGATTGAGGCAGGGGGGAGGGGTGAGAAGCGTGGACATGGGAAAGAAGAGAATGGGAAAAAAAAGAAAGTAAACATACCAACAATACACACCAATCCTCCCAACACCCCCAGCCCCTCAAGCCACCACCCAAGCATGCTCTGCTTACTCTGCACCAACGTCTCCGTCGACTCAAAGTCGAAGTACGACAAACCTTGCTCCCTCCTGTTCATCCCACCGCCCGTCCCACCACCAGCAGTAGCACCCCCTTGTCCATTCACGTTGAGGTTCATGTTTGTCATTGGCAGCCCTTTGACTGATATCGAATCCGCCGCATCAATCGACACCTCACTCATCGCCGTCCCTCGTCTGCCCCTCCCCATCGGCTTCCCCCGTTTTGTATCTGTCCTTTCCACCAACATTAGTTTCCTCATCCCGCCCTTGCCGCCCTTTTCCTTGATGCTCCCAGTACCTCTACCACGCGGTGTCCCCATCCCCATTCCGGTTTCTTTTTCATACATGTAATCATCCTGATCAAGATCATGAGGATCATCACTACTATCATGATCATGGTCATGGTAGTCATCATGATCCCGGTGGTGATTCCCGTGGTGATGATCTCCTTCGACCTCTGCCGTCTCCGGTAATGGCGGAAAAGGGGATTGCCCTGGATGCTGATGACCGAGGTGAGAATGGGGTACCCCGTAACTAGGCTTCCATGAGCGGGAGTACTGGTTTACGTAGTTGGCGCTGTCTCGGGAGGTTGAGCGACTTTTTCTTAGCTGTTGTTCGCCGTATTTTATAGAGCCCGAGCCGGAGCCAGACCGGAAGCGCGAGCGAGAGGACCTTGAGCCTTGGGTTTGGTGGTGGTTGGTGGTGGCCTGCTGCTGGCTGCTCGTTGTCGATGTCGTGGCGTTGACGAAGGGATTGTTGCTGGTACTTCTGGCTGGGCTTTTCGGGGGGATGAGTGGTGCATCAAAAGGCCCGGGGTGTTGGAGGACCGGAAGAGTGTTGTGTTGGTGATGATCGTCTCCGGTCCCGGTCCCAGAATCTTGCCGATCGCCGCTGGCATGGACCGGGCCTCCGGAGGGTGGGCTTCCTCCTCCCCCGTAGAGGGCGGCGAAGACAGCCCTACGACCGGCACCGCCTTCTTCATCATCTTGCTCGACTGCCGTGTATGATGATTTTGAACTCCCTGAACTTCCAGTGTGCCGCCGCCTGTCATCCTCATCATGGTCCTCAACCTCATTGTGTGTTACATGATCCTCCTCGTCATCGTGATTCCCATGAAGGGACTCGTAGCGGGCCATTGTTTCGAGTCCAACGGTATCTCTTCTTCCCGTCTCTCCGTCTATGGCAGATCAAGTCTTGTCCCCCTTCAACACGATGCTGATGAAACAAGTGTATCGAACGAAGAGACGAACAGGCGGAAAGAAAAGAATAGTGGGCACCTATACCATGGAAAGATAATGGAACATGAAATGGAAGATATGGAACCTCCCTAACTTGCCATGGGGTGTGGAGAAAAAGGGGAAAGTGAAAAGCCGAGTTCCCTTCAACAAAATCTGCACATGGGGTTCGTACTAACGCGTCACGGGGTGGATTATGATTGATGAGAAGGGGGAGGGGGCACGACGGGGAAGGAGGAAGGAGAGGCCGCCACTGCCGCCAAACACACGAACCGAACGACTATCCTAATTTCCGCTCATCATTGCCAATCCGGTTAAGCGAGACACCTGACTCCATCGTGAATATCGGATATCAGGATTCAGCCCAACGTTCTTGCTTTTTTTACCTAACCCATTTCGCTGGCTTTGTGTTTGTCGTATACTATTCATGTTGTGAAACAAACCACTTGGCTAATCATGGGGAAGGAGGCAATCTTTTGTAGAGGTAGTAGAGCGAAAGGTATGCGGCTGGAGCGACACTAAGCGAGTCATCGCTGAGCACCTTGTGGATTGCAGTAGCCCAGATTTGATCCGGCATGGAAGAGTCCGTTCCTTACTCCAAAGAGCTCCTCGACCTCAACAACTTGTTGCAGGCTTCATTTGTTCGGTTTGTTGTTGGCCTAGAAGGAAAGGTAGCAATGCGAGTCTGAAGGGTTAGGGTTCAAGGCCAAGGCGGACAACCCGCAATCTACCCCTTTTTGAGCCTCCAGGGGTTGAGCAGCTCGGTTCCTTGGCACAATCTTGGTGGAGAAAAACCCGACGGACAGGGCGAACAAAAATATGAATCTCGTCCTTGGCATTCGACACATGACAATATCTAGAGACGCGTCAACGATGTATACGTATTCGTAAACTCATGAATGCCTTGTCCAAGGCTACAAGTGAGCCAATGTTTTATGTGGTCCCCACCCGTCTAGACGCCGTACACCGAGCAAATCTAAAGATCACCAAGCGGAAACACACTAGCGGGCTTAGGCTTGTCCTTGCCGATCAAAGAGCCTCGATGGCCCTCAAAAGCACATCCACGCCCCTGTCGCCCACTTCTCGCTCCTTTCCACCACCTTCACTCCTCAGCAGACTGGCCACGTCGCTCAGCACACCGAGAGGAATATAGCAGCCAGTCTTTGCTCTGTCCAGACTCTCCTTCAACCGGCTCGTGTGCTCCCACTCCTTTGCAGCAACCTCGGATCTTCGGATCACCTTGTCGGGGATACCGCACATGGCTGCGCAATGCATACCGAAGGAGCCTTCTGCAACGCCGTCTTCGAGCTTGTACAGGAACGTTATTCTCGTGTTTTCCTCGTCCACCTCGATCTGCATTCTCCTGGCGCGGATCTCGGGATGATTCTCGAACTCGGTAGCAAGACTGTGATAGTGCGTGGCGAAGAAACCGACGCAGCCAATGTGTGATGCGACATGGTGCAGAACTGCCTGGGCGACTGCAACGCCATCGTATGATGATGTACCACGCCCGAGCTCGTCAAGAATAACAAGCGAACGGGGTGTGGCCTCTGACAGGATCTTCTTGGTCTCGGACAGCTCGACGAAGAAGGTGGATTGCGCGGCAAAGATATTGTCGTTCGCGCCCAAACGGGACATAATACGGTCGACGGGGGTAAGGCGGGCGGACACCGCGGGGACGTAACAACCTATCTGGGCCATGATCACGGCAATACAGGACTGCGCGCGGTAGGCGGTTAGCAGATGAATACACCATAAGAGGAGGTGGATGCCTCCGCGGTCGAGGCAAGCACTTACCATTCGAAGAATCGTGGACTTTCCGGCAGCGTTTGCGCCGGTGAGAAGGTCAATGTTCGCCTCATCACCACCCAGCTTGATGTCATTCGGGATAAAGTCGTCAACGGTGTTGAGCATGCAGGGATGGCGTAGTTCGTTGAACTCGACAACGGTCCGCTCATCATCCACAAACTCTGGGCGGCAGCAAGGCTGACCAAGCGCAGATGATGCTTTAGCCAGACTGATGAGACAATCCAGTTGCGAAATGATGCGAATTGCCTGCAACCATGTCTCATAATCGAGGTCGAAGCGCTTAAAGAATCTGGAGGCGACTTCTTTGACGATCTGAGAATGTGTTTCTTCGGCTTCCTGGAGCTCTCGAACAAGGTCCTCAAGCTCCTTGAAGTAGTACCGCTTGACCGCGGATGTTGCGGACATTTGGCGCCACTTGGGGGGAACCTTGACGGTCTTTGGAACTTCAATCTGGTAGACTTCCTTGCCAACGTCGGTGAACTTTGCGGTCTTGCACCTAAGAGCAGTCTTTTGCCTCTCAAGCAGCTCCTGCAGCTCTCCCTTAATCCGGTCCAGTTCTTCTTGGCTGCGGTCAAAGTCTTCTTCTATGCCTTGTTCAGGGATAAGAATCTTGTCATCGCGGGCTCTCTTCCTGTCGAAGGCGGTCTTCCAGTATCCTAGGGGTTCCTTGAGGTTCGGCATTGAAGCAATGAGACGGTCGACCAGGCCATTACCACCACCATAGGCCTCGAGGAGTTCCATGGTACGATCAATCTGTTCGAACCCTTCCAGAACCTTGACAAAGTCCTCGGGCCTGCAAGCGCCAGCATGAATTCGGGAAATCAAGCGCTCCAGATCCGGCATCTTGCTCATCTGAGAAGAGAATTGCTCACGTAGGCTTCGTTCGTCGTTGAGCATGTCGACCGCATCCAGTCTCTCGTTGAGCTTCTGTATGTTGCAGAGAGGATGGCAGACCCATTGCCTGAAGAGTCGCTTTCCGAAGGGAGTTATGCACCGGTTCAACAGATGAAACAAGGTTCCTTCGGGGCCGCCATTGGCAGTATTGGCAAAGATTTCCAAGTTGATAAGAGACTGGCCGTCAAGAATAAGGGTGCCGTTCCGGTGAATGGGGTTGTACCAGGCAAAGTTGCCCTGGGAGAGCAGGTTACGCTCCAACTTTAGCATGCGCAGATACTGAGTCAGGGCACCGAGAGCGGACATCAGGAGGTCTTTGTCGCGAGCCTCTTTAAGCTTCTCGGGCCAGACCTCCTCCTGACCTTCGCCGGAGACAAAGTAACCGCTACAGTCAAGTTCGCGCCTTGCGACGTCAGCCTCCCAAAACTCGGTTCCGGGTTTGAGATAGTTCCAGATGGTGGTAGGAGCCGTGTTGTTCTTGAGAATCCGTAGAGCCTTGGTGGACAGGTGCGATTTCTCCAAGATCATCTCTCGAGGGGAGGTCTGGGCTACAAAAGTCTCAAACTTGGTAAGGTCGACATCGTCCTCAAACTCTGAGATGAAGAACTGTCCAGTAGCAGCGTCTACAAAGGCGATGCCAAATGCAGGCTTATCATCCACGACGGACTCTTTGATGGCTGCGCAATAGACGGCATTATCGTCTTGAAGCATGCTACCGTCCACCAGGGTGCCACCTGTAAGGATGCATGTGAGCTCGCGGCGGATGATCTTGTCCGCCTTCTTGGCCTTGGTGTCACGTTCTCGCATCTCTTTACCCAACGCAGACTCCATTTGGTCGACCCGGGCAACCTTGTACCCCTTGGCCACAAACTGGTTGACCCACATGTCTAGTGAGCTTTCGGGTACGCCAACCATGCGCATGTTGACACGGTCAGTGAGCTTGAGGTCAAAGAGCTGATGTCCAATGGTGGCATCGTTCTCATAGAGTTCATAGAACTTGCCCTTTTTGAAGAAGACCACCGTGTCCCATAGGTTCTTCTTGATCTCCCAATACTGCGTCTCAAACGGCGAAAACTGCCTCCAGGCAGATGGGGGCACATAGACGGAGCCAGGATCGTAATCCGGATGTCCTGGTCGATTCTTGTTGGCATCTTGGATATCGGCCAGCCACGGGTATCTCTCTTCCGGCTCTCTCGTATGTGCTTTTGGCTTTTGCTTGGCGGTCGACGGTGTTTGTGCGGAACGAGGAGTGGCAGATCGAGGTTCGGCTGGTTGGATGTTGTCCGGATCATACTTCCATTTCAGGGCGGTTGAGGTTCTGGGAACATCATCCATCATCTCCTCATCCTGGTCATCCTCCTCTTCTCTTGTTGACGTCCGAGGACCAGGAGGGGAAGACATGGCGGACTTTTTGCGTGGGGCGCTCGGGCGTGCTGCCGGTCGTTTTCTCTTTTTGGACTTTGTGCCTTCATCTGACTCGTCGTCGTCGACTACAAAGTCGGCCATGTCGTCATCTTCGTCCTCATTGACTACGTTTTCGTCCATCTCGAAAGCATCGTCTTCATCGTCTTCGTCTAGGACTTTGGGGCGTGATCGAGCGCGTGATGGACGAGAGCTTTTCGGTCTCCCTGAAAACGAGAGAAAAACATCGTCGCCGTCGTCGTCTGACGACTCTGCATAGTTGATTACCGCCTTCGCCTGAAGTGATAATGGGTTAGCCTAGAAGGGTATGAATGAGTAACTGATGACTCGCCTTGCGCCTGATGGGACTGCTGGGCATCATGATGGTCCTGGTGTCGCCATCTTTGGAATAGGCAGTGCCTGGGTTTTCGTGGGAGCTTGGAGGTAGAACGGCGTCACTACTAGGGACTGGAGTCTCGTCAAGTCTCCTCCTCCGTCTGGGCGGAAGAATCGAGTTGGATTTTGTGGTTTCCTTCAGGCATTCTGGCGACTTTTCCTTTTGGACAGGGCGAGGCGTTGCTGTTGCATCAGAAGCAGGGCTGGAAGCAGTGATAGTGGTATTGGCATTGGTATTTGCGCTCGAATTCGTGGGTGTTGCAGAGGATGAAGCTTTGGAGAAGAAGCCGAGGATACTCGATTGCCTTCCAGTCGAGGCCAATCCAGATCTCTTAACGGTGGATGGGGTCCTCGCCGGAGTGCGCGCCGGAGTTGAAGTTTTGTCGCCCATTTTGCGCCAACAGTGGTCGACTTCCACTTTTGCTGGTTCGTGTGATTGACTGGCAGGGAAGAAGACGAGTTGGAGATAGAAGGAGCAAATACAGTCAGAGTTTTCACAGAATTGAACAGACTGGATTGGAAGGTGCTTTTGATAAACCACTTGCCCAAAGAGAAAGACGCGTAAAGAGGTACTGGGGAAAGCGCGTCCGTGTCTCAATCACCCTGTCCGATCACTGAAGACGACCCACTGCCCCGCTAAAGCATCGCACTTTATTGTGGAGCCATGGAGCGATGTGGGACTCCCGTTCGTTCCCCTGTTGACATTGAGAGAGCAGCTTCTCTTCCTCTCATAACATCATGATCATGCCTTCCCATCTTCTCCTCTTCCCAGACCAGAGATTTCATTCAGCTACCTCGCCGACTGCGCCTTCGTCAGGCCAAACGCGCCAGACAGTACCAAACCTGGACCTGGACCATGCTCATCAGCTCATGCGACGAGAAGGACAAGGAAAAGAAAAAAGAAGAAGAAAAAGCAAACAACGGTCGAAGCTCGTTTGGTTTGGGCTGGTTGCGCGATCGCGCGACATCATTCATCCATGGGGTACTTCCACTCACTCTCATTCTGTCATCAGTCTCATATGGGGGATGATCTCCTGGTTGTCTGGATCCGGGCGTTAGCAACAAGTGTTGCCGCAACACGGAGCCTCCAACCCGACAACCATCGATGGTCGTCAAGCGGTAACGGGTTTCTCTGTGGTCCACGGAAGGTCCAAGGAAGGTCCACGGCACGGGCGGATGGAAACTGGGCGCAGCGAGTCTGGTTGAGCTTGGGTATCACACCCTCTACTTCTTCTTCAGACCAGAAAACAAGGCCAAGTCATGGTTCAGGAGTATGATGGTCAAATATATCCAAAATGCTCTCCAGCTCCGAAGGGCCAATCGGCTCATACAGCTGACGGGTAAATGGGTTTTGACTTCGAAATGGGGTATACTACCTCCGTCGTCGCCAATCTATTAACGGCTGGGTTGTTACCGTTCCACAGAGAAACACTTGGTTGGTCCGAATTCGTCGTTCCGAGAGTCCGAATGAGACTACTCTAATAGCTAAAGAAGAGCAGTGTTGTTGAGGCGAAAGCTTTCCTCGCATCCATGCCATGTTTACTTTCATCATCTTTCATCTTACCATTCCAAGATCACGGAAAGGGTGCTCCTCTCAACGACGTCGACCTCTCACTCTCCAGCACCGCAGAATACCTGCTGGGTTTCACCTGTCAACGCCTGCCAAACAGCTGCCGCCACCGTTTTGGGGTCTTTTACTACTGTGGGGTTGATGGGCAGCCCGCGGTATCAATGACCCCGCCAATGCTCTCAGTCCGGGAAGGAGAAGGGTGCGAATCACATACCACGATTCACAAGTCGTGTTGAATGTGAGAAGTGGTGCTCGTTTTGCACAAATAACCAGCATTTGGACTCATCAACATATTCACTACATATCATTCCCATTATTGGCATCTCCATGGATATGCCCCATGTCACAGTTGCTGCTCCGTCCGAGGGCACTCGAGAATCCCGAAAAGACAGCAGCAGTCGAAGAGCTGCCGCATGTCTGGTCTGTCGTCGATCCAAGATCCGGTGCGAAAAGGGGAAAGGCCAACATAACGATGATGACCGATGCCAACGCTGTCTTCAGTTAGGGGTACAATGCATACGCCCCGAGTTCCACGTGGGCAGGAGGAAGGGTGTTAAAAAGCAAGTTCTGCTGGCTCCTCATGACGGAGCCCTGTTACTGACCACCTCCTCAGTAAGCGCACTGGGCTGGAAAAGGCACTGCATCAGGTCGAGCAGGCTGTTAAACGATCAGGAGCCAGTCTGCACGGTATTGAGGCCACCAAATTCGTCTCCGAACTGAAGGTAATCTTAGGCGCCGGCTCACTTACACCTCTCGCCGATGGTGACCCTAAACAACCCAGAACTGGTCATACAAGGACGTCCTCAGCCACATCACGAAGGCCCAGTGACGTTCTCATGGCGGATGTATCCGATGATTCCGGCGATAGCTCCCTCTCAGATCATGACGACATGAGCATTCCGCAAGACTCTACGCCATCTCAGAGCCATGTGGCAGACGAGAGCCTTGCCGTCGATGATGCGGAAAATCCCCTTCAGCTTCTCGCCCGAGCTTCTGACATGCATGTTTCTCCGAAGCCTGTTGGTGAGCTTTCCACTGCCGAGATTATCCACAGCCACCAACGCCCACGCCAGAATAAGCAATCCGAAAAGCTGTCCGAAGTCGAAAAGTTCTTCAAGTTCACTCAGTTCTCCCTTGACTGCAGCCCTGATCTGGATCCCATCGACCTTGGCTTACTTACGTCGGAGGAGGCAGAGTCCCTCTTTGACTTCTTTCATAAGAGTCTTGCCCACACCAGATGGGGTCTGGATCCAATATTGTACACGGCCTCCTTTACGCGCTCGCGTTCGGCCTTTCTCTTCACTTCCATATGTGCCGCCGCCGCCCTCTTTATGCCAACACAGGGTGCCCTGTCGCGGAGGTTGTCCAATCACTGTAAAACCTTGGTCAACAGGATCATGGTTGACCGATACCGGTCCGTCGAAATTGTCCTTGCTTTTATGGTCAACGTCCCCTGGATGTTTCCTGGCAAACATAGCACCGACGACGAGACGTGCTGGTATGTTTCCATGGCCACCACCATGGCACTGGACCTATCCCTACACAAGATCGTGGTTGCTATGGATGCCATACGAGACGGTAGCTACAACGGGGGTATCGCACGGGCAGACTGCATTGACCCCAAAGTTGCATTATCTCTCGATGGTTTTGGTGACGTTGATTCCGAATCAGAACTAGGGAGACGGCTGCTGCGGCGAAGGGAGAGATGTTGGATTGCGTTGTTTGTCCTAGAGCGAGGAATGTGCTTAGCGCGAGGCAGAAGCTATACCGTGCCTCTCACGCCCCTTCTTCGACGCTGCGATGAATGGCACATGTCAGATATTGCGGACACCATGGACGGGCACTTGGTGTCCATGGCTGTCTTGCGGAGAGACTTGGTGAGTTCCCATGCTGGTTCCTGTAATTCAAGCGCTGACATGATCAGGACGATTTGTTCAACTCCATTCGGGCAGTTTGTGACGGATCTCGTGAAACACTGGCAGACGGTGGCCTCATTGCCCAATCGTTCGTCTTCCCTCTTCTTCCTTTCTGACTGTAAGATGCCTTTCTAACAAGCGCTCCAGAATACAAATGTCGGTCGACAAGTTCTTTGAGCAATGGCATGCCAAATGGACCATACCCATCGGCACCGGACCTCGTAAGTGCATTTCCAGCTCACCTCCATTTCACATCCTACTAACACTAGTGAAAGAACATCGTCTCCCACCCTACGTCCAAATCCTCGTCACCCACACCCGCCTCTCCATCTACAGTAGCGTAATCAACCACCCCACCGCGCCCACCGAAGTCCGCCACTTCTTCCACGCCGCCGGTCTCTCCTCCGCCCTGAACGTCATGCGCTCCGCCATCCAAGGCGAAGAGCAGCTCTCGAGCATGCCCAACAACACCGCCATCATGATCTCCTTCGCCGCCTGCTTCGCCCTCCGCCTCAGCGGCCAGCTCTCCGGCGGGACCTCCAGTCTGGCGCCCAGCGTCCGGACGCTGATCGAGGAGACGGCGGGCGTGCTGGGACGGATCGGCACCGCTACGGACCATCGTAATGGCATGTCGACGCTGTATGGGAAGTACTTGAAGTACATCGTGAAGAAAGCGGCGGCGGCGGCGGCGACGTCGTATGAGAACATGGCTTCAACAGTGCGGCCGAGGAACGGGACAGCAATGTCATCTGACCGAGGCCCGCCCGTGGCCTTCTCCCGACATGGTCCGTCCGCGTCGTCATCAGCAATGGCATCATATCAGCGCAGCAGCCAGAGCCAGCAAGGAAGTAGTGGCATTGGTAGTGGTTACGGCGGCATCCCGACGGATACTACTCTAACCACAACAGCAACAGCCGCCGGTACGTCGTCGGTTTTCGAGCCATCATCATCAACCCCCTCCTCCTCCCTATGGGCAGCAACCGAACCAATCCTGCTGCAATTCTCGTCCATGTCCGACGACCAAATCCGGGAGGCACTGAATAACGAGTTTCATGTTGATCCGGCTACGGCGGCTTCCAACTCGAACTCGAACAACAACAGCATGTACCACCACCACCAACACCATGTTGGTGGCTCAGGCCTGTCGTTGCTGTGGGATGATGCTGCGGTTTTGCCGGATTGGTTGAATTCGGCGAATCTGCCTGAGTTTGGGGTGTGAATTAGGTTGGGTTAGGTGACTGGGTGAGTAATGGTTGATTGAATGACTGAACTGGACGGGAGGTATGTGAGGTGAGACAGAGGGAGGAGGAGGAGGAGGAGGAGGAGGAGGAGGAGGGTAGGTGTTCATAAGGTACCTGGCGATGTGCAGGAGGGAAGGAACATCCCGAGCGAATATTGAATAAATCATTTGATCAGCGGCTGGTACTGAGTAGGAGCTTGATCGGTTGAAGTGACCATTTGTTAAATAACCTTCAAGGTCCCTGAGTGAGTTTTTGTGATGTCGCATTATCCTCAATTCCGTGAGTGGTTACCTACTGCGAAATTCGGAATTTAAAAACAAGAGAGGACCAATCAAGCCGAATAAGATGGATGTACAGGAAGATTTCAGGGATGTAACCGCGATCAACATCATCCTATGCCAACATGATCATGAAGGCACCCTCCAAAGCAAAAAAAGGTACGCAGCACCGAGGATGACTCTACCCGGAATTGAACCTGGGACCTTGCACTTCAGGTTGTCACTGCCACCCGGCCAAGGGTTGGCGCCTGAAGTTTGCAGTGTGCTTCCGTTACACCACTCGGCCATTGAGCCGCCAGTGCTGCGTTTGGTTGGTGTTGGAAGGTATGTCTCGAGAAGTAACTGATATACCGGACGGAAGTTCAAGACCATTCTTTTTTGGTCGAAACAACATCGACTTGGTATCTCACAGCTTACTCTCCCTCCTCCTCATCGGCGTCGCAAACCCTCCCCCGACGCCATCCTGCGCCATCGCCTCACTAATCGCATCCACGCTCTTCAAAATCCACTCGCACCCCTCATCACTCGCCAGTCTCTCGATCCCCTCCGCCTCCTCACTTTTTTCCCCCTTCTCCCCCTTACCAGAAGCAGCGGCACCAGAAGAAGCAGTAGGAAACTCCTTAACATGCTCCCCCTGCTCCACCGCCTTCCTCAGTCCAAACACATGCGACAAAACCTGCGGCCCCACGCCCGTCTGCGCCCTCAAACACGCAATCGCCACGACACTCGTTAGACTCCTCCCCACGCTTCCCCCCAACCCCTTTCTCCCCTCAGCGCAGTCAAAAGGGGGATCACTCAACAGCGGCCCGTAATGGCTTCCGAGGATATGCACCGGCAAATCCGGATGCGCCTCGGCCAGCTTGGCCTCCAGTTTTTGATCCAAAGGCGTGTAGACGGATTCCCAGAGGACGCGGCCGCGGGCGTGGACCGAGGCGATGTTTTGCGGCGTGGTTTGGCGGGAGGGGGTGGTGGATAAAAGGGGGGAAAGCTGGGGGTGGGCGGAGGAGAGGTGGGAGCGGAAGGCGTTGAGGGAGTTGATGGTGCGTGGGATGCCGTTGAAGGAGATGCATTTGAGACCGATTTCGCGGATGAATTCGGCAGATTCGAGGAGGGCTGTTTGGGACTGGTTTGGGGAGGAGGAAGACCCCCAACGGGAGGAGGCAAGTGTGAGGAGGGGTTCCAAGGAGGAGGGGGAGTTGAGGGTGAATGTTGCTGCGGCCTGTTTTTTGGATCTTACTTAGTATATCATATTCATGCCGGGTAAGAGATAGATAGGGAAGGACAAAAAAAAACATACGGAAAGCGCAAGCCATGGCTTCTCGCCGTATTTCCTCTCGCGAGCCTCGTCTGCGATCTTGGTGTAGACGGCCTCAATGTTGCGCGGCGCCGGGGTCTGGCCGGGGCGCGCAAAGGGCGCGTTGATGAGGCCCTTGAGAGAGGGAGAGAGCTTGGACATCTTCCTTCTTGCTGCGAATGTCACTAGTACTCGGGCGGGCGGTTTAGTCTTGTATATCTTCTCTAAGCTGAAGGTCCCGTCGCGGAGGACTGACGTTGACGTGGTAAGTGGAAGTTTTAAGGTAGGTAGGTACAAGGTAGGTTTTCCAACTTTTGTTATGTGAAAGAAAGTTCAATTCAGGAACTAAGGCAGGTGACGGAGGTGATGCAGAGAGGCTGCTTGGCGCTTCCCCCGCGTTTATATCGTTCGTTTCAGTGATGTTGAGACGGGGATAGTTGCCCCGGAAATCGGAAATGCAGGTGATGACCGAGGCAGTGGAGTTTAAACCCCTGTTTCGGCACCTAGAAAATGTGCCGAAGCTGTGCGTGTTATCCACAATGCCCCTGGAAGACACCAACCTGATCCCTGCATATAACCACACTACAGTACCACAAAGCTCCCCTTCTAAAACTGGATGACCTCTTGCGATAGAGTTGTCTTTTTGGGAGAATGATAACACTCGGTTATAGTATCGTTTGACGTTGACTAGCAGTCAAGTTCCTTCAGGCCTGCATAATCTCAAATACCATCATTACCAGGATTCGACATCGACCTAGTTGATTAATCTGACAGCTCGTCCGATTCCAAGCTCCTCTCGTCTGTCGACATAGTCGGGTAGCAAGAATCACAACATGACGTGAAGAGATGGTTGTTGTTGTTATCGTTGTATTTAACATCTACTTCCGCCTCCCGAAGGGCATGAGACGTGCGGCAAAAATGTGGGATTGCCAGGAATCGAACCTGGGTCCTCTCGGATCGCTGTGAGAAACCACAACGAGAAGTACTGACCACTATACTACAATCCCCGTGATAGAGATGATATTTTTGGCTAGATCAACTTGATGCCTAAATCTATGCATAGACTGTTTCGAGTGCACTATTCCATCGTCTTCAGGTTATCCGCCACCGAAAAGACCGCATCCGTCTTGCTCTTCACTTCCTCAACATCCACCCCGGGCGCAATTTCCGTCAAGGTGAGCATCCCCTTCTTGCGATCAACCTCGAAGACGCACAGATCGGTGATGATGGTGCTGACAACCCTCGCGCCCGTCAGCGGCAAACTACAGCTCTGCACCACCTTGGACGACCCGTCCTTGGCAACATGCTCGGTAGCCACCACGATCTTGGTGTTGTCCGGGTTAGACACCAGGTCCATGGCACCGCCCATTCCCTTGAACATCTTTCCGGGGATCATGTAGTTTGCAAGGTCGCCAGCCGCGCTGACCTGCAGGGCTCCGAGGATGGAGACGTCGACGTGGCCGCCGCGGATCATGGAGAAGGATTCGGAGCTGTCGAAGGTGGCGGCGCCGGGGACGAGGGTGACGCTTTCTTTGCCGGCGTTGACGATATCGCTGAGAATGTCGGTCAGTACACTATAAAACAATCTGGTAAGGGTGAGGATGGGTATTCACGGATCAACTTGGTCGGGCAAGGGGTACGGACCCATTCCCAGAATACCATTCTCAGACTGGATCCAAACCTGGTGTCCAGGAGGCAAGAACTCCGGAGCCAATGTTGGGATACCGACACCAAGGTTGACATAGGATCCATGCTTCAGCTCCTTCGCCGCACGTCTAGCAATCCTGTTCCTCCGTTCCAGCGCATCCGAGCCCCCCGACTTGGCCGCCTTTGCCTGCTTTCCATCACCACTTTCTGGCGACCGGGTCTTGAGAACCTCAACCTGGGATGGTTTCGTGGCCGGCACGATGCGGTCGATGAAAATGCCAGCAAGGTCCACGTCGTTGGGGTCGATCTCGCCAACCTCTACAATGTTCTCCGCCTCGACGATGGCCACCTTTGCGGCCTTGGCCATCAAGGGCGCAAAGCCCTTGGCTGTGTAACGGAAGACGCAGTTTCCGGCTTTGTCAACCTTCCATGCGCGCAGGATAGCTACGTCGCCCGGTAGAGCGGTTTCCATTAGGAACGGTCGACCGTTGAAGATCCTTGTTTCCCTGGGCTTGCCGTATTCGACCACGTTTCCGTCGGCATCGTGGCGAACGGGAATCTCGCCTTGTTGGATAAAGGTATCTGGAATAATGTAAGCGATAAGGCGCCAGAAATATTGCTGTGTGTGAAAAAAAACGTACGCCCGCCAGTAGGCGTAAAAAAGGCCGGAATGCCACTGCCAGCAGCTCGTATCCTCTCGGCTATTGTCCCCTGGGGGCATAGCTCGACAGCGATTTTGCCAGTGAGGTACTTCTTTTCGAGAATCTTGTTAGATCCTAGATGGGACATGATCATCCGATCGATCTGGCCAGACTCGATAAGGAGAGCCAGGCCCCCGCGGCCTTCGGCGCCCGCATTGTTGGATACCGCCGTTAGGGAGTGGAGAGATTCTGGGCCTCTTTGTCGAATTGCCTCGATGAGGGTTTCTGCCTAACTTAGTATCCCAAGTCATAAAGCTGAAGTGCACTGACACATGGTCGCCTGCTCACCTGCCACACCACACAATCCAAAGCCAGAACTCAAAATAACAGATCCGCTCTTGATATCCGCCACAGCATCGTCGGCGCTGGCATATAGCTTGGATTCGCCCCGGGTGACTACTGGGAGGGATTGGGAGCGCCAATGCTTCGAGTACGAGAGAGTCCGGACGCCGTTTCCTGTTTTGATCCTAACTCCCAGTGAAAGTTTTAACGAAGGTCTGGTGGCGGTAGAAGTTGATACAGCCCATTGGCGAGCAACTAGAAGTGCTGGCGCCGTTTGCCGCAATGCCCGCGGAAGGCCAGCCATTGTCGCCGTTTGTTAAAATATTGTGTTTGGAGGTGTTTCAGCAATTCCAGATAATGCCCAAGTATATCAACAATCAAGGCCTGACGCGGCTGGCGATTCCTCCCGATATCTGAAAGAGTGGCCATCGTTGTTTGCGATTCCGCTCGGCAATTGATTTGGACTCCGAGAGAGGGGATCCTCCAATGGCGGTTATCGACAACGGAGTCAGTACGGTACAGTAATGTCCCTTGCAGTTGCAAGCACCCCCTACTGCAAAAACCCTACTTATTGCTAAAGAAGTTGGCTGCTAGATTTACAGGCCCATACTGGGACTGCTAACTGCTAATTGCAACAGTGACGGCCGGATTCTTGCATCAACAAGGGTCAAGTTTTGGTGAGAGTGAACACTTATACCCCTGTACCGGGGCTCAGCGACCCACTTTTCCGGTCCGTCGGCGGCCTTTCAGTGGCCTGAACGCCTGCTTCTGGTCTATGCACTGGATCCTTCTTTTGCAAACACCCTACTTATTGCAAGAAAAATCGCTGCAGGAATTGAGTTGCAATAACAGGGGACATTACTGTAACACGGCGCCAAGACGAGACGTCATGAAGCGGGGCCGAGGTTCTGATGTTCAGATGTTGTCGATTCGGAATCCATTGGCGAATTGAGGGAGTCAATTGAAGGTTGAGTGTTTTCTGTTGATGTTTAGTTAGCGAAGAAGACAGTTGAAGCGCAAGACAAAATGTAAATAAAAGATGCTTTGGGGAGTTGGGTCCGAAGAACACCTGTACTTGTAATTAGGTGGGGTAAGTACAAAAACTATATACGTCCGTGCAGAGGATATTAACCTCAAGGTGTGAATGCCTTCGCTTTAGCGACCACAACCTAACCGCGAGACTTTGTAGAGTAAAATGAGCCTCTCTAAGCTCTCTATCTGGCTTCTACTACGTTGTTTCTAAATGGCAAAAATTTATCAATTGGACTTTGAGCTCCATATAGCCCTTCCTCACAAAGTGATCCCTATCTTATCTTGCCTTGCAGTGACGTCATGACCAATGCTCCCGTCCGTTTGTCGTCGTCGACTATCGCCAACTCGGTCCTCAACAACACTGACTGCTGGAAACAATTTTCCCATGTACAATATCATTCATCATTCCCAAGAACACCAAAATGCCCAGAATCTCAGAAACCGTCAAAGCCGACCACGCGCTCATTACCGAGTTGTACCACGCCATTCGCAGCGCCGAACCAGAGGATCGTCACCAGTTGAGGAACCAGTTCATCTGGACGCTGGATCGCTATCTGCGCGTTGAAGACCTCGTCGTAACACCGGCAATCGAGAAGCACCTTACAAAGCACGGCCACCAGCGACGTCAGAGGTTGTCCGATGATTTCGAGAGTGTAAGTCCTGGACCCCCTTCGACAACCTCTTCCTCCAAGTACCTAGCTGGAGATACTAACCACCATCTCTGCCGATACAGATAAACACCAAACTCCGACACATGCTACAGTACGATCCTGCCGAAGAAAGTTTCAACGCGGCGCTACAAGCCATCTGGGTGGACCTAGAACCGCATGTCCGAGAGGAAGAGCGCAGTGATCTCCATCGGCTGGAGGAGAACTTGTCAGAGACCGAGTCGACCGAGCTCAGTAACAAGTACAACAGGATCAAGGATATGTTGCAGAAGCCATATGGCAAGGATGGAGCACCGGACTCCAAGACTTTGACAGCCATTCTGGAGATGTCCAGAGAGGACCTGATTGTTAAGCTTGGGTTGAGAGAGTGATTATGAGTGTGAGTTTCGGAGGGACTATAAGGGGCTCGATCATGTGATTCTCTCTTTGGCCTTGTTCATTCCTTCCAGTCTCCAAACTCGCCATGGCAGATACACCAGGAGGGTTTGCCGTGGGCTTCTACTGCCCGTTTGAGAAAATCTCAAGGAGAACTGGAAGCTTCGATGACGCCCTGCCTCTGCTTCCTTGCGTCAGTGTTCCATACATCAAGAAAATATCCCAACAAACAGTATCACAAAATCCATCAAGTCAACGACAGTTCGGTCAACCATTCTTACTTGGCATTACCAACCGCGCGTATGCAGCCAATTCGTCAGCAAACCATCCAATCCCTCTCCCGACAATGTGGTCGGTAGTACAATATCGACGCATTGCAAAACAAGTAGAGGCCGAAGTCGCATCAGGCCGTCTACCAGGCCTGTACCTGAATTCCGGAGCAGATGACGTCGAAGAGCCCGGAGATTAGGAAGACACGAACACTGAAGACACTCAATCACGCAACAACAAAGAAGAACCCATCATCGTATCGACAATCGGCGACAATGATCCCATCGATCCCAAGAACTGGCCGCTAGCAGACCGATGCAAGAACCTCGCCATCTTGTTCTTCCTCATCTTCGGCCAGGGGTACTCAGCCGGCGCCGAATCTATGGCCAACGCCGACGCTGCCAAAGAATACGGCGTGGACCCGGCCCTCGAAACGCTCTCTACGGCCATGTACTTGTTCGGTATGGGTTCCGGTGCTCTCTTTGCAGGACCCCTATCCGAAACGTTTGGACGAAACCCCGTCTACTTGACCTCTACTTTCTGCTACCTCTTTTTCGTCCTCGGCTCCGCCTCGAGGCCGACATTTGGTGGACATGTTGCATGTCGGTACCTAGTCGGGTTGTTTGCGAGCGGTACCCTGGGCAGCAACGGATCGAGTGTACAGGATCAGTTCAGTTTTGTTGGGAGGACATTTGCTTTCCCTGTCATCGCTTGGGCAAATGTTGCAGGTAAGCCTCCCTGATCCATTACCCAACTCTGATCTGACATAATGTAGCTCCGGTCATCGCACCAATTGCCGGCGGCTGGATCACTGCCAACCCAAAACTCGGCTGGCACTGGACAGAATGGGTAACACTCATCATCTCCGGCACCGCCTTCTTGATCTCTTTCCTATTCCTGCCCGAAACATACCTACCAAAACTACTCGACTGGAAAGCCTCACACCTCCGCCGCCTCACCGACGACCAGCGCTACGTATCCGAGCATTCTCGAAAGCTCCGACAGAAATCTTTCGGTCAACGCTTAAGAACCCGCCTCTCGCTCCCGCTCAAGTTCATCCACGCCGAGCCCGTCATCACAGTCCTGGGAGTCTATCTCATTTTACTCTACACCCTCCTCTTCACCTTTATGTCGGGATTCGATCACATCTTCCGACAAGCTCACAACCTCTCCAAGGGCCAGACGGGCGCTTGTTTCGGCGCCATCGCCGCGGGCGCCACATCTTTCATGCTCGCCGTACCGGGTCTCTATCTCTGGGCCCGCCGCCGCAAAGCGCGTCTTACAACACAGGATGCGGATGATGATGCCACGCTTGAGCCCGAGTTCCGGTTGTATCCCGGATTCGTGGCCGGCCCGCTGCTTCCGGTTGCCTTGTTCTGGCTGGGCTGGACGGACGTGGAGAGGATACCGATGTGGTCTGTACTGGGGGCGTGCTTCCTTTTTGGTCTGGTCTTGATGGCGCTTTATACCAGCAGTTACGGATACATTGTTGATAGTTATGGGGTGCATGCCGCCAGCGCTCTTTCTGCTATCACGATGTTGAGGTACATAATTGCTGGTGGTATGGCTATGGGGACGAGACCGCTGTTTACGTTACCGGGGTTTGGGGTGAAGTGGACCATGACCGTCCTGGGAGGTGTTGCGGTTGTGCTTGCTCCTGCGCCGTTTGTGTTTTGGAAGATGGGGCCGAAGTTGAGGAAGAGGAGTTTGTATGCGATTAGTCCGCGTGAGAAGTAAGCGCGTCAAGCTAGGTTACCTCGAACGAACCTGGTATTTGGGCAACTCTGTATTCTTTTTTGATTAGTGCTATACAATATGGGATATTCAGTCGAGGAAGTGACAGTGTCGAAACCACGCAAGGAAACTAAATAAATCGACGTTGATTACCCCTCCCTCACCTTAAACAATCCGCCTCGCAGTCCCCTCCTCTCTCTCTCTTTACGGACATCATCACCAACGATTAACCGTCACACTCGGAACAACACAGCATTGTCACTTAGAAATTTGAAACATTTCCACTTCCAAAAATCACAAGTATAAAATGTATCATATCCGGTGGAGGTTTTAAAAGAAGAGTGGCCTTCTTAACCGTCGGAGCTACCAAATGACGTGATTGAGGAGAGACGATGCTATGCCCCGCATACTACCTTCACCGAACAAAAACACCACCTCATTCAGATGTTCTGAACAAAGAAAGCCTAAGCCATTCTCACTTCCTCACTTCTCATACATCTCTGCTCCTCCTGCTTCCTCGTTATACACACTTTCCACAGTCGCAACACGGCCGGTCCTGACAATCCAAGATGGCCTCAACCTCCGCTCCATCGCCCTCGGAGGCATCAGCACCAACAACAGACACCCATCATACCCAATCCCAAAACTCACCAGCACTCAACAACAACAACAAAGACTACGACCTCTCCACCCCCATCGACCCCAACAACAGCGTCGGCGGCCTCCGCCAAAACCTCACCTCCTACGGCGACGCCCACTTCTCGCTCTTCATGCGCAAGCTCTTCATCAAGGCCATGGGCTACAGCGAAGACGCGCTCTCGCGGCCCATCATTGGTATCGTCAACACTTACTCCAGCTTCAACCCTTGCCATGCCAACATGCCGCAGCTCATGGACGCCGTGAAGCGGGGGGTTCAGCTCAACGGCGGGCTGGCTATTGATTTTCCTACGATTAGTTTGCATGAGTCGTTCGCGAGTCCGACGAGCATGTACCTGCGGAATCTGATGAGTATGGATACCGAGGAGATGATTTTGGCGCAGCCGGTTGATGCTGTGGTTTTGATTGGAGGTATGTATGTATGAAAAACCAACCTAGGATGTTGGTTGGGACTTTGAGGAGCAAGCTTTGTTCCATGCCGTCATTTTTCTGTTGATACATACTTGGGTTAACATACATGTTCTGATGAAAGGATGTGACAAGACGACTCCAGCTCAGTTAATGGGTGGCATCTCAGCCAACAAACCCATCATCCACCTAGTAACAGGCCCCATGATGCCCGGTAGTTTCCAAGGGACTCGCGTCGGCGCGTGTACAGACTGCCGGAACAACTGGGCCAAATTCCGCGCCGGGACGCTCGACATGGAGGACATGGCCGCCCTAAACGAGGAGCTCGCGCCCACGTCCGGGACCTGCGGCGTAATGGGTACGGCCTCAACAATGGCCTGCCTCCTCGTCGCCCTCGGCCTGATGCCGCTTTCCTTACCCTCCGCCACCGCCCCCGCCGTCTCGTCCGCTCGTTTACGGGTTGCCGAGCACACCGGCGCCCTGGCCGTGCAGCTCTCGCAATCCCAACTGAAGCCTCAGGACCTCCTGACGTGCGAGTCTTTTCTTAATGCCATCACGGTCCTGCAAGCCATCGGCGGCTCCACCAACGCCATCGTCCACCTGATGGCCATCATCAACCGCCACCCTTCTCTTGCGGGAACTATTTCGTTGAAAACCATCGACGACATCGGCCGCAAAACCCCGCTCCTCGTCGACCTCAAGCCGTCGGGTAACAACTACATGACCGACTTCCACAACGCAGGCGGCATGCTCGCCCTGCTGCACCAACTACGTCCACTCCTACACCTCGACGCCCTGACCGTCACCGGCCGCACGTTGGGGGAGGAACTCGATTCCATCCCCTTTCGCCCCCTTCCTTCGGGTACCGAACTAGGCCAAATCATCCACCCCCTCTCCTCACCCCTCTACCCCTCCTCCAGCCTCATCGTCTTCGACCCCTCCATCTCCAACCTCTGTCCCCTAGGCGGCGCCGTCATCAAAGCCTCGGCCTCCAAATACCGGCGTCTGCTTCAACACCGCGGCCAAGCCGTGGTTTTCCACGGTCCAGCCGACCTAGCTCGCCGGATCGATTCCCCGGACCTCAACGTCACGCCCGACTCGGTCCTGATCCTCCAACACATCGGCCCCGTCGGCTTGCACAGCCCAGGCATGCCGGAGGCGGGCATGATTCCCATTCCGCGCAAGTTGGCCTTACAGGGGGTGGAGGACATGTTGAGGATCTCGGATGGAAGGATGTCGGGGACGGCGGGCGGGACAATCGTGTTGCATGTCAGTCCGGAGGCGGCGGATCCGGAGAGCGTGTTGGGGGTGGTGAGGGATGGGGACTGGGTTGTTTGTGATGTGGAGGGGAGACGGTTGAATGTGGCGTTGTCGGGGGAAGAGATTGAAAAACGGAAAAGGGAGAGGAGGGAGGGAATGAAGAAAGGTTTTTCTAAAGAGGAGGAGGAGAAAGGGAATTGGCAGAAGAGAGAGGGGATGAGGGGGTATAGAGGGTTGTATATGCGGGAGGTGAATCAGGCGGATGAAGGGGCGGATTTTGGGTTTTTGACGGCTGCTGGACCAAAAGGGAAAGGGAAGGGGGAAGTGAAAGGGGAAGGGGGAGGAGAAGGGGCAAAGTGAGGTTATTCAGAGGGTCAACCTTTGATGATGGAAAACGTACCTTGGGCTTCGGTCCTCCTGAGGGAGTGGCTGTGAACGGTCGGCCTTCTAGCAGTTATGCCTCAACCGAGTAGAGTCGGTACACCGGCGGTCACCTTTCTTTCACCTTAGCTCCTACCTTTTCTTTCACCTTAGCTCCTACCTTTTCTTTCAACGTCTTGTTGGCAGAACAAAGCTGTCCACGACCGCCAGCTGCAGGTTCCAATGGAAGCTGGCGAATGGCGAACCCTCGCGAGCCTCGGTCTGGTCTCGGGGAGGCAATATACCTGCGACCCAGATACTACCTGTAGGTAAGATGGCCATCAACCAGCCAACCAAACCAAACCAGCCAGCCGGGACGGGCCTTGCCTCTTCCACCTCAGTCAGGTACATCCGAAAGCACACATGGCCGATATATGTTACGTGATAGGGCAATCCCGGCCGGAGAACGAGACGTCGAACCTTGGAAGCTTGGAAGGAGTGCATAGAGTGTGCAGAATGAGGCTGACACTCACCACTTACGACCCAATACCTGACAGAGAGCCTTGGGAGCCAGGGAGAGAAAATATATGATGAAAAAGTTCTGCATGCAACATTTATAAAAGAGACCCAGTTTCGAAGGGGCAGGTCTCGGGTCAACGAATCGTCGTGCGCCGGCCCATCGGGTTGAGCACGTACTGCATCGTGCTAATGCAAGGGGCAGCATGATGAGCAGCAGGAGCGAGGCGAGATCTTCCGGAAATCTTGACCCCAACAACCCAATTGACACTGCCAATTGGACTGGACCCTTCCTGCGAGGATAGCATGATTTTCCCACATGGCAATTCAGGCACCGTCCGTCATTAAATTGACGAGGTTGGTGGCTGATAATCTGGCTGGGTGACTGAGGCTGCTGGCTCTGGGTTCGGTATTTCTGTGCCCGAACCTGATGGTAAAAGCCACAGTGAGCCCAAGGCTTATCACTTGGGAAAGGTGTGATGGTAGATATGCCGTGCAAATGAGTCCTTGTTCGGTGTCCCTAAAGCATCAGACGAACCAGTGGAGCCAACGAGAGTTCAGAGTCATGGTGTTGGTGTTGTTCATCCCTTTCTTTTCTCCTTCGAAGTCGCCTCGCCCCCCCTGCGTGGAAGTGTACCTTTATGCAGGTACCGCCGCTATTGTACACCATCAAGGTAACGGTACAGTACCTGAAAGGGGGGAATGATGATCGAGGAAGAGGGGAGCCTTGGTTCTTGGGAGAGCTTGGGAGCTTGGGAGCGAGAGAGAGGCCAGACCTGGACCAGACTTGACGACCAGGTACAGAAAGGCTTCCGGAAACATTCTGGTTCTGCCGAAGAACCTTTCGATTGACGATTGCGAGAGCGGCATCGTCGGAGCCCATCTCCGCATCGGGTAGGTTGGTTCCTGGTGGAGAAGTATGATGTACATATGTACAGAACACGAAAGGGGGATTCTGCACTGCATGCCGCTGTTGCTCCGAATGCACTCGGTGGAGTCCGAAAAGTTGGAAACTTCTTTGGCTTTTGCTCCCCGTCCCCCGCTGCCTGCCGACCGACAGACCCCTTGTGACGGCGACGGTTTGTCTGTACAATATGGAATCAACGTGTAGCAAAAGCAATGTTGTTTTGTAGAGCACATGGAGTTTTCCCTTGCGGTTGGTATTTAACGGAGGAATTGCCGAGTGCGGGCGTGAGCACCACCGCATAAGGCCGAGAGTAGGTGCGACGGCTGATGATTACCTAACCATTCGGCCAGCCAAACGTCAGGATAGGTTTGCCTGCCGCTCGCTACGGCAATTGGTTCGGAATCAGCGAGAGTGTCTGGCATGTCTTTGAACATCGATGAGCCGAGGCCAGGTCTTGAAGTGCCGAGTGAGAAAAGAAGATGGGCAAAAAACCCGAGAACTTGAGATCCAAACCATGAAGGTAAACGGAAGCTTTCCAAGCGTAGTCCTGGCCTTCATTCCGAATGAACTGTTAGTCCTTGCCTTCTACCTGTGTGAGAGGGAGCGGGAGGCAGGGACGAACGAGCAGTCTCACTGCTCCCTCTTTCCCATTGCTCCCTCTTTCCCATTGCTCTCCATCGCCTCTTCGTGTAAAGAGGTACCCTTCGACAGCAAGTCTGGGGAAGGTGCAAGACCAAAGAATGGTACGGTGGATAGAGGAAGTTTGTCTTGGAGGCATTATGAAGGGAATTCCGGCATTCAGACAGAGGATGGCTGATGGCGAAAAAAGCAATCACAAAAACCAAAGAACGTGTCCGTGATGCTGGGATTGCACATCTAGAGTTTTCGGAGCACGATTCGGTCGATAGGTACCGCAAAATTTCACTCATAACGGAGATGCTCTTTTGGGGAAGGCCACACCTTATGCGGGTGTTTTGAGCTTGCTCTTAGCTACATATGCAGCATCTTGCCAATTGAATTGGCTCATAATCCTGGTACGATCCACAAAGCATCTCCGTTATGAGTGAGATTTTGCGGTAGTCGATAATGATCGAAACGGTAACTGAGCTCACCATGTCGTGCATATCAAGTTATTTGTCCCGTGGAGTTGAGCTTTTTTGCGTTGTGATGCAGTTGCATCATTGGATGCTTGGAGGCCCTGTTGACCCCATTATCACCTTCGTGTAAGCGATAGGTTCCTTCTGTTAAGGTCTGCCCACAATCAGATAGTAGCCACTAACAAAAAATACAGAAGATGCGCAGCTGACCTGCTAAGCAATGCGCACCACTGCATACCACTGCAAACCACTGCAAAATCCTAACTAGCTCAGGCTTCACCGCAATGACGAACATGGGGTGGACGACATGACCCATGATGCGTCGGATGCTTCTCCCATGAGCGGAAATCTTTCCATGAAGTCTTGCAATCCACCATTCCCAAGTCGGCGATAGTCCAAATCGTCTTGTACACTAGGACCTTCTTCGGTCGCTTCTTTTGACCTTCCATTGTGGGCCCTAGATCCAACCCTGAGAATGGTGCCATTCAGAAACCCCGGGGCCAACCGGATTTCTCCGAAATCGGTAACACGCCATGGTAAGACTGGTAACCCGCCATGGTAATTTTCATCCAACTCTTCAAGTCTGAACTGCGATAACACCACCAAAAGGAAAGCTGAAATCGTATTTTTTGGTCGGGTTGTTTCGAATTCGAATGAGCTCTGCCGCAGTCTGCTTGTATGAGACGCTCCTTCAGATTTCTGTGTCGTGTTGGAGGTCAAAAGATGCTGAGATTTAATAACTGACTTTTTGACGATGTTCGTTATCTTTGATACGAGCTGTCATTGGCGGAGCAGACCCATGCGCAGTAGGCCTGCTCAACTTTGGTGCAAAAAGGCGATTTACCATGGCGGGTTACCAATCTTACCATGGCGTGTTACCGATTTCGGGATTTCTCAACATCAGCGTTGCACCGCGGGCGGGCGCTATTCTTCCCCGCCACCGGTCAGCGACTGCTTCACCGTTGACCAGAATGCTGCTTTGGTTATTGGAGTCTGTGGTGTGAAACTCCGGTGGTGAGGTCGAACTTCAGTTGGCCTGGGGATGCCCTCATCCACCAAGGAAGCATGGCGTAAAACGCCTCACAGCCGTCAATCGTCCAACCCGATGCTCTTCTTCACCCCACGCCGAGGACGGAATCAACCTCACAGATCAACCTGTGGTGAGGACCCGAGTCGTGCATCCTGATACATAACTTACACACACAAGAATTCGTCGCCATGCCATTGCTCAGCACTATCATGATCTCCTTCACTTTCTTCATCGGTCGCCCAACTTGTCTTGTTTTTGCCGTTGCCATTGCCTTGCCCTCTGTGGGTCTGTTTTCTTGTGATCCGTTTGGTCGGCTGCAAGAGACGGTTTATTGTTCGTTTGACGCCTGATTGTGATTGCCGGCGTCGTTGGTCACCGTGACAGCTTCAAAGGGTAGCCTTGTCTTTCTTTCTTGTCTTGCTCATCATGGTCGGGCCAGAATGGACAACTCCCAACCCATCAATTGTTGACCAGGGTGTGATTCAAACTCAACGGGCCAAAAGATACGGCCCACCCGTCCAGCCATCCGTCTGGGGAGGAAGTCTGGGAGCCCAGTCGGCCAGGTCTTGACAACCACTCGGTGTGCAGCACCTGATTACACGTGGTACCAGTCCTGCACCAAGTCACATTGATCCTCCATTGATAGCCCTGGTGCCCGTCAAGGCATCATCCACCACCACTTTTGCTCCCATCGTGGAAAAGGTTAGGTGAGAAGCTCCAGAGCAGCATACGCGTGTTTCTATCTAACCATATCCAAGCCTTGGTGGTTGTGGTTTGTAATCACGGCATTGGGAGGACTCGAGCAGAGGCCCTTGCCTGCAACACCAAAGTACCCAAGACACACGGAAGCAACTGTGCTTTTGATGGTGTGTAACTCGACCGAGTTTGAAAGGAGGGGAAGAGGGCCGGCGGGGTTCTTTTTGACGCTGGAGATGCCGCGGATGATATCGCCGTCTTGGTGTTTTGATTGCATATACATATGTATGTGACCAAGTAGTACCTATGTAGTTTCATCCAAGGACGGGAGCAGCCTTCCCCGGAGCTGTCGTCGTAGCAGTGAGAGACGACCAAGATCATCGCCAGCGTCTCTCGCACGTCATCGCCGGCCTCCAGTGTACCCACTGATCCAACGCCAGTCTAACCGCCCCAGAGCCGCCATCCAGTCATTTACCTTGGCTTTTGGCGCAAAGCCATCTCCGGGACTCCAGCAGTTTGTCTGCTTGTGTTCCCGAAATACACTTTTTGACTCCTCCACACCGTTCGTCTCGTCAACTTCAGGTTCCCTCTTTTGTCGTCCAGACCGACGGGTGGGTCTGGCCAGGCTGGAGACCAAAGTGGACACACACATGGGATGGACGCTTTTGCAATCGCGGAAAAAAAAAAAAAGAATCAGATCCCTGCAAGTACCAGATACAACTACTACGCAACAAGGGGGGTGCGGTGTGAGAAAGAAGCTGGAGTTGAACCATGACGGTTGTCGGGAAAAAAGAGCGAGAAAGAAAAAAAATAATTTTACCAACTGGCGGCGGAGGCTGGGAGCCAATTTCCCCCACTTCAATACAGTCCCGTCACTGGTGCTGGCACTGGCAGGCGGCCTGGATGTGGTCCGTGTGTCCACGCCCGTGTCTCCCGCCCGCGACCATCGTCCACTGGCAGCGACAGTGTCGTCAACTGGGCCCCCGTCCCCGACCCCCCCGGACACAACCTGGCCCAGCTCTGGAGTTTCCCGGCTCTTGTGACCACCGACAGGCAGGAAAAGCAACAAATAAGTTCAACTACCCCGCCACCTTCCCGCGCTCCCGTCCCGTCAAACTGGAACTTGAAGGCTTGCTCTTGCTTGAGAGTCCTCCGAGTCGGTAAAGCTGGGCATTTTATAGACGGTAAAGAGCAAACACGAAGCAACTTGCATGCAACTGGACCATCTGAGAACTGCCACCATCGTCACCCACCTCCAGGTCGTGGTCCCCGCGTCCACCTTCTCGTCCAGGTGAAGGTCGATGCCTCGACACCCTGCCCCCGGCCACCACTCACCCACTCACAACCGCCATGCCGACCCGACTAATACCGTTGCAACTCCCTCAAAAGGTGGAAAGAGAGAGGGCTCGGATGCTGGAGCTCCTACAGTACAACTATGACGCCGATCACTCTTCCATCTACTACACCCACAACTCGAGCTCTTCCTCGTCCGACATTGCCTCACCACTGCCCATCACACCAACCTTTTCGCGCCCCAGCCACTCGCGTTACTCTGGTTCGACCTCTTCGCTCGAGAACATTATGCCTCCGAATGCCTCCTCCGAGTGCCCCATCTCGCCATTACAACAAACGCATCCCAACAAGGCCAACAAGACCCAGCTCCCCGATGTGCAAGAGGAACCTTTGGAGAGGGATTCGGTCGACATCTATGAAGACGAGGACGAGTACGACCTTTACTCCGGTGCAGACGAGGCCAGGCTAGGGGGACTTTACGATTGCCTTTGTAGGTTCCAACAAGGTCTTCCTCCAAGGTAGACTCAAGGTAGCTAACTCGACCATGACTAGGCGACGAGGCATGCTCCCACCACAACGATGTAGCCCAAAGCATTACTACCCGCCCTTCCATGACTTCGGATTTCGACTACGATCTCGGGTTTTTGAGCGACACGGAGTTCAGTGATAGTTCAAGGTCAAAGAAGAGGAGGCATGGATCAGATGCTGGAATGTCGTCTTGGAGTTCGAGGATAGGGTCAAAGCTCCCGAGCTTTTCAAGATGGGGATCCACGTCAAGGCGGAACCAGTTTGCTTCCGCACCCGCCTCCGTCTCGTCACTCGTCCAGCGTCCCAGCATCTCCCGAAACTTCTCCCGTGCCGCCTCGAGCAGGTCATCGTCAATATCCGCTTCGATGCGACGCCCTTCCGAGCAGCTACAACAGCAGCAACAACCGCAATTCACCGAACCACCACTTCCCACCACCCCTGCGCTCTCTTTTTACGGCAGCCCCGACGAAACTGTTTCTCCTGCTTCCCCGCTCGAAGATGCGCAGGCAGCCGCTGGAAAAAGCCTGGAACGGGAACGTGCCTTGGCAGCCACTCCTCTCCTACCTCCTCTATTCACCGAAAGCCCACCAACCCAAGGAAACACACAGTCGCTTCAAACATCACCTCTGCAGTCGCCGACCGTTGCTTCTTACTTCCCGGATATAGGCAACCCCCAACACTACCCTACGCCACCGCTGAGCACCAAGGCATCAGTAGCATCATTCCGCCGCGCAACCATTGCGAGTACGATCAGTGAACTACCCTCGCCGCTTCCATTCCTCGAGGACCAGGATGCTTGGTCAGATCGTCTAGGGCATGCCAACTTTACGATCGAGCCCAGGCCCTATGTACCAGACACAGCCGATTTGGCAACATACGAGGCCTTCCGTGCTGATTGGAACCAAGCCAGGATCAACTTTACCAAACACCTTGTCCGGACTGGAGAACACTACGGCCTGACGTCAATCACTTACGGTTATACTCAAGAAAAATGGGCAGAGATAGAGCAGGAATGGAGCGGGGCTGAGGAGGATCTCATTCAACGACTGGAACCGCAGTTAACCAGGGCGACTACGACACTGCTCCGTCGTGCTACCGAGGATGTGCTCCCGGCTGCCGTCCCGGAAATGTTGACGGATGAGGGCAAGTTTCCCGACCGCGGCGATGTTGACATTGTCGGGCCAATGGTCCGCGATGCGGTCATGGCTGGACACGACGATAAGAAGAACAGTGCCTCCCTTTGGCTCAAAAATCTCGTGGACAAAGTGGGGCGTCGGAAGTGAAGCGAAGGAAGGGAAAAGCATCATGTGCCGCCCACGCTGAGTAGGGAGGCAGAGTACCGAATCACGATTCGAGAAAGCCGTTGGATACTACCCCATCTTTTTGTTTTCTTGTTCGATGGATGGATTGGAAGCGGACAAACAGCCTGCTATTGCTATTTGGACGGACGCACACCTCACACGCATTTTTTTAACGCTGTCGACGATTTGATGATACGTGCCACGACACCATACTAGATCTCTTTGGGGCTGGTCTCATTTTTGCATACTAGCCAGTCCCCATTTTCTTGTTGTTTTTTCATCATGCTGTCAAAAAGATACCCCATCAGGTTTACTACGTTGTCTTTTTTCAACCAAAAGTTATTCATACATACATACATACATATCTGGGATCTACTTACTTTTCTTGTATATTCCTTTTTACTTAGGTCGGGTGATACATACACTCTATCAACCTGTCTGTCTGCCCCTCATTTTTTCCAAGTGTCTCTCCCCCATCGCGCATCTCTCAATGCTGTGAAGTGGCAGGTTTCACACACACATGCACACACATGTGTATCACGGTTACACATCTACACCTCTAGGTACTACACTCACACACACGCACTTCAGCCAGAGAACATTGTATCTAGATAGCTTCTTGTTTATCCATAATAGGCTACTAGAGGTAGTTAGAGGAAAGACAAAGAATGAGACTGTACATACACCCAATTTTTGAAATACCTGATCCCCTCCACCTACCTACTTTCTTCGTGGCTTGTCAAATCACACCACGATATGCCCAAAGAGCACAACGAGAGGGGGCAAGCATTACTAGGTGGATAGTGAATGGGGGACATCGAAAAAGAGCGCTCATGAATTTTAAGTGAGTGATCGGAACGGTCCGTCCGATGTGAAAGGTTGTGGTACAATGTCGTGTACAACGGCACGACGGACGCGGAGAGAGAGAGAGCAGTCAAGTCAAGTCAAGTGAAGTCAAGCCAGTCAAGTCAAGTCAAGTCAAGTCAAGTCAAAGTGGCAGTTATGCCCTACGTACGACTACGCCGTCTGTTCTCTGTCCTCAGTTCTCTGTTCACTGTCTGTTGGTAAAGTATGCATCGCCGCCCTATGGTTAGATCATCAATTGTTGAACACTCGCACCAACCAACAACACAAGACACGGAACACAAAACTTGCAAGGGTGGGAAGTGGGAAGTGGGAAGGAAGCGGGGTTGACTAGGTAGGTAGACACAACCACATTACCAACTACCTTGTGTACAATATGTCGGACACTCACGTCAAGCATGGATTAGAATTACCCTGTACTTGACTGGACTGGACTGGCCATGATGGCTGGCTGGCTGGACCGGACTTGACTAAACCCTAAGAAAGCCTGGTCCGTGAGGGGGGGCTAGAAGACGGCTTTGGTCACGAGGCTCATAACATAACCACTCTACCAAACAAATCAACTACGTAACCACTTGTCCATCCGTAGTCCATACCTAGCCAACACCTCCTTTCTATTAGAGTAGGATGAGGAGAGCAGCTGAACATGGAGTCTCATTTTTGGCCCAACGAACCAACTGGTTAAGTTTAGTACATACACTACCGACCAGACCTATGTCGGACCCCCAGAATCGGGAATCGGGAATCGAAATCGGATCGGGTCGGGTCGGGTCGACTAGAGGTACCCATCCACCTGACTTCCTCCCCCCCCCCATTCCAATTCCCACGCGTTCATCTTGGGATCCCCATATTCCTCGGGCAAGATATCATAACTCAGACTGGCTGGCTGGCTGGCTGGAAATGTCCAGATTTTCCTGGTCGGGGTTGTGCGGGTTAACTGGTAGCACCACCCAGCGGTAGTACTTGCGGAGTTGCGGTGACACCAGCGGTAGTACCGATGCGGGAACGGCAAGCACCATCAAGCACGTTCCCGTGGGCACATGGGGACACATGGGGGGCACAGGCGGCCGCACGGCAGAATGGCTGGCTGGCACAAGCACAAACTAACTGACTGGACGCGGTGGGAACTGGGGAGACTCAAGACTGTGTGTGGAGGGTAGAATCTGGTGGGTATCATCATATCATATCATACATGGGAGGGTTGAGGCTGTGGATCTCCATCAACATTACATAGGTAAAGTAGAACCGGGCGTTGGTCCCTGTGTAGGTCTGGCATTGGCCTCCAGCGATTTATCAACTGGGCCAAAGAACACACAAGTAGAAACTTTGTGGTGTTTACCTTGGTCATATTGAACAGTCTATGGGTAAGGGGGCAACCTCAAAGGTAACCGTAAGTAGGGGACTTAAAGTGATAGAATGGACGAATGTACCAAGCATAAGTCGGGCATAATGACTTCGTTGACAGTGACGATCAGGGTCCGGTATCACCTTTCCTACCTATTACCATTGACGAATTGACTGGTATTCGAGAAGGCCTGCGGTGCTAGTATCCATTTCAAGAGCGAATACGCGGGCAGGTAGGTGTGGTGTTTTGGACGTCATTACATGCTAGGCAACGAAGAGTGAAGGGCTGGTGCTACGAAGAAAACATAAGTTAGCGCCTCTATATTCGTACCCTTATTGACGTAGAAGGACAAGAAATACGAGTTTCAAGAGGATGGAAGTGGTTCATGATTATCGACTTTGACTGCTTGCGAGTGTCCAGGTCAGTGTAGTTGAGGCTGAAGTGCATGTGGTTGGGAGTGTTCGAGTCGTCGTATGAAGTTTCTTGTTTGTCCATCTTGCTGATAGTTTTCTCTCTATGCTGGGTAACTTGTCTCGTTGATTTTCGAGCCAATTTAAGGCATCAGAAACCTTTAGGTTTAACTGTGCCCTCAACGTGGCCATGATGACTCTCCTAGAACTTTCTTCAAGTTAGGGTAGTGAACTCACATCATGCCGCAGCCTTCCCTGGTATAGCAGCGACTTATTCCACTTCCAACAAACATCTCCCGCCAGAAATGCCGACTACATATTAACAAGCACGTGGCTTCCCCAATCCCACTGGTTATACATACTGTCCGGTAAGCAATCATCTTCAAAAGCCTACATAGTAATGTATGGACATAAAGAAGACGATGAGACACGAAGCACACGAAACACGTGGCGTCCAACGACACTCCTTTCCGCTGACCATACATACCTCTACATACCTACCCCAAAATTCCTCAACGGCTGCCGGCATGGTTGGTGTCACGTCATTGCGTGTGTTTCCGGTAGATTGTCACTCACAGACTGGGGCTGGAATGGGCGGGCGGGCGCGGGGAGAAGAGTCTGGGGCAGGCATGTAGGGTATGTATGGGAACCGTCCTACATAGTGGCGTTTTTATTTTTCCTTGCTCCGCATGATGGCGGAGGCGAAGTAAAGAGGAAATATGTAATGTATGTATGTAGGGTTTCGGCTTCGGAAGAGAGGGGAGTTACGGTTTCCGGGTTGAGTATCCGGTGTGCCAGTCAGTATTCGGGCTTGCACACGGGACGGGAGGCGACGCGTAAGAATTCCTTAGCAGGAAAGCTGGAGGCTGACTGGACTGGACTGGACTGGATTGGACTTCAGCCCCTCACCATCGAGCCGCTCATGGATTTAGCAGGGTCAAATAGGGTGACTTGGATCGAAATCTTGGATCTCGGAAAGCCTGACTCGGCTCAATGGCATGGTTTGGGGTTTCGTGTGGTTCGTATAAGAAAAATAAGATGAGATCTGAGACGGGATCGGGATCGTGTGAGAGCCTTTGGGGGTGTGGTGCCTTTGGGTCTCATTGGAGTATGTACTTGTGAACGTGGTTAAGGGGACTGGGAGATGGGAGTGTCGTAAGTCGTCGTGTGTCCCCTTGATGCAGTCATCTTCAGGTTCACATTTTACGACTGGAAGAAGGTCTGTCGATTAGTGCAGGGAAAGTCCCGAATAGACGCTTTTCACGTTTTCGACAAACATATCCGTTCGGAAACTCCTGAATGCTGAATTGAACCCCTCGACCCTGAGAGGTCGGTTCGGACTCGAGGTAGAGGTCGGTGCCGGGTCTAGAAGAAGAGATCGACAGCCTAGCCATGTGGTAGCAGATATTAACTTTCTGTACCTGTATGCAGGACCGGCTTAGCAAGACTCTAGACACTCCAGTCTGTTCTGCTCTGTGATACATCTGAATGCCAGGCTCCGCTTGTCGATAAGAGAGGAGCCGAATATTCAGATAGCCACCCGTCCTATCACCGTACCTGGTTCAAAGTCATACGACATGTTGTGTGTCTCGCTTGTGTAGGACGATGGTGGTTTGTGACAGAATACCACCAAGGTAGGCTGTACTACTGGTGCTCAGCGGCAGACTGATTGATGTTTAGTCAAAGGTTAGCCAGCCAGTGGAGGGTTGCTTGTGTGTATTGGTTCCTTCTCCCAACTCAGTATTGTCAGTTTCCAGTGAGACATGAGCGTCATAGGGGCTCAGTCTCCACAAAGAATTGGCATCTTCCCTGATTATCTCTCGAACATGTCTCTGATGTGAAGTGCCCGAAAAAAGCCTGGTGTGTTTCAGCTCGTCATCTTTTTTGCAACTTGCAAGTTATACCGAGAACTCATGAAGTGGCTGAATCTGGTGTCTTTGAAGCTGGTCAGCCATCGTAAGGGTGTAGTTGATACGTGACCACCATAGACACCAGATCAACTCACAGCTGATGCATTCGCATAGCTGTTGTAAGTTTGAGTTATAGTCAAACTCGATCTGTCGTTGTCCACTTGTGGTGGGCTCGCGGATCACCAACGGTACCCCGGCGACGCTGAGGACAAAACACCAAAAAAGACATCCCATCCGAGCTGAAAAAGATGTTTGTTGACAAAGAGTGAGATTCGAATTCCCAGATCCCAACTCACCACAGCCTCCTAGCTCCTCCTGACTGATGTAATGTCTGGTTGTGGCATCGGCGCGAATAGTGATGTTGGCATCGTGTAGTTATTGGACGAGGGCGGCAGAGAAAGTGGAAGATATGTCATGGTCGGGGTTCTGCACTCGAATAGCAAGGTGGTTTAATGAAAAGAACAGAATTCGGCCAAGTTGCTTCGCGGAAGAGTGATGAAGCTCCTGGCATCAGTGTCATCCGATGGCTCGGGAGAGATCAGATCTTGAGATGGTGATGCGGCACAGAGGTCATGTCAAAGAGAACGGTTCGGGCCATGACGGGGACGGGCCAGGCCGCCGCTGCCCTGGGATTAAATGCCAAGACTTGGGTGCCCCAAGCTCCTCGAGGCGCTAGCTTCTCCTGGCTTGGCGTGTTCAGGGTCCTCTGGCTGGCAGAGCTCCAAATCTCCCATTGACCCCACCTTTGCCCCGCTGGAGAGCCCCGCCAGAGTGCTGCGATGCAGAGCTGGCGATTGCTGGGGGAGCACATGGAGTTGAAAGGGGGTCGTGGTCCCATTTCCCAACTTTGTTGTTTGTCAATCGCAACAACCCTCGAGATCACCAAACAAACACCATCGCGACATTGCCTTCTGTCCTTTTTCTTAATTCTCCTTTGCGACCTGTTCTTTCCATACGCCCCTAACGATACCCCGTATAATCCTATAACATATTTATAATGGCTTCCGAAAAGGTCTACCGTGCCAGCACCACGGCCCCCGTCAACATTGCCGTCGTCAAGTCAGCCCAACTTTCCTAATACTTAATACTTCAGACGAACACGTGGAGAAGAGCATCTGAACTGACTGTGTCTCTTCCCCCGCAATTCCAGGTACTGGGGCAAGCGCGACACCAAGCTCAACCTCCCAACCAACAGCTCTCTCTCTGTCACTCTCTCCCAAGCCGACCTCCGCACCCTCACCACCGCCTCCTGCTCGGCCTCGTACCCCGAAGGCGACTCCCTTCTTCTCAATGGCGAGCCCTCTGATGTGTCTGGTGCTCGCCCCCAGGCATGCTTCCGTGAGCTGCGCGCCCGTCGCGCCGCCCTCGAGGCTGCCGACCCCTCGCTCCCCAAGCTCTCCACCATGCCCCTGCGCATCGTCTCCGAGAACAACTTCCCCACCGCTGCCGGTCTCGCCTCGTCTGCTGCCGGCTTCGCTGCCTTTGTGAGGGCCATCGCCAATCTCTACGAGCTCCCTGCCTCCCCTTCGGAGCTGAGCTTGATCGCCCGCCAGGGCTCCGGCTCTGCCTGCCGCAGTCTGTTTGGCGGTTATGTTGCCTGGCGCATGGGTGAGGCTGCTGATGGAAGCGATTCCATGGCCGACCAGGTTGCCGAGGCCTCGCACTGGCCCGAAATGCGCGCCCTCATCCTCGTCGCGTCTGCCGCCAAGAAGGGTGTCAGCTCGACCTCGGGTATGCAGCAGACTGTTGCCACCTCCGGTCTCTTCCAGGAGCGCATCAAGTCGGTGGTGCCCAAGAACATGGAGATCATGGAGAAGGCGATTGCGGAGCGTGACTTTGCCGCCTTTGCTGAGGTTACCATGCGCGACTCCAACTCCTTCCACGCTACCTGCGCCGACACCTATCCTCCCATCTTCTATATGAACGATGTTTCGCGCGCCGCTATTCGCGCCGTCGAGGCCATCAATGCCGCTGCTGGCCGGTCCGTTGCCGCTTATACTTTCGATGCCGGCCCGAACGCCGTCATCTACTACCTCGAGCAAGATACCGAGGCTGTTGTTGGCAACCTCTACAGCGTCCTTAGCGAGGTGGATGGCTGGAAGGCGTCCGCCGCTGAGGGCCTCAAGTCCAACGTTTCCTTTGACGAGAGCGTTGCCGGCTTGCTGAAGAACGGTGTTAGCCGTGTGATCATGACCAGTGTTGGCGAGGGTCCAGTTGCGACACAGGAGTACCTGGTGGCTGAGGATGGCACCCCGGTTAAGAGCTCTTCTTAGAGGAGATGGGTTCGGAAGGGGGACATTTCGCGTAAGCTGCTGCGCAGGTTGGATTTTAATACTGGAAAAATATTGACATAATAATGTACATACCCGGCTGTGGACATACCAAGGAAGGTAGCGAAAAGCTAGGGATATAGAGACAGGGCTGGCAGGAGTTGTTGCAATGGCAAGATGAACGCAAACCAAGTCCGTTCCTCATTCGGTTCTGCTTGGTGCTTATGTTAACCAGACAGACAGCCCCTTCGACTGGGGCTTCTTCTAGAGTTACTGACTACCAGCGCCTCTAGGTCATAATAAGGAGGTTGTATTTAAAGGAAATCCAATGTCCTGTTTACGGCGTACCGAATTGAGCAGCATGTCGGGGGTTTGTAGCACATGCAGCCATCACGGCACGGTCTTACGTCAGGGTATGGCAGAGCTTCCATCAGGGCGGTTGGGGTTCAACACCGCTCGGCGTTCCTCGTCGCGACCATTCTACACGCGCACATACCTACCTACCTCTACGTACGACGCAGCACGACGCAGCTTTGGGTTATCTTGCGCGACATTGCATTATCAGGAGAAAAAGAAACATTGATAATTCTGGCCACATAATTGTATGGTCCGGCAGACCCTCAACCGAACAACCGATTGCCACCTCGGCGCACAGCTCCCTTTCCTGGATACATCGTTTCTCGACTCCGACCAACGACACCAGAGCTTCGTCGATGTAGGCAGCAATCGAGACGATGAGCAGGAACATCTACGACATCGACCCAGCCGGCAATGTGCTCTGCACATATACTGGTGAATCACAGGAGAGTTTGAGGGCCGTACGTACTTTGATCCATCCCCATCCATCCGTCCCTCCATCCTGCTCTGCCTATTCCACAGCATCACTGAGTACCATCTCAAAACAACGAACTTTGCACCCAAAGTCAACTTCCAAGACGTCGACTTGAAGTCAAACCACTTCCAACCAACGACGACCCCTTCCTCCCCCCTTCCTCCCCCCTTCCCCCTTGCCCTCCTCGCTAACCACCACCCCCCCCCCCCCTCTTTACAGATCCCAACCCGCCCACCCCCCCTCCTCGCCCTCCTCCACGCCTTCCTCCCCGCCGGCTACCCCCACTCCGTAACCCCCGACTACCTCGCCTACCAAACCTACGACTCCCTACAAGCCTTCTTCTCCTCCATCACTTCGTTGCTAGCCAACCGCGCCGTCCTCGAAGGCCTCGGCGTAGGAGACTCCTCCTCCTCTCCCACGGGGGCCCTGATCCTCAAAATCGCCGGCGACACGATTTCTCGAATCGCTACCATCTTGTTCGCTCACAGACTGGGCACGGCGATCGAACCGGAGTGCAAGTTCTACCGGTTCCTAGCGGACTTGTTGAATGATTCCGCGCAGTTGTTGGACCTCCTAACGCCGGCGATGCCGTACCTGCCGAAGCTGGGGGTTATTGTAGGAGCGGGGGTGCTGAGGAGTTTGTGTGGTGTGGCGGCGAATGCGAGCAAGGCGAGCTTGTCGGCGCATTTTGCGCTGAGGGGAAATCTGGCGGAGTTAAATGCCAAGGAAGCGAGTCAGGAGACGGTGGTGAGTTTGCTGGGCATGTTGGTGGGGAGTCTGGTGGTGAAGGTTGTGCAGGATAGACAGGTGGTTTGGGGGTTGATGGTGGGGCTTTTGGGGGTGCATTTGCTCATGAATTATTGGGCGGTCAGGAGTGTGAGGTGCAGGACGCTGAATCGGCAGAGGGCGACGGTGGTGGTGAGGGAGTGGTTGGAATGTGGGAGGGTGTTGGGGCCGGAGGAGGTGGCGGGGAGGGAGAGTATTTTGCAACTAGGAGGAGGGAGAGGGTTTGGGTTTGGCAAGATGGCGAGTAAATCCGGAGAGTACACGGGTACTTGCGAGTTTGGGACGTATGGGCATGTTAAAGCGTTGGCGGGGTGGAAGGGGGGGTATCATAGGTATGAGTTTGAGACGGACGGGTATTTCATGGGTATTTGTCATCGGGGAGGGAATTTTGTCATGAGGATCGCGTTGAAGGAGGAGCAGCCCCAGGGGAAGAAAATGAGTACAAGTGTGAGTAGTCCGCTGGAGGCCTGGTTCGATGCCGTTAGCCACGCCTATCACTTTGGCTCGGCCCTTAAGGATGGGTTGGAGAGTCATTATGAGAACGAGGTGCCGCTGCTGGGGTATACGTCGGAGGAGCAGAAGGGGACCGTTTTTGCGGCGCTGGCAGCTGCTGGGTGGGATCTAGAGACGAATGCTTTGGAAACGAGATCGCCTGTGAGGGTGAGGGTCGGGGATGGGAAGAAAGGTATGTTATGTGACTGACTGACTACATGATCTCCTCGTCTTCCAGTCTCTTTGCTAACTTGCAATCTCTTCCCTGCTCAGTTCCAATCCTATCAGAAAAGGATAGTATTCACCAACCCCAGATATCCAAAAAGGATTGAAATGTCACAAGCAACAGTATTGGGTGAGAGAGAATGCAGTGGATTCCCTCCTGGAACGGCCAGGAAACTAAGGAGCAACAGGACATCTACCTAGGCAAAGTACTATGTAATATATATATATATCCAACACCAAAGAGCGACCACTATCACCAGATATGTCGCCTCTATGCAGGTGTCTATTATCCTTTAACCATGCCTCTGTCTTGTCCATATGCACCGTTTGAACAAAAGTTTATATGCCAAACATGAGTGAGATGCAATGTTAAACCAACCCTACTAATAATACAGCGAAACCTACATGTTCGAGTCTTGAAAGATCTCTGCCCTATATACCCCACGAGTCTATTTTCTAGACCACTTCAATCATCCCATCGTCTTCTCTATGCCCCTCGCTTCACTCTAGTTCAACCCAACAAGCCCCAAAGCCCTCATCTTGACTCCCTCCCACGTATTCAACTTCGGCCTCACATCCAAATAAAAGTTCAACTTGCCCGCCCCCGCCTTATCATTATTCCTCCCCGCATAAAAGTCAATCACATAATCCACCCTCGTGCCACAGCGATCAACAATCCAGTCATGCCTATCAAACGGCGCCGTGTACCCCAACAACGTATTCAGCCTCGCCTTGGGCGTCATCCGCTTGCTCTCGCCCATGAAGCTCTGCAGCTTGGGGCCCTCGGCGCATCCACATCCTTCTCCGGTAAAGGGCTTCTCCCACCGCAGAATCTCCGCCCACGCCCGCTCGTTGACCGCGTTGTGGATGGGGACAACCGTCTTCATGTCGGCTGCGCTGGCGCCGTCGTGCCCTTTGCGCTTCATGGCTTCGTAGAATTGTTTCTCGGAGGGGTAGACCCAGTTGCCGGTGGCGGTGTCGGCTCCCGTTTCTTGCTCGGCGTTGGAGGGGCAGGCCGAAGGACCGGTGGTGGCGGCGCGGGGGATGGAGGAGATTTCGCGATGTTCGCCGAGTGATGACTGGGGAGGCGCTAGTGTGGAGGGCGGCGCGGAGGAGCCGGAAGAAGAGGACGTGAAGGGGAGCCATGAGGACCACGACGAGGAAGATGGTTGCGAGGTGGGAAGCGCCGCGGGGACTGCTGTTTGTTGCGCCGGCTGGGGGATCTGGGATTGAGTAGGCGGTGTTGGTGGTTGTTGTTGTACTGCAGCTGCTGGTGCTGGTGCTACTGGCGTCGTGAAGGCGTTCTCTGGCGATGGTGTCGTCGAGCCGCCCGCCGCAGCCGCGGCCTCTTGTGCGGCCTTTGCCTGCTTTGCTTGTTGCAACCACAGCTCGCGCGTCTTGTGGTCGACGGGGCACTTGTCCTCGCTGCCGGCACCGGCCTGTCCTGCCATTTCCTTCATCTTGATTGTGCGTAATAAGTTGGTTGACTAACGGCGAGGTTCTTGTTGTCGATGTAGACGTATGAGGATAGCAGGGATCCTCCTCTATAATCGGGATGCGACGTTTGGGAAGTTGGAGGAAAAAGGAACCTTGAAAGTGAGGTAAATCATCGAGCTCCCGATTGGGTCCGGCGGCTGTTATCGTCAGCGCTGTGGAAGTTGCCGGGAGCTCGAGCTCCTCAGCGCACTTCAACTTTTTAGTGGGGCTTGGGCGATCAGTTGTTTGGCAGCTGACAGAGACGAGCTTCCCCAGCAATCCCGTTAACGGCCCCCCACCGAGTTCATCCTCACCGTGGTGACTGAACTCAGCACATGGCACATGGCATCAGTCAGGCACGGCACATCGATCAATTCGACCCCCGGCCGGCAATCTCACAGGGCTGATCACCTTCCCGTCACAGTCCGCTTGCTTCTTCTGGTTTCTCACTTGAGAGATTATCTCCGTAGAAGCCGAAATGTCCCCTGTAGAGGCCTTTCGGTTACTCGTACGTCACATGTTCCCATGATGAGATGTGCTACGCTCAGGGCGCTTCCGAGCATGCCGAGGTGTCTGTGATGTAGTGAGCACATGGTGTTGACGATGCTGTTGTAAGTCGGCTTCCCTTTTTGTGTTCATGGTTAAGGCCTCGACACAGCGGGGGTAAGAGGCAGGTGTTTACGTATGGCGTGGCCCAATCATGTGAATCTCGAGACCGGTAATTCCCAGCAATTCTCCGTCCAAACAACGGCGTGGTAAGCCTCTTTGTCTCACACGTCGTCGTTCTCGGCATTTGCAGACCACAAACGAGCAGCGGTTGGTGTTCAGAAGTGTTTAGATGTTATTCTGGGCTCGCGGGCTGACACCTAACGCTGGGATTTCGCCCGGCTTTGGGGGTAGCCCGTTGCACTGACTATATACACAAGACCTGCATCCGTCCCCCGGTCACTCAAGCCCGGATGTCCGGACAAGGCCCGGCCTCCTTTGGACGACCTTCTCCCCCACCGATCCGTTAACACCGTGCCATGCTGACCAAAGCCGGAACGTGCATCTCTAAAGCCAAACCCCGGTGAGCTCTTTGTTTTCTAAACGCCAATGCAGTGCCGTCCATAGATAATCTGATATACAAACTTTGCTCGGTTCAAAATCGCGTGAAGCATTGATGATCATACGCTGTGTGTGTGATGTGAGAGGGGGATAGGGATAGATAGCGCTAGATGATTGGGGATCTCAAGTGTAGGCCCATTCCTAGGTCAAAGGGGTTCTCAAAAAAGGTTCGCTGCGTTGTGTCGGTCGTTTCGGGCTCGATATCCATCTTGATAAACGAACCGTCTAGTCTATGTTGATTTATCTCGCGTTTAAGCAAAGCCACAGCCGCTCTCAATAGCCTCGATCTCGGCCTCGGTGAGAGGCTGGCGACGGAAGCGGGCGGGGAGCTCGTTGCGGTCAAAGTAGAGACCCTGAGGAGGCTTGACGGGGCCAAGAGCGGCGCCGGGAGAGGCACCAATGCCGTCAACCTCAGGGCGGATGGTCTTGCGAAGGGGACCGTGCTGCTGGGCGTGCTGGCGATAGGCGCTGAAAGTGGTGGAAGAACCCCAGTTGGCCGGGAGCGAGTGGGTAGGAGAGGCAGGGTGAGGCTTGGGAGAGTGGTCGACGGAAGCTGTTGGACAAAGAGCAGTCAGCACGTCATCCGAAAACACAAGGTTGCCAGTCAAGATGGCAGATGCACCACACCGGAATGCTCGGAGGCGCAGGACGGGGAGGAACATACCAGGAATGGTTCTGCGACCGAGGAACTTGATGGAAGGAACACGCTCAGCGTGAGCGGCAGCCTGGCGGAGGACTCTGGTGGCGGCGAACATGGTTGCGATTTTGAGGGTTGGGTGTGTTGGCGTTGGGAAACGGTGACAACGGTGACTCGTGTAGGGCTGCACTCGGAGGCGGAGGCGGGAAAGCTAGTAGTCTGTCGACTGGACCGGTTGACAAATTTTCTCGTTTTTTAGGGGCAATATGTCAGGTGGGTAACTGCGGTTGTTTTTTTGTTTGGGTATTCCACCAAAAAAAAGACGACGGGCAGTGTGACGATGGTTGTGGACAGCGGAGGTCGAAGGGGCGGGCAAGAACGGTTGAATGGTCGGCTAGGTTCTGAACGGTTGGACGGACAATTGGCAGCGGGCCGGGGCGGAGGAGATGGGACCAAAGGGGGGGTTGAAGTTAGTTTGGACTCGACTCTCGAGACTCGCGGCCAGGACGGGACTGTAGCGGACAACAACGGGGAGTGAGGGCGGCGCGAGGGGATTTATTACTGTTTGTAATTAACAGTTGGCTGTCCACTTTTCACAAGCTGCCGAAAAATGGAGAACAGGCTGCATGTGAAAAATGTCCAAGGCATCCCGCTTGTTCTCGGCCAATCAAATCTCTTGTGCGGTGACCCCCGCTTGCCCCGCCCGTTTTCGTGGCCCATGGACGGGGTAGCGTAGTAGCACTTGGACATGGGAGTAGCACTAATTTGTGCTAAGGTGTTACCACAGCGTAACACTGCCCCGAGAGCCGGAGGGAAGAACTGCATTTGATCACAACTCTTTTGGCAACTTGCATTGTGATCATTCCATTTCCCACCAGCATTCACCCACTCCGTCTTTGTCCATTGTGTGAAAAACATGGAGGCGGAAAGAGCACACGAACCTTGGTCGCAAGTTCCGTTGTAATTGCACCATCACTTTGATGCACCCTCAGAACCCTCTCGAGCCCCTCCTGCTTCTTCAGTTTGCTCCTCCGATTCTATTGTCGGTTGCGAGGCTGGGGTATTCTAGGCATTGAACTTGTTCATGGTTAGGTACCTCTAGGGTACCAATCACACAAGGCCAGAAAAGGAAATCCAAGATGGCGAGCGCTAAACCGGCCGAGTTTGGTGGTCCGGCGCTAGAGGTTTGGTGGTGTCGTGGTCAAGGGCTCTGAATGGCTGTGTTGGCTGTAGAGAGATAAGGTTCAAAGATGTTTGTAACAGTTGTGAATAATTCATGTATTCGTTGTAACGACTGGACGCCGCTTCATCTCCGGATTCTCGTTGCACATCTTCAGACTTTTGTCCCCAAATCCCCATCATGTTTTCGACGCATCCATCGGTGCCGCTGGACCAGCATCACCCACGTGTAACAGGCATTTGTTTCAGCAGTCGACCGTCTAGACCGGGGCAGACCGTCGCCCGCAGACGGCGCAACCCGGGCTGCACTTCCTCCGATAAACATCACCCCCGCTTCCCCCCGGCTCACCTTTCCCGTTGGTTGCCACCTTGGGTACGACCTTTTGGATTGGTGCCATCGCAAACCATCATGATGCGATTTCGAGTCTCACAATCATCAAGAAGTCCCTCCCCCCGCATCTTCAGCTGCGCGCCCTTCATCACGCACAAGTCACATCCCGCATCCAAAACCGGAAGTCCTCCACGCGACTGCCATGGCTCCGAATGCCATCAAATCGGCCCAACGATCGCGGCGCCAGGCCTCGCACTTTGGGGGACACTCTGTCGCACATTTCCATTGTACGTACATACATATGTAACCCGCAGTGCGACAGCAATCGGACCTCGCCGACACAAACCCCTCTCGAGACTTTAGAGGCTCACGAGGCCGATGGGTACGGGCAGTTGAAGCACGCGATACATATGTACAGTGTAATTGGAAGTTTGATAGGCAACGCACAGACGGGCGTCGAACTGATATGTACAACGAAATGCACGAGTGGAAGTAAAGCTTTGGCTTCCACTTTGTCATATTTTGATCACTGTTAGCTAGCTTCCCATACATACATTATACCGTGGAAACGCGTGTCACTATTTCGGGTTTGGGTTTTGGGACATGTTGAAGCACTTCAGTCCGCAATGCTGGGCAGACTGATGCTCGCAGGTCCCAGAACCGATATTCGCGTCGGGTGTTTTGGTCCCCAAAGAAGTCCTGGACCTCTCAGCATATATGCATTTCGCCGGCGGACACCCACAGACACTGGTTTTTCCAAAGAAAACAGAAGTGATGGTGTCTCATACTCCTTCCAAGATCTGTAGGACCGCTCAGGCACCTTAAGGTTTTAGAAGTCTCAAGGATAGCCTCAACCGAGCAGTCTGCAATGCCTGTTTGATTTGTTGCTTCGTAAAAGACCTGGAGGCCCGTTTCCTCCGCTAGTTATACGGCAACTTAATGTTCTTTTCCTTTGGCAAATTCATATTGCAGAGGTCAGGTGTGGATGGAACACTCGCTCCGTCATTGAACTGGCGGCACCTGGTAAGGAATCGCCCGAAGGTGACCGGTCCACCGAGTGGCGACTGTCAGCCAGTTTGTTACTTGCCTATCAAGCGACCAGCCAATATTTGCAGTGTTCGGGTTAAGTCCGCATCTCATTCAGCCTTTCTCCACCTACCACCCAAAACGGAAATATCAACCAAGCATCATGCCCTTGACTTAAGTTGAGCTATCTACTATCGCGGCCACTCGGCTCGGCGTGTCTCAACTGCAAACTTCTTCATTCAGAACCTAATTCTGAAGTCATCCAATTTTGCCATTGTGAATTTCGTGCCCACCTCCATCCTCCCCATCTTGCGGTAACAGACATAGAAAAAGAGAAGGAGAGAAGGAGAGAAGGAGAGAAGGAGAGAAGGAGCGTACAACTTCTTCCAGACGTAACGATATATCCCCAAGGTGAGAAAAAAAAAAAAAAAAAAAAAAAAAAGACAGGTCTTGAAATCCCGGTATATGAGAGTGCCATTCCTACATCTTACCTCCAACAACCAAACAAAAGCGTACCTACTGACGTCTCAATGGCCGAGTGGTGTAACGGAAGCACACTGCACAATTAAGCGCCAACTTGATGGCCCGAGTTGGCACAGGAAAAGTCTGAAAGTGCAAGGTCCCAGGTTGAATTCCGGGCAGGGCCGTCGTCGGTGCTGCGTACTTACTTTTTTTTCTATTCTTTGGGAGACCTTCATCTCATGTTGAGATGGAGCCCTAGTCTACATACAACAAGGAATGGGTGGGCACTTTGCGCCAGAAGATCCGTGATGAACTCATTCGCCAAATCACGATCGGTCGACGCCAAAGAAGGTCCTTTTGATGGCATGACTTGCCTTTATTCAATATCAGAGGTAGCTACATGGCTTAAAAGAACGAAAACCCAACAAGGACTAATAATGACAATCTGTTGTCCCTCATTCCACCTTGCGTGACACGCATTATTCATATTCGTTACACATAACCATCGCTGACGTGACACACACAGGAGACTTCTTCACCAAGCCCCCGAGAGTATGACATGCATCGTTCCTATTCCCAACTTCGCTTTCAACCGAAGACCCTTACACTCCCTCTGCACCATCGCCAGTAACCACATTTGCCTTGGAGGTTCTTCTCTTGAGAGCCTTCCAAGTTTCGACAATGGCTATATAAACAACCACACAAGCCATAACAACTCCCCACTCCCACGTAATGGCATTGTGCTTGAACACCACATGGTTGATAACCGGGATGTAGATGACCGGGAAGCAGATCACGAACCCAGCCGACACGGCGCCAAACAAGAACTTGTTCTGCCACACCGTCTTCAAGACGGACAGCGGGCCCGAGTACTTCTCCGGATGCATATTGAACAGCGATCGGGTGAAGTGCTTGGCCTCCCACGCCGTGACCAGCAACAGAAAAGTCAGCGTAGCGAACGTCGTCGCTCTCGCCCTGAACGCCACGCTGCACTCCGACGCCCAGTGTTCGTTGCAGTCCTCGCCGAGCCCGTCGGCGCCCGACATTCCGTACGCCACGCTGGTGAAGGCCGCCAAACAGAGACCGCCCATGGCCGTGCCGTAGACGAATTTATCGACGATCAGCTCGCGCGTGAAGATGCCGACTTGGAGGTCGTGCGGAGGGCGCTGCATCACGTCCGGTTGGGCATCTTCGAGGCCGAGACCGAGGGCGAGGAAGGAGGAGGTGACGAGGTTCGCCCAGAGGATTTCGAGCGGGGAGAGCGGGAAGACGGAGATACCGGCGTTGTCCTTGAAGGAGAGGCCGATGAGGAGGAGGATGACTTGGGCGATGTTGGAGACTAGGAGGTGGAGGAGGAACTGTAGTTGCTCTTGTTAGTCACGACGCTTTCCTTCCGCTTGCTTGATCAGGTACGTACCTTCTGAATGTTATCAAAGAGCCTTCTTCCTTCTTCAATGGCGGTAACGATGGAGGCAAAGTTGTCATCGGTGAGAACCATATCCGCCGCCTCCTTGGCAACATCACTACCGCTCAGACCCATGGCAATGCCCACGTCCGACTTCTTGAGAGCGGGCGAGTCATTGACGCCATCTCCAGTCATGACACAAAATGCTTTCCTCCTATGCATGGCTTCCACCATTCTGACCTTGGTTGTCGGGCTGCATCTTGCAAGCACCAAGGGCAAACTTTCCAAGGCGTCAATTTCGGCATCCGTGAGACTGTCAAAAGCGCTGGCCACCATCACCTCGGTCCCGTTCTGTAGCATGCCCGGGTTGAGGATGCCAATCTCACAGGCAATGGCCGTTGCAGTCTTGACGTGGTCACCAGTCACCATGTGAACCGTGATACCAGCTGCTTGACACTTCTGAACTGCTGCAGCAGACTCAAGACGGGGAGGGTCATAGATACCAGCCAAACCAAGGAAGGTCAAATACCTTTCAATGGTTGATCTTTCGGGAATGTTTGATGCGGACGCTTTCTTCTTTTCGGGAGTAGCAGAAGCGTCATCCCCAACCTGAAAGAGGACTCCATCGACGGATCGCTTAGCAACACAAAGTACACGCAGACCTTGGGCAGCAAGGGCTTCCGCCTTTGCCACGATCTCAAGCTTTTGCTCATCCGAAGCGTCGAGTAAAGGCAACAGGGCTTCGAGGGCTCCCTTGGTGTAAGCGTAAGCGACACCAGCGCCACTCTCCGTGCTTGTGTAAATGACCGTCATCCTCTTGCAGGATGAATCGAAGGGGTACTCGGCGAGCAGCTTCTGCTGAGACTGTCCATCATCAGCAGCCAAGACACTCGGCTTTCCCATACCAAACCGCATCGCAAAAGTCTGCAACGCAATCTCGGTCGGCTCACCGATAGCCGTGTAAGTGCTTGTTTCCTCGGCCTTGGTAACAGCCGCGTTGTTGCAAAGAGCAATGCTCTCCAGGAACTCCTTGAGGTTCTCTCCCTTCTCGCCAATGGCCTCTTCAGGGTGTTTCATGCCATGATCAGCAAGGCTAAACACTTTTTCGCCGATATTGACCGACCCGCTTGTGGGATCAAAAGGATGCGTCGTCCCTTGGACTTGGACCTCTGTGCCATCCACGAGCCAGACCTTCCTGGTTACCATCTTACCCTGCGTCAGCGTTCCCGTCTTGTCGGAGCAAATATTCGTCACCCCGCCCACGGCCTCGAGCGCGGCCAGCTTGCGGATCGCCACGTTTCCGCGGGCCATGGCGCGGGTGCCGAGCGCGGTGGCGATGGTCAGCACGGCAATGAGCGACTCCGGGATGACGGCCACGGCGACGCAGATGCCGTAGATGAGCACCTCGTCCGTAACGTCGAACTTGCTGACGGAGAAGACGATAATAGCCAACAGGATGGCCAGGGCGAACAGCAGCAGCGCAAACTTGCTCAGCGTGACCTGCAGCGGCGTGCCGTCGAGACCGAGGAGGACGCGCATGCGGTTTCGGACACGGACGACAAGCGAGCGGATGGTTCCCATTTCTTCTTTGTCGACGCGCGTCTTGTTGCGCCCGCCGTTGCTGTCGCGCAGCAGGCCCGCGATCTTACCTACCTCTGTGCCCATGCCCGTGGAGACGACGATGCCCGTGGCGCGCCCGCGCGTGATGGTGCTGGCTGAGTAGACCATGTTGGAGCGGTCACCGAGAGGGATATCACGCTCCCGGGCCATGACCGACTCGGCATGCTTACTGACGGGAAGGGATTCGCCGGTCAGCAGCGCCTCGTCGGTGGAGAGGTTGATGCTGGTGGCGAGACGGAGGTCGGCGGGGATAACATCGCCAACGCCGAGGCGGACAATGTCACCGGGCACAAGCGTCTCGGCTTTGATGGTGGAGGTGATGCCGGAGCGGATGACTTTGCAGGTGGGCGCCGACAGGGCGTACAAAGCCTGGATGGTTTGCTCGGCGCGATAGTCCTGGAGGAAGCTGATGAGGTGTGGTTAACATCTTTACTCGCAAGTGCAAACATGAAGAAGGTCGGAACTTACCCAACTATAATGTTGAGAAGAATGACGGCAGCAATGACACCGCCTTCGATATGGTCACTGATGGCAAAGGACAGAACCATGGTGATGACGAGGACAAGAGTCAAGCTGTTGGAGACCTGTCTCAAGAGAATCGTCCAAAGGGATAACCCTTTGGCACCCTCAACCTTGTTAGGGCCATGGTGCTGTAGCCGACGGGCAGCTTCATCGTTGTCGATTCCATTTCTAGAAAACGAAATAAGTGACCAAACTTGAGAGTGAAGAGGTACGCAAGTACAACAAAGGGGATTTACTCGGGGTCGGTGTTGAGATGAGCACAGACGTCCGGCACCGAAAGGGTGTGGGCCGCTTCGGGGGTAAAGGACGGGAGACGGCCGGGTCCGGCTCCGGTTCCGACAGTAGTAGTGGTGGCGGTGGTATCTCCCGACGTACGGGTGACAGCGGCGTCGTCGTCGGTCCCGCCTTCACATTCTTCTCCGATGATGGTCCCGGTGTTGAGCGTAGTCAAGGTCGGGGACCGTGTGGTGGTTTTGGACGTTGTTGGACTTTTGAAGCCACATATAGGAGGCTCCGTCTGGCCCTCGACGTCAAGTTCGATCTCTGTCCCCATTCAATATCTTGTGTATGTGCTCGCCGGTTGAACTTGAGCGAAGTTTGATGATGTAGTGGAAAGAAAAATAGGGGGAAGGAAGGAAGGGTCGTTTCTTGTGTGACAGGATATGCGGGGGGCTTTTATCAACAACGGGGAAGTGACCGCCCACCCAACAAAGCAAACATACACACGCGAGGAAGGTACCTCACGACGCCGAGAGAGAGCTTCACCGTTGATCCGCCTATTATCAGAAGGTATCATCCACATCTCCTCTCCTCCTCTTTCACTTGTTTGGCCGTCGGGCTGACTCAAACAACAACAGCAGCGATATTGTGTTGAAGCAGCGTGGCGGGCGGCATATGGTGCGAGAGAGACTGTTTGGAACAGAAGGAAAAGCAGGAGGCCGTTCAATGATAGCGCCATACAATCTCGACACATTGCTCTCTCTTGCCTTTCTTGGTATCTTGGTATACCAGCCAAGCGTCTACCAAGCTACCCAAGCCCTTGGGAACACGTACAGTGTGGTCAGTTGAGGGGCCGGGTTGAACCTATCGAGACCTCTCGTGACCTATCGGGACCTATCGTGGTCAGTAAAGTGCCATCGCCTAGCCTCTTGCCCAAAGGGTACGGGCGGGGGTGCTGTGGCTATGCCTCTTCCAGAATCCTTGGCGGCACAAAATGTCCCCGGGGGATTGGAACCCCCTGTTAACCACTGACCAACACTGACAAAGTCATCATGATGTCACCTGGTCTGTTTCTCTCTTGAACGGTTAGCACACCTACAGTTCGACATTGATACAACTCAAGGGTCCGGATTATCGGTGTCGGCTTTCCGGCCGATGATTTTCAGGCCTTTGCTCCAGTCTTCCCAGATCAGTTCCGGTCCGGTGCTGTTAACGGGAGCTGGACGCCATGGCCGGCCGGCCGGTGCGAGGTAACTCCGGGATTAACACGGCAGCTCCGCTCGGAAGGTTTTCTTTTTTTTTTTTGGCCCGGATTACCTCGTCTCCCCTCCATCATGCAGCATGATCCTTCAAGGCAGACAGACATCCAGTTATCAACCTTCCCAAGTCACCCTCCCTCTCCCCGACCGACGCAACCATCGACACAAACGAACTTCCAAAAAAGAAAAAGGAGACATCCCCGCATTGTGATAACGTCCCTAACCCTCCCCTCAATTTCTAACTCTGGCATCAAGGGTCGGTACAATGAATGCCGATATCCTCAGAAAAAACCCAACGCGAGGCGGTTGATTGCAAAAGAGAAACCAACCCCCCAATGCATAAAGCCGATGTAGATGCCCGTTGACATTTGCAAATGTTGAGTGTTTGGAGATGGCTGGACTCTGAAAGGGTGGCATTCCTCAACGACCGGAGGAAACGGGCAAGAAACAGAAGTGTCTAGAAAACTTCTTGACAACAGAAGACGGTTAGATCGATTACTTCCAGTCAGTGTTCCGTGTAACTTTCTCCTCGGCCCACGCCGGTGGGTCATCTCTAACTGGCCCCGCCGTCCTTCAGGGGTAGAGAAACACAAACTAAACAACAACCTTCGAGTGGAACCAGGCCGCCAGGTTACCACGACAACCGCAACATGGCGAGTCATCCTCAGCATGGGTTAAGGCCTCAAGGTCGTCTGAATCGTCTGTTGGAGAAGGGTTGAGGAACATGGCCTTGACTTTGTTGGAGGACCAAGAGACGGCCACCATATTTCTGTCAGTGTTAGTATCATTCCAAATACTAACCGACTCTGCATATAGGACACTTCACTCACTCTGCCTTGTTATACCTGTCCTTCACAATACCGGGCGACTCGTAATCGTCTGCGTCCGCATCGTAACTGCCGTCCTTCGACCACGTCAAAGCAGTCATGTCAAAGATCCCCAGACCCTGTGGAAAAGAGTCCGCACTCGCCCACTTCGCACTAATCTCTTTCCCACCGATACTCAGTATCTGCCGTTTCCTTTTACCCACCACGACGCAGGCGGGATGGGCCCGGCGCTCCTGGGACCGATCGTCGGCCCGGAACCACACGAAGCCAGGAAGGCCCCAAGACGTATATGTCGTTGTATGACTCTTCGGATTTCGAGTCGGCCCCGCCGTACATGAATCTGCGCGCTGGATGTTAGCTGACAATTCCCTTCAGGCTTGATAACAGGAGGGGATGACCGCAAGTTTTCCTTGCTTCCTTGCTTTCGGGGCAAGACCTACATCTCAAAAGTCCCATTCCTCCCCTGAGCCCCTCCACCCCCACCAACTTCCAAGCCTCCGACCCTCGCTCAAAATCCAACAGTACCACGATTAAGCACATCTCCAGTGCGTGAAGCCATACAAACCCCTGGAGTAGTTACCTTCCAGGTTACCGCGCCCTATACGGCTGAGGTTATTCCCTGCCCCTGTGCTGCTTCGCTTAGCGCGCCTACCTAATGATCGTCAATGCTGAGGGCTGTTAACCAATCGCACACAATATCGCGCCTACTTTGAAGAGTCCGAGGGAACAAGGACTGTGTGGAAGTGCGAAGAGAAGGGCTGATGGTGAAACGCTAGAGTTTTGAACGGACCGGTATTCGGGTTCGTCTAGATTCCGGTCCATGAGCAGGACAGTTGTGAGACAGTTGCCAAACAGGTAGATGTTCTTCAGTCGGACAACAATATCCAGCATCACGCAAAATATCAGCAAGGTCGGTCACCAGTCCCGATATCTTGGTCGGATAGCATCATAGACTCCGATATGATCGCGCACAGAATTCAAATCGACTGATAATGGACGAGACGACACAAGTATTTCGTCATAATGGGAACAACGAGGTGCGGGAAATGTTGGAAATGTACTCCAACATTTTGTTCATTAGATTCTGAGTCGAAGACACGTCAAACCAGTTTGTCTAGCCGACGTCCAGTCACGACCTCAAGCATTATTAGCCTTTTTGATCAGCATCAGGGGTATCATGGTCCCACACTCGCACAACCGACCTCCCATCTCTTCTTACACATTACTCATGTACATCGACCATTCTTCATAAACACATCATACGACCCGCTTCCTTTAGTCTTTTCCGTTGTAAAGCATACCAGCAACGCTGGCAGAGGTCAAGGTGGACAAAACACCGGAGAAAAGAGCCGACAGAGCGACCTTGGAGACATCACCGGCACGACCAGGAGCGAGCTGAGAAAGCACACCAATCTGGGTACCGAGGGATCCAATGTTGCCGAAACCCTGTTATTCAAAGTTAGTATTGCACCGAAACCAAAGAAAGGTCTGGAGAGAAAACTTACGCAAACGGCATAGGTGGCAATAAGCTTGGAACGAGGGCTCATGCTCTTGTAGGGCTCATCGTTCGTGAGGGAGAAGAAGGCGACGTACTCGTTGGTGATGACCTTGACGCCAATCAACTCACCAACGGGACGGAGATCATTCTTAGGGACGCCCAGCAGCCAAGCAATAGGATACATGAGATATCCGAGAATAAGCTGCAGCGAGAGCATAGGGTGAGCCGCATCCTGACCCATCAAGCCCCAGTACTTGCCCCACCAGCCGAGCAGGCCGTTGATAAAAGCAACAATGGCAATGATACAGAGGAGAGTGGCAATGATCATGCCAGCAATCTTGATACCGAGCCAGGCACCGTTGGCAAAAGCGTGAAGAGCGTTGGAGGCCCTCTCCTCGTCATCCTCAGGGATAACAACACGGCCAGAGGTAAGAGTCTCCTCCGTCTCGGGGAAACGCATCTTGGAAACAGCCAAAGAAGCTGGGATGGACATGATGCAGCTAGACACAAGGGCCTGCGCATTAAGACCAAGACCGATGTAAGCAACCAGGACGGAGCCGGCAATGGTGGCAAAGCCGCAAGTCATGACCTGGTGAAGTTCGGCAAGAGTCATGTGCGGGACGAAAGGACGGATCAACATAGCCGACTCGCCCTGGCCGATGAAGGGGGTGGCAGCAGCGACGACGGCTTCGGCGCCCGAGACGCGAAGGGTCCAGAAGAAGAAGATGGCGAACTTGCCAATGAACCACTGGATGAATCCCACGTGGTAGCAGAGCTGGACAAGGGCGACAAAGAAGATGATGGGAGGAACAACACCGGTCAAGAACCAGGTCATTTGGGGAACCGTGTCGTCAGTCAAGAAAGAGACACCATCCTTGGCGAAACCGAGCAGAGTACGGGCCATCTCGGAAACGAAGCTGAAGATGTCGTAACCGGCCTTGGTCTTGAGGACAAAAACGGCGATGACGAACTGGGTAAGCATGCCACCAATGACAGTGTGCCAGGGGATCTTCCTCCAGTCGCGAGACGTGACAGTGAGGATGAAGATCATGACGATGAGACCAAAAATGGAGATGCCACGGTTGGCGCGAGTGTTCTCGCCGGTCTCTTCTGGGATCATACTGCCGAGGAGGAAGACACCGAGGGTACCGATGGCAGCAAGAGGCTGATGAAGCTTCTGGGGAATCATAGAATAACCCCTGTGAACCGTGTGCCTCCAAATAAACTTGGCAGGGCGCATGACGATGCTAACAGGGACATAGCAGGTGATGAGGCGCAGGCAGATGGCGAGATAGACGAGGGTCGGTTTCAGCCATCCAAGATGGTCATGACGGTGTTTGAGCAGAGCGCCGTAAATCCACCATCTAGAGAAGACCGAAACACCTTGTCAGTGATCATTTCCAGGCATCCCCACAAAAGGCAGGAAATACGAACGCGGTGAAAAGCACCCAGATGGCAGCGTGGATAAAAGGCCGGCCGTAGCCGTAGAACCAGGCCCAGCTGTAGCGCTCAGCGGGTTGCTTGTCCTCGCGATCAACGGAACCGACGTGGTGCTGGCTCTCGGCGTCGACATATTGGCCGGCCGGGATGGTGGTCTTGACATCGGAGTCGGTGCTCGAGATCACGGGCTTCTCGTGGGCGTGGGGGCCCATGCTCTCTTTGGTAGTGGCGTCGCCGTGGCTAGACATGGCGTCAACTATCGGACTGCGCGTAACGTCGTGGTACTGAGGTTGAATCGTGTCCGAGTCGGCGTGCCCTCTGTTGTCTGCCGATGACATACGGCTTGTGTCTTGAGGCGATGGAGTGGTGGAGATCCGGCTAGAGCTCCAAGACGACCTCTAGAGACCCAAGGGAGGGGAGCTTGTCGAGACGTTGAGTCTGGCTTTTGGTCTGAGGAAGAGGTAGAAGAAGGGACAGTCTGGGGCAGTCTGGGGTGGTGCAAACTTTAATACCCTCTCCCCGGGCCTCGGGTATCTGTGGTATCAGGGTATCGATACTAGCTCTAGGAGAGTCGGGTGGTAGTAGCCGGATTAAGGTATGTGAGTGCGGTGAAGATACCGGCTGGCCAGGTGGTTATCAAAAGTGTGGTGCGTCCCAGAAAAACTGCATGGAGGTGGGGCACGGCACGGGGGTTAGTCCAGGGGCGCATCGATGGAGGGGGACGAGGGATGGCAGCCAGGGTGCAAGAGGTACCCAGGTAGGTGTAGGGATGAACAAGTGGAAATGCCCACAAGACCGATAAAAGAAAAAAAAGACAAATAAAATAAAAACCGACGAACCGTTCTAAGCGTTGCCTTGTTCCAGATCTATTACGACAAGGTCACCGAGATGGAAGTCACCAACGGGGAAGGAAGCTCGGCGTAGCCGCTAGACAGCCACATGTGCAATCCACCTCCCTACTGCGTAAGTAGTGTCCGGCTTAGATGCGACGTGACGTGGACGAGACTTTGTCGGCTTGTACCTCGATGGTTTGGGGTTTGGCTCTGGATAGCACTGCAGGTCGAGGCAGGATAGGTACTTACTTGCCGCCGCCGTTGTCATTTATTCGCACTTCATGCTCGTGTGTGTCTTTGCCCAAATCGGGCAGAAGATCATCCTTGCAGAAGAATGAAAAAAAAGAAAGTTCTTTTTCGACTGGACCCTCCCAAGCCTCCTCTCGGCTTCAATCATTTCTTTGCCAGCTTCCACTCCCGTTGGTTGCCACTCCATGTCCCGGCGTCTGGACCATCTTGACTAGTTTGTCCGGCCCTCGAGTGCTCGACCATGCCGAATTGGGCCACTTGCTGGCCAATTGACCAATCACAAGCCGCCAACCTGCTTCAGGGGCGAAAGAAGCTGGGACAGGCCGGTCGATGTTGAGAAGGAGCACACCAAAAGTCAACCACAAAGCCGTGGAAGTCGCAAGGCTCTCTCGCATTATATCTCGCATACTCGGCACCTTGGCGGATCTGCCCCTCCACTTCCTCTTCTCGACAATCGCCCCCATTAAAAAAGTGCGGATAGACAAGGCCAGGACAAAGGCCGAGTGGTTGGATGCACCATTGCAACGCTATTCCACATTCATGTCCACCCTCCGGCGAGGGCCAAGACTAGCCAAGACCGACACACCCTGTTCTTATCTCAACCTTCTTCTTTGGGATTTTTGTCCACGTCCATGCGAACATATCTGGGGTTTTGGCCCGGGGAGCAGGCGAAGGCTGGCAGGTCATCATGTTCGAGGCCAACAAGCAAAAGGGGAATCCTCCCCGAAAACCGACCATTGCGATTCAAGCCCATTCTGATCGCGATCACCTGCTTTCCCCGGGTTGAAGTGACATATTGCTGTGGAGGTGCGGCATTAGAAACAAGAATGGAAACCGTTAAAATGCGGGGTTGGTGGACGGTTGCGGTGATTGTTAGCGCCGAGGCACACGACCAAGAGGGCGAAAATAACATCCATCGACATCACTGCGGCTTGCCTGCCCTGTTCGCCTCTACCTGCAGGGCATGTACCTCGCCAGACTTCCCTCGCCTACGCAGTTAGGTATCACAGCGTCTTTGACCACCACGCCTCTCAGGGGATCTTCTCCCGCACCATGAAGCTTATCATGGATGCCTCGCATGCTCGCCAACGAGGTAGTCGTAACGGTATCTATAGCAGGCGTCTTATCAGCTGGAGATAGGTACCTTCTCGGGGCGGCGTAGAATGCATGCCATCCACACGCCACCTCTCACACCCTCAAGCTCCTCAACGACCCCCAATCTTTGAGATTGGTGAATGGTGACGGCGGGAGTGATGAGGGATGCATGCGTTGGTGAGGGCCGCGTATGTAATTTGATTCGCTTCAGGGCTGCATCCTGATAACGTCGCAGTACATGACGCCCGTCTGGCTCCCAACAGCTTGAGGTGGGATTCAAGCTCGTGGACAAGGATCGTCTGTTTCTTTTTCCAAGATGTCGCTGTTGCTGTCGTTGCTGTGATGGTCACCGTCGCCATCATTTTGGAAAACAAGGACCATCCGGATTCCTTAGTGGTACCGACGACAGCATACGTATAAAAGAGAGGTTGATGAACATCGGAAAACTTAGCATAGAAATCATGCACAGCGCTTGGCCGCGGCAAAGAGATGCCCCCCAAGGCATCAGTTCCCTTGACAATTGGCTCGCTCCACACTGCGGCGTTTACCTTCCTGATTTGGCGATTTTAGATATCCGTGATGGGGACAATTTTACTGGTCCAGCGGTTACCCCAGAATCAAAGCTGCTCTCCACTCAGACGTCGAGGTTTGGGAGCCGGCCGAACTCCCGTATCAAGACAGGTGCGGTGGACCCCGAACTAATGGTTATCCACACGGCGGTTTGCGGAGATCAGGACGGCCGCGGCAAATGCAAACCCAACGAGAGTTTTGTACTTTTGGTTGCTCCCAGAACCTGAATCAAATGACACATTCCCTGACCACTCTCTTGACCCTCCATTTGTAACCGCACACCCGCGGCGGCCCTCAAAGACATGTGGACGACCTGCATGCCGCGTCAATCCGACACGTGTTGCCGTCTGGGGAGTTCCATTCTAGACCGGCTGCCAAGACTGAGGACCCATCCTGCCGGTAGCTTGGGTCAGCGAGGTCTTCAGGAGAGACCATTAGATAAGAATACTTCTCTTCATGTGACATGTGGGTTACTGATGGAGGAGAGAGAAAAGGGGAAGAGAAAGCCAGGTGCTGGACCTTGACACATGGTGTGCCTGGACTGCGGCGTGGGAGATACCCGCGGTTCCTACGATTGTCTCACCTGTGTACCTCTCGTCACATCCATAATAATATCAGCAACTCCAACTGATGCTGAAGACTAGGTCGAGTGCCAGAGCGGATCAGCCAGATGCTCTCAGGATCCCACAAACCGCTTCGAAGCTTGTGAAACTGTCATGGCAAGAAATATGTTGGCATCGACCAAATCAGGATTTGGAAGAGCATCGCAACATCAAATGGGGGACCCAGGACACGGCACCCCTTTTTAACTTTTTACTTTTGCTACCATCATCAATGGTACCTGACGGCGAGACGTCAACAGCCTGTTCGCTGTCGTATTCCTTTTCATCGGGATTGCCTTTGTATGGAGGCAGAGTGACCATGATCTGGTTGTAACATCCCTTCAGATCGACATCCCAATGTTGGTTGAATGAGACGAAGCGTGACGACGGGACGGGGAATGGAAACAGCATGCCCCGTGCTGGCGGTTTGAAGAGTGCGCAGTAGTCGGATGCAGCCAGAATGGTATTGGAAGCGGTTTGGAACTACCTGGTCCGGTTTACTTGTTAGCAGAAGTCAAGTCGGAATAGCTTCGCGGCGACCCCTCTCACCTCCCGCGGCACCAGGCGGTGGTAATGCGCGCGGGCGTTTCGCAGGCTGCACGATCCTTCCTCGCGAGCCTGGAGATGAACGCGCCGCTTCGATCACATCATGAACTCTCTTGTTCTACGGAACAAATGTTGGGAGAAAAAAGGATAGGAGTGGGATGGCCGCGGCAAAGAGCTTGGGGAAGATCCGGATTGTCGGATGACGAAGGAAAAAAATCGACCGTGGTGGACGGCCACGTTTAGGGTGGATCTCGACTCTCGGCAGCTCCTGGCGTGCCTGCGCTGGCTCACCTGGGAGCAGCCGCACTGCAGTGCTAGCATCCGCCCGCTGGCTTCTGCTTGATGTATCGGGGATGTCTATCCAGGTCCCAAGTTTCCCACCCTAAGCATTTAGTCTGGTGTGTCTCCCAATACTTCAATATCTGGCAACGCATCCAACTTTCCGTACTTTTCACCAAAAAAATTGGAAAGACTTTGCATCATCTGCTCAAAAATTGCTGGGAAGCTCTTTTTCGCAACTCAACTGGCCCAAAAGGGGGCTTTTTGGGTGAATTGCTGCATTCTGGCTTGCTTAGCACGTTTGCCGGAGGAACATGTCTTGAGAATAAAAGAGGTCTGTGCACTTCCGAAAAGGGGAATTTTTGGGACTTCGATAGCGACCGGTCCTGGCTCACGTCATCAGTTCATTTTCACAACTCCCCTTTGACAACATGTTGTACTATTTGCAACCACAGATGAAGAGAGATGCAAAATATCCCCGAGAGAGACAAATCTATATCCCGGCACCTCTGACTACACTGTTTTCACATTTCAATCCACTTTCCTCTTTATATCCTTGGGTTATCGATTATGTGGACGACGGCAGCTAAACACAAAACGCGAGTCAAGCAAGCCTTCGGTTAGGCGAATCCAAAATCCATTTCCACGGTTTCCGCCATTCCGCCGTGGATTCGATCCTTCATTTCACGGGCGGCAATTCCGTCGCCCCGTACGTAAACAGGTCTGCTGGAGAAGCACCGATGAGCTGATGACTGAGCCCGCCAATGCGACGCCAAGTGCCACTTCTTCCATCCGTCATCCATCCCACATCCCGTTAGCTATGGAGTGGGAAATCCTACCACGCCTATGGGTACAAATTGAGAGATTCGAACTTATAAGTCGCATGGCCAGACAGCACACGCGACGGACAAGCCGGGACAGAGCCAGAGCATCACACTCATCGGGATGAGGGAATAGTTGGACGCCCTGCCACACCGTCGCTCCGGGTTGAGGTGCGTGCCACTGGTGCTTCTGGCTGCCGGTTTGGCTGGCTGAAGGCTGGAGTTACGAGTGTGAGTGCATACATAAGGGGTCACGGCGTTGCCCTGGCTGAAACGGCGCAGGAGCCCGCCCAGGGACGGCGTTTAAGGCAATTTTCAGCTATGATATTCAGGAGGGGGGACGGGATGCCACCGACGCATGGACGGGATGCCACCGACGCATGGACGCCATGGGCCAAGCAACCAAGTGGTAACAACCATGATTGAATCAAGGCATGGTCGGACAACTTGGACGAGTTGCGGAGAGGAGCACGAAATGACATCTGATGCCATGGCTTTCCCACTGGCTGGGTTTGATCATCTTCCTGTCACCTCCCTCCATTGCACTATTGATGTGGATGCCGCTCGGGTATTGATGTTGGATGCGTTGCTGCGTTGTGACAGTGCATTCCGACACGTGCATCCGTGTTGTTTAGAAAATGTTAGCCATATGCACTTTTTCACGCCAGTTGCACACCACTGCAGGTGAGGAGTACTAACTACCACTAACAGGCATGCTCCCTGTCCGTTGAGCTGCGCTGGACCGTCTATCGTCCCGCCGACTCCAGTCGAGCTGACACGAGCTGGCGGTTCACAAACACAGCTGCCGTCATCCTGCACTCCAGCTCGCAACAGGAATTTTCCTCCCTTGCACCAAGTTTCAGAATAATCTCATCTCTCATTCATCCTCAACAGCCATTCCAAACAGAACTGAAGACCACCTCAGTCTGGTAACACTACGTCTGTAGGAAGCACAGGGCAATATTCATACTTTTCCTTTGGCGCTGGCGCAACGATCCCTTTCTTTCTACAGCTCACAGTAGCACTCACCACTCACCACTCACCACTCACCACTCATCAGGCCGCTGATTCCTCAACCTTCCAATATCTCCACGTCACTCGATCGCCCATCAAATCCCGTAACCAACCGATATCGCACCGCACCGCACCCGTTGGCTGTGATATCCAGTCTTGGGTTAACACGATTCAATTGCAACAACATCATAAACGTCGCAGCCTGGTCCTTCCTTCGACGAATGTACGAATAGTATCACACCGTAGAACTGAACCCGACGACGCCCAGGCAACCAACCCACTTTTCCCCTCACTTTTTATCCCCAAATCGAACATCGTCTCAGCATCTTATCAAATTGACGGCCCTCACGACAACCATCTCAAATCCCAAGTTGGAGCCAAATCACCACTCACCTACCTTTCAATAAATCTTCAAAATGTCCAAGCTTCTCAACGGTCTGCTTAGGGAGCAACACCACCAAAACCAGCATGGCCTCGGGCCCGGCTTCGGCCACGGTCATGGCCATCCGCACTCCTCCGAGTTCCACGGTCCCAACCGGGACCACATGATAAGCGCAAAGGCAGCGACCCTGATTCTCCGTGGCGTGATTGCCACCGGCCCCGACCCATCCTCGGCTTTTCGGACCTCCTCCTCACCCACATCCGGCGGTCCCAGCCCCACCACATCCCGGCCCAACACTAGTTCCGGCCACCACCCGACCAGCTCACAACTGTTTGCCCTTTCTTCCCAAAAACAACGCCATGACCAATACCGGGTCCAAGCCCAAGGCCAACAACAACAGCATGCTGCGGCCGAGTACGAGTACGATGACGACGACGATCAGTACAACGACGACGACGAAGCACCCACCTCGGCCGATAGCAGCTTCAGCAGCACCCACGGCAGCGTCGTAGTCGGCGGCGGCAGTTTCTGCAGCAGGGATTGGTTCGATGCTCGGCAGCCTTCTGCTGCTGCGGTGGCGGCGGCTACTGCCTCATTTGCGTCTTCCTCAACGACCACGAGACCGTCGTCGTCGTCCTCGTTGTCGTTGCAGCAGAGCCCGTCTGTTCCTTTTGACGGGGTACCCAGATCGATGGTCGCTGCAGGCGTCGGAGGCGTCGGCGGTGTCGGCGGCGGCAGGGAAAGCGTCCGCGGAGTCATGCACCACCACCAGATCCACCACCACCACCAACACTCCAAGTCCGTGCCGGTTCTAATGTCAATGAAGGATCAGTACAGTCGGATGGCCATGATGCAGAACGCCCGCAACAAGGGAAGCCGAGGATATTTGGATGTGGTGGATGACGAGGGAGGTTGTGAAGACGAGCGGGGATTCGCAATGCCGAACAGCAAGAGGGCTCGGCGCGGCTGATTTAAAGCTTTTGCAAAAAGAGAGGGCGGGCAAGGAGGGAAGAATTCACAGCACAGCGAAAGAGGGATTCGAAAAACAAAAGCAGGAAAAAATGCTGCATGCAGGTGGATGCGGGTGCGCTCGCTGCACCTGATCCCACCAAGCCAAGGGATGGACGACGAACAAGGACACGGGGCAAATGAACGAATGTGCAAAACGACCGAACGACTTTTATGACCCAAAAGAATTAATGTAACACGAAAGGGAGAAAGAGGGAACAAAGGAAATGATGACAGGGGGGTATGACATGATATCAAAAAGAAGGGAAAACAACCGGGCCTGGGCACACGCTTTACACGATGGGACGAGGGGAAAACAAAAGGAGAGGGGGCCGGAAGCGAGGTGTCTCGGGCAAGGAAGGGGTTACAGGGTAATCCGTCAAGAGGGTCAGGTTGGCTTTTTTTTTTTTTTTTTTCACACAGACCGTACATGGCGGCAGGAGACGTACAGGCTTTCTCTCTTTTTCTTCTTCCCACGGCGACAGATGAAGGAGGGCGGGCACTGAGGAAGGATAGTAGGGAAAGACGGAAAAATTATGATAAACTAGGCTAGGCCAAGGCTAGGTAGGTAGCCACGTCATCACCCTCAAATCCAAGACGTGCCTTGCTTGGCATGATGAGAAAGAACTGAAGAGACTTTGCCAAACAGATCGAAGCTCAAGAGGCTGGATGGTGGTGGGTTATCAAGCAAGAACAAAACCGATATATCGAAACGAGGAAGAAGAATGGAAACCTCGGGTATTTCTCCAACGTGCGCAACAACGTCAACACTTATCCTAAACCCTACTAAATCCAATATTTCCCCCATATCTCATATTCCTCCTTGGTTCCTCTGAACTTGAAGTCCACCTCGGTAACGTCTTGAAAGCCTTCTTTGACCTTGGGCTCCTTGAACCGGGCGTTGAAGCCGTTGAAGGCAAGCTTGGGGAGTGATGTTCGGGATTCGGGGTTGAGCTGTTTGTTGGTTGGGAGGGAGGGAGAAATTAGCGACTAGTCTACTAGCTGAAGGGAAAGGGGGAGTAAAGGGGACGACGAGAGAACGAAGAGAACACTCACAGGCTTATTCAAAGCCCTAACAGCATCATTATGCTCACAAACCACCAACGGCGTCCTAAACCAGACACACCGAACGGACACCCCCTGTTTTGTCGCGAGCTCAACCCACTGCTTGCGTGTATCCGGATCGGGGTTGGTGTTATCCACCACCACCGAGTCCCCCTCCTTCAAATACTCTGCCGCCGCCTTGAAGCACTTATCTTTGGATTTCAGCACGTCCTGGTTGACCCGCTCGTAACCAAGAGGTTTCAGGTGCCGCCAGTAGAAAGTCGACTTGCCGGCGCCAGGGGGGCCGACGAAGAGGATTAGTTCTTGGGGGGAGGTTTTGGTGAAGAGGATTTCTTTTTTCGTCGAGGATGACGAGGAGTCTGTGGTGGTGGTGGTGGTGGTGGTGGTGGGAGGTGAGGAGGGATAAGGGTATTTCACCAGATCAAAATCCCGCGTAAAATTCCTCGGCTCCTCCCCCAAAAAGAACTCCTCGGGCGTTTGGTACTTGATGCCCACGTTATGCGCTAGGTTGCGGTCTGAGCAGCTGAAGTCCTTGGGAGTTGCGGTAGCTTTGCCTTTACCCCTACCCTCCGTCAGCTCCGACTGTCGACCGCCTGCGTCGCCGACGAAGATGCTGTTCTCGAGGTCGATGTCGTCGTCACTAACCAAGTTGTAGTCGGCCTTCATCTCCTGCCACATGCCCGGCCGCGGCTTGCGGTAGATGTCCTTGCCCGTGGCGGCGTAGAGCGTCGTGGGGATGTCGAGCTGGGAGAGCACGACGGAGCATTTTTGCTTGAATTGGGGCACACGGTTGAGTTGGGCTTTGGGGGTCTTGGTTTTGGAGTTGGGGTCGGAGTGGAGGGTGAGGCCGCCTTGGTTGGTGAAGATTATGACTTGGTATCTGGTATTTGCTAAATGGTTAACTAGATGTTGGTTTTGGTTGGTCATAACAGGACGAAATGGGAAATGCGTTTCGATAATGATCGGGACGAGGAGGACGTACCCTTCTTCATTGTAAAGCTTTCGTAGCCGATCGGGGACCGAGTGGTGCCACCACTTCCAGTCGGCTGCGTCGTGGGAGTGTTTCTTGCCGGAGGCGGCTGTGATCAGGGTCGAGTCCTGTCCGAAGAAATCATCAGAATTGTTGTGAGCCGAGTTTCTGTGGGCAAAGGTAGGTCCTTACGAGATCAAAGGCCGCGATCTTCCTCCTCTTGACTGTTGGTTTCCCTGATTCATCGCTCGTCGGCGCTCGTTCTGGGACATACTTGGCTACGAGAAGGGTGGCAGGCGAGTCGGCATTGGGGCTTCTCTCTGTCCAAGTTGTTCGGTCCTTTGGTTTCTGGGATACGGGGGTGAAGAAGCTTGCGACCGCGCTCTCTGTACGCAAGGAACTGTTAGCGCATGCGCTCACTGCACGGCGGAAGCATCACAATGGCGCTGGAACGAACTTGAGATGGCGGTTTGGGCTTTTCGCTTCAAGGGCGGAGGAGAAATCGAGCGGTCGCCTTCCGCTGCAGGACGTTTTGTTGGTGCCATGACCTTTTGATCTGTAGAGAATGATCTTCCAAGAGAATGTAGTGTTGGCAGACGAGGGGAAGTGATCGAGCCTAGTCAGACGCGTCGGAGGATCGTGAGTTGTCCCATGGGCGATTGAGAGACGCGACTGCGCAAGCTCGAACAGGGGTCACCAGGAGCGAAACCATGTGACGAGCTGCGTCTTGTCTTCAGGGTCGGTGCGTGCATGAGGTTCTACAAGAAACTGAGACAAGGCCTGCTTTGGTGCACAATACTCATGGACTATTCTGTAGAATTCCGCTGGCCAACGCAACCCAGGATGGCCTGTTCGCAACCACCATAACCAGCCCCTCCTGCCCCTGTACAACGTCAACACCACACTTTCCGCATCGCGTTCATGACATTAATCGCCAACACCACCCTGCCAGCGCCCGCAGAATTTTGCCACCAGCTTTTGTTACACCCAGCTAGCTTTCAGAATTGGTTGAGGTCATGTCTCCAATAACAGCGCGCGGTCGCAGCGCCGGAAACCCGGAGAGATGAAGCGTGCTAAACGCGATAAGTTCTCACGGCAGAAGGATTATGGAAGACCAGTGCGACTGAGCACCATCACCTTGTCCACCCTCAGTTGCAGGGCCTTATACACCGCCAGATTCCCGTAAGCTACCCCCAATCCTGAGCCCCAAGGCTTGCTCCCGGGAGAGAGCTTTGTCGAACAGACGTGGTGTCCGAACGAGTCGCACCTCGTAAGGCAGCAAATCGGTGCCGTTTCGAAAACTCAGGCGCGCGGGTACAAGCATAAACTTTTATATGCAGAGATCATGGGGTACAACGGCGCACAGAGTTCGGGCCAGAAAAGAGGATAAAAAGGACCGACCAATCCGAGCGATAAACGTCGTGAAACTTGTCTTGGTGCAAGCCCAGACGAGTGAGGGAGGAGTAGGTGCACCACCTTCAGCGTCAGCGATATTACCGTTGGGTGACATGGGATATCGACAGTCTTCTGGCTCGGCACATCGAAACCCGGGGTTGGCGGATCGCTCACTGTCTTGACGTTACCTCTACCGAACCAGCGAACCAACGAAACCCCAAGCCCGCCGTCCTCACCATCACCTCGTCAAAGGATCAAAGACTGTAACGTGTCTTGTACCATACCAGTTGGTTGGTTTGGGTGGTTTAGGTATGCTGCCGATCCCAAAAGGAGAGCAGCCTTGTTCAAACAATCAAGTTGTGTGCCATCGGGATTACTACCCTGCCGTCACAGTTCACCATCCACAGCACCCAGAAACGGCCATATGCTGCGCTTGTTTACGCAACATCTTAGGGTGGTGCAAACCGTCGGTTGTTAGGTTGTCTGATTCGGCCCTTTCGTTTTCAGCTCACCCATTCAGACGGTTAATCTCGGTTCGTGGTCTCGCTGATGGATGCGCAAGTCGCGATAGCTGGACGCTGAAGTCTGAAGAGGAGGACACAACATTCCTTCGGCGGAGGTATGACGTCACACAAGGACCCCTACCCTTCCTTAAGCTTTCTTGGCATCTTCGTTCTCGATCTTTTTTGTTGTTTCGTTTCGTCTTCTGAGTTCTGGGGCAGTCATCAGCTGACGAATGGTTCACGATGGTTCGGCACTTCCTTCCGTCTAACGACTACGTACTGACGGCGGCCCGTTATCTTGGCTTCTTCTCGAACGGGACTAGAAATAAGATACCCTGAGTTATGGGATCCGCCCCGCCGGGGTGTCTCTTCGCAAGCGCGACGAATCCGGGGTACATTGAGGAGGAAGGAAACGAAACAACCATTGCCAAAAATGAGATGCCTCTATTTTGACGGAAAGGACCGAGACAGACATCCGATCTAAGAACCATCGAGCTTGAAAGGACCCCTACACCAGCACTCAAGAGACTCTACCCTTCACCCTCCGGAATACAGCATCAATGCAAGAACATTAGGGATTTGGTCAAGTGTTCAAGTGAAACCAACCATATCCGGCCACTTGGGAAAGGCACTCTTGTCTCTCGCATCAGGTCAACCGACCAAAGCTTGGGTAGTATGATGGGGTGGCAACGAAGGAATCGCAGTTGTAACAGGAAACGGGAGTCCGGGGCAGAACGAGGCGTGGAATCAGTACTGATATTCGGTTGGTGGGATCGAAACCCCATGGGGATGACAAGGATGGCTTGGATGGCTTGAGCCGTTCTGGGGAACCTACTGTGTAGTAGCCTCCGAGTCAGCTAACGCATGCCAACCTGGAGGTTGCGAATAGCTGGGCTGCAGAGTGCCGAAACAGCCTTCCCCTTGCAGAATAAGCTGCCTTGGACAATGTGGAAGACTAGTCACAAGCGTGAGCCGTCGAGGTTGTTCTTGCAATAGGTATGGAACGAAAAAGGAATGAGAGAAAGGTGTACAGTCAGCAACATGGAAGGCCCTTGAGGTTCGAGACAACTTAAGCTCATCCGTCCCAAGTGGAAGATAGGTTGCCGCCAGACTCGAAGTCGGTCTGCTCAACCCGAGGCTGGAGAGTTGATGACATCCAATGGTTTCTTCAACGGGCATTGATGTCCCTTCCCTTCCATGGTCATGGGGTCGATGCATCCCTACTGCATTTAATTTACGTGAACGGTTATGCCTCCCCTAACTTCCTTCTTCGGTCACGATCGGCTGCAGTGCAGCATCCGGTAATCGTCAAGGCCGTTGGTTCGATGCCCGGGATTGGCGAACAAGTGAGGTTTGCTGCTGCAGAGTGGCAGAGCTCCGAATGTCAAGGAAGTCCTTACCCTCCAGCCCAACCATAGCTATGAAATGAGCAGTGCAGCCGTAGTCTTGAGTCCATATCTAGACCAACTGGACCAGTCACGGTTGCTACCTCCCTCAACTTGTAGCTCATTTCTTGAATTCTCCGCCGTTCTACTTATAGGAGAGAGCAACTGGTGTTGTTTTACAATTGCACATGCACCGCTTTCCATTCTTACCTCTATGCCCGTTGTACAGCTGCATTGAGGTCCGAGTCTCCGAGTTACCGGACACGGTCGGCCTTAATATCATCACAGAGCCTCGCTCCTTCCCCGTTGCAGTGCCGCTTCTCAGGAGACCTTGAACCACACGTACACCAGACCCACCTGACGGGTGCAGTGAATGCCGCCCGAGAGGGACGATTCCTTCCAGTTTTGAAGCAACCCACCCCCACGCTTCCTCCTGCCCTTCACTTGCCCCTTCATTAGCCCCTTCACTTTGTCGGGACTCCGTAGCTACGTACAGCGGGCATCGAGTTCAGGTGGACCCTCCGGCCTTGGGGTCTAGGCTTCACTTGCTTCCGTATTTCGTCTGCTTCTTCCTCTTAAAGCTCCTTTGCTTTTCCCCCTCTCCCTCTTCCACCTTTTCTCTACCGCAAGTCAATCCTGGCTTTCACTCCCTACCCTTCACCTCTGTTTTTGGGACACTCCCCTTTTGGTTGCCAAAACATTTCCTACAGCCTGGAAACGCCCACAAAGCATCACCATCAGCTTTCCTCTAACCTTGATAACCGACTCCCTCCTCGACCCTCGTGGTATATGCCTCCATAGCACCCGAATCCTACATACGATTTTGGACCTTGCCTTGGGCAAACCCACGACACGATGTACAAAATCGGCAACATATACTTCATTGCCGCCGTCGCCGTCATCGGTAAGTCTGCCCCGCCACCATTCCTATGCCATCCGCGATAGCACGTTGTAGGTCAAGCTAATACCCAGGACACCAAAGGCGGCGCGCTATTTGGCTTCGATATTTCTTCCATGTCAGCTATCATCTCGACCCAGCCGTACCTTTGCCAGTTCAACCAGCTCGGCCACAACGAAAAGGGCTTGTGCCTCGGTCCTACCAACGATGTTCAGGGTGGTATCACAGCCGCCATGCCTGGTGGTTCGTGGCTCGGTGCTCTCTGCTCTGGTTTTGTCTCCGATACTTTCGGTCGCAAACGCTCCATTCAGATAGGTTCCCTGATTTGGTACGTGGTCTCTGAATTACTGCCTCACGAGAACCAAGGAACTAACCCCTTCTCGCAGGATTATTGGTTCGATCATCGTCTGCGCGTCTGTCAACATTCCCATGTTGGTTGTGGGCCGCATCATCAACGGATTCTCGGTCGGAATATGCTCTGCCCAAGTCCCTGTTTACATCTCCGAGATCGCCCTTCCTTCGAAGCGCGGTCGCCTTGTCGGTTTCCAGCAATGGGCTATCACCTGGGGCATTTTGATTATGTTCTTCATCTGCTATGGCTGCTCGTTCATGAAAGGAACGGCCGCCTTCAGAGTTCCTTGGGGTCTTCAGGCCATCCCCGCTGCCCTCCTTTTCCTCGGTCTTGTCTTCCTCCCCGAGTCGCCTCGCTGGCTTTGCAAGAAGGACAGATGGGATGAGGCAAAGGATGTGCTTACCCTGGTTCACGGAAAAGGAAACCCCAACTCTCCGTGGGTGCACCGTGAGATGCAAGAGATTCGCGAGATGGTCGAGTTCGAGCGCGCCAATGCTGATGTCAGCTACTTCGAACTGTTCAAGCCCAACATGATCAACCGGACCTCAATTGGCGTCTTCACTCAGATATGGTCTCAGTTGACTGGTATGAATGTGATGGTACGTCTTCCCTATCCTGCTCTAGGTCTTTCGATAATCGGCACTAACCACCAGCAGATGTACTACATAACCTACGTCTTCACAATGGCCGGTCTTGCCGATGGAAGTGAGAATGCCGTCCTTCTCCCTAGCGGTATCCAGTTCGTCATTAACGTCGTCATGACGATACCGGCTCTTCTCTGGATGGATCGCTGGGGTCGTCGTCCTACTCTGCTGGTTGGTGCATTCTTCATGTGCCTCTGGCTCTGTGTCAATGCCGGCTTGTTTGCTGTCTATTCCCGACCTGCCCGCCCTGGCGAGTTCACTTCCCCGGCCGAATCCATGGCTATTACTGGCGCTCCAGCAAAAGCCATCATTGCTTCAACCTATCTCTTCGTCGCATCTTTTGCGCCCACTTGGGGTCCTGTCTCGTGGACCTATCCCCCGGAGCTGTACCCGCTTCGTCTCCGCGGAAAGGCCGTTGCCCTCTGCACTTCCGCCAACTGGGCTTTCAACTTTGCCCTTGCTTACTTCGTTCCTCCTGCTTTCGCTAACATTACCTGGAAAACCTACGCCATCTTCGCTACCTTTTGCGCGGCCATGTTCATCCACGTCTTTTTCATGTTCCCCGAGACCGCCAACAAGCCCCTTGAGGAGGTCGAGGAGATCTTTGACGATACCAAGCCCGGAGGTAAGTTATCACTCTACTATTTGAGAGTCCCTATTCTGTTCGTCAAATGTTAACCTTACCCCTTTCCTACAGCCATCAAGTACATCGGCACGCCCGCTTGGAAGACAAGAAACACACGCAATCTTACGCTCAAGCAGGAGCACAACGATACTCTCTCGCCAGAAGAGAAGGTTGGCTTTGAGGAGCACGCCCACAAGGAAACAACTGACAGATAAACACGACAACAATGCTCACTGCAAGCCTTTAAGGAGCAATCGATAACTGCTCCGATATACTCACCTTCGTGGTACGAAAGATGAGGGGCAATCTAGCTCGTGTGTTGGTCCGCGTAATATAGGACATCATCTGGGAGGTGTGCTGGATGAAGGAGAAGTTTCACAAATAACGCCGTCGTTGCGGTGGTTCGACGGATGTATGCTTAGGGGATATCAGCTACGGCAAGTAGTTTTTCATTAGCCCTAAATATATGCATCATGTCAAAGAAGTTCAAGGCTCGCTTACCATTGCCGTGGATGTTCTTGGCCTGTAACGGTCTTGTTGTTCCTGATGTTACCCCGCAAAGTTTTCTGCCGCTCACTCGATCACCGGGCCGTGCATAGCCGCATCCGTCAAGATGCCCCTGTCAACGAACTTCGAGATGCCTTTGATCCTTCACCAAACTAGGTAGGTAAGCAACACTTTTGCTTGGTGACGAGGCTCGTCCTCAGGCGATGTACCCTTGGCCAAGGATTGTACCCCAATTGACTAATAAGGTACGTAATCCAGCCCCTCGAGTTGGCTGCAGCAGTAGATCCTGCCTTGCCTGCATAGCAGCTTGATAACCGGTTGCGAGTTTTTGCCTAGGCATTAGCACCAACACGTTCGAAGCTCGTGGGAGGAGAACATGTATAAACAGGATGTTCCATGTTGTCATTCATGGAACGTGACTGTTCTCCTTCCCAGTCAACCAAGTACGAGCGTCACTTCATACTCCTTCTCGAGCAACGACGATGAAGCAGACGACAGGCGTTCTTTTGTTCGCTACGGGATCTTCGGCTTTCTACGCGGGTAACATCAACTACTTTTCGCCATCCCTCCACCACCCATCCCTGGGCATTTCGATTCCCAAGGTTGCGGCAAGGACGTATGAGAGCTCACCATGGAAGCCTGAGCAGCTCAAATTCACGCATGGCGTTGCTTCTGGAGACCCGTACGATGACAGCGTTATTCTTTGGACCCGTGCGGCACCAACAATGGATAACGACCACTCCAACACCACTGTCAGCGGAACCACAGGGCTGTTCAGCCATGAGACCGAAGAGTTTGTGAAGCTCAGCAAGTCCACAGTGTGTGTTGACTGGAAGATTGCCACGGACGAGAAGTTGGAGAAGGTTGCAGACGAGGGACGTGTGTGGACAAGTTCAGACATTGACTTCACTGTCAAGGTGAGAAGAATCGGGCAGGCATCCCGCAGCAGCGATGATGCTAACAAACTAAACAGGTCGAGGCAAAGAGGCTCTACCCATTCACTACGTACTATTATCAGTTTAACATTTGCGATTCGGACAAGAGCTCGCCCGTCGGTCGGACCAAAACACTCCCGGCAAGGGGCAAGAAAGTACCTTCTGATATCAAACTTGCCGTGTACTCGTGCAGCAACTATCGTAAGTCTCCTAGCCGGTTCATTCACTAACTCAGCTAACCGTTTGTTTAGCTCAGGGCTTTTTCAACGTATTCGGAAACACCGTAAGGAAGGATTCGGTAGACTTCATTGTTTTTCTCGGTGACTATATCTACGAGTATAAGAACGGACAGTATGGCTGGGGTGATGCTCTTGGCCGCATTCCGCAACCAGATCGGTTAACATTCACGTATGTTGGCGCTTCACCCACTACTTATGTTTCAGTTATTGACATGTGTCTAGCCTGTATGACTACCGAAGGAGGATTGCGACCTACCGTACCGACTTGGACTTGGTTGCCAACCACATGAAGTTTCCTTGGATTCAGGTGTGGGATGATCATGAGGTATGTGAGTGTGATCATTGCTTCGGAGCACAGTCTGCTAACAACAACTGTGGATCGCAGGTGGCGGACAATACGTGGCGTGATGGAAGTTCTTTTCTGCAAAATACCGAGGATTCATTCATCCGCGATGGCGGTGTCTCGACAGATAGCCGTAAGGCAAACGCTGTTAGAGCTTATTTCGAATGGATGCCCATCCGTCAGGTAGATATGGATGATAACCTGCGCATCTGGAGAGATTTCAAGTTCGGCGATCTATTCGACCTCATCATGTTGGACACCCGGCAATATGACCGGTCCATCACCGATATCTACACTGTAAGCCACTTCCGCATCAGTCCCGATCTTTTTTTCTTAACCCTACCTACTGACAATCCTGATTTGCGCCCTAGAACGTCGAATACATCAAAGCCATCTCCAACGACACCTCCCGCTCCCTCATGGGTCCCCGTCAAGAAGCCTGGTTCTACCGCACCCTCAAGCAATCCTCCAAGCGCGGCACCAAGTGGCGTCTCATCGGCAACCAGGTCGTCTTCAGCCAGCTGATCGTCAGCGACGACGTGGACCTGCCCTTCAACTACGACGCCTGGGACGGCTACGTGGCCAACCGCAACCGCACCTTTGCTACGCTCTACGAGAACAACATCACCAACAACATCATGCTAGCAGGCGATTCGCACGCCTCGTGGGTTTCCGATCTTGTCTGGCTCGACGGACCGACTGACCAAAACGAATACGACCCCATCACAGGCCGCGGGTCAATCGGCGTCGAGTTCGCCGGCAGCGCGGTCACGAGCCCCAGTCCGCTGGGGCAGAATATCACGATGAAGGAAACGGAGGCGAGCACGAAGTTGTTGACGAGCGTTAATAAGGAGCTGCAGTGGACGGATCTGTATTATAGGGGGTACTATGAATTGAGTATTGGGTATGAAGGGGTGAATGCTAGGTTTTATGGGTCGCCGGATATTAGGACTAGGAACGGGTTTGAGGTGTCGTTGGCGAACTTTACGGTTAGGGATGGGGAGAATAGGTTGCAGAGGTATGGAGAGGAGATGGTGGCGAGTGTGGATGGGAAGGTGGAGTTTGGAAGTTTGCAGAGGGGGAGGACGGTGACGACGAATTCGACGTATGATACGGAGGGGAGGAGGTGGTTTGTTTTTGGGGGGAAGTGAGGAGGTGGTAGGGAGGTGTGGATGGGTGGTCTGTTGATGAGAACAGGATTGGGAGGTAATGAAGGAGAGCTGGTGAGTGGGCAAAGGATATCCAGGAGGGGGTTGATCGAGAATAAAATCTCTCCTCGGTTTTCTTGTCCCTTTTTCTTCTTGGCCCATTCGTGAATCTAATAATTCCGCAGTTCATATGCCTGAAGAGACATGTCTCGGGCATCCGGCCCCTCGGGCTCGGACCGGGACTCTGACCTGGGAACATTAGTAAGTCAAAGGACCTTGGCTAGTGTTGCCCTCACTTGCGGCGAGCATGACTGAAACTTTACCTCTTTTTTGATATAGATATTAATTCCTGAAGATCGAATGAGGAGAATATGGAGGGTCGGACAACGATCACGCCACCGATGGCGGAGTCTTCTCCTCTTGTTCCATTATATATGGAAGTCTGTGCGTGGCAGAAAGCCGGTGACGTTGTGAGGGGAGTGGTAGTCCATGCGTCATCTTCTAGTCACCGCCCGTTCATCACCGAGCTTAAAACACAGAATACTCCCCATATCAACGGTCGACGTGGTATCTAACTCGACTGTTTCAAAAAAATCACGAGGACTACAGCTCATGATTGGGACTGTTTGTTTCCAACGATAGTTGCCAACCTCAATCCTGTCTAGTATCTGTTCAGTGACCCGATTACTTCCTAGTGATCAGACTGGAGAGACACCGAAATCCCAAACGCTTGAGCGTTTGCTACGAGACATACAGGTACGTCCTTCGCCGCATCACGGAACTGCTATTCGAACCGCCTTCAGAACCCATCCATATCGCCGCTTGCCAGCAGATAAAAATCCGGTGGAAAGGAAGAACGCCCAGGCCAGGTATTTTCCTCCAACAGCACCACATTGTCAGCATATTCCATCATTATCATTGCCCGAACGTGTATAACCTGCTGAAACACGGTCATTAAGGAACCACCGAATCGAAAATCATCCTACACACATTATCACCATGGCCGGGCAACAAAAGGCCAACGCCGCCGTCCCCTCTCCATCAACAAAACCCGCCGGTCAAGGTGCCGGTGTGGTTCCCGAGAACCTCTACCACACGACCCTGACCGTAATCGACCACCACGCCACCACCTCCGGCGCCATCAACAACCTGCACGTCCTCGGCACGCACACCACCTTAGACGCCGCCAAGGCCTTTGCCTACCACGATGCCCTCCGATCCCTTAACTACCAACCCTACGACTTTAGCATCTACGCCACCCGCGAGAGCTTCGGCATGCCTCTTGAGGGGCAACCACCGACAACAGCAGCACCAGTAGCAGCAACAGCCGCGGCACCCGCAACAACACCCAAACCGACAACAGCAGCAGCGAAAGTTGCGGCGGAAAACTCGGGGGCATACGAAAGTGGTTACTCTACAGACACAGGCGCCGCCTCCGACACCGACACCGGCGGCCCTCCCATCTGGCCCTACGGCGATGAAGTCCTAGTCTACGCCAAGGCGCGTGGCGGCCAGGAGTTTCTCCTTGGCGTCGTCGAGACGCCTAACACGGAGCATCTTGCTTCGGGAGGGGCCGTGTATGGGAATACTCCGGTGCTTCCTACCAAGTCCAAGTCCACCAAACCCACCTCCACTACCTCCCCCAAATCCAAATCAAAGCAGCCACTCGAGAAAGAGGAAGAGGCCGAACCCTCCGACACCGAACTCTCCTACGTAATCCAAACCAAAACCGACTACAACCAAGCCCTCGCCCCAGGCCAACCCGAGCCCACCACGCGCCCCCGTCGCCGCTCCTCCATCACCCGGCTCTTCCAAGCCTGCGAGATCGAGGCTTGTTTCCCGCACAAGAGCGACGCCATCGACTTTGCTCGGCGCTGGCTCGACTCCAAAAAGGATTCGGGCATGTTTGTGCAGTATGATGAACAACAAACACCGCGCTCTCTCCCGACTTTAAGCAAAGAAGAAGAAGAAGACAACGAAGAAGGGCAGCAAATTTGGCCGTTTGGAGAAGATGTGCTTGTTCATGCAGTCGCCTCGACGGGGGAGAATTATTGTGTGGCGGTTCGGACGGCGGAGGGGGCGAGGGAGAGGTTTGGGAAGAAGGTGGTGAGGAGAGGGGGGAGGGAGGTGCCCAGGGAGGAGGGTGGTGTGAGGAGTTATTATGAGGATAGTCCCAAGATTGCGACGTGAGTTGGGTTGAATTGGGGATGGTTGTATTCGGGGACAGAAGGGGGGGTGATGATGGCAGGTGGTGATGGGAGGTGGGAGGAAAATGGCAGGAAAATGGCAAGGAAAATGGGAGGAATGGATGGGGGTCGGAGACGTTCGTCGGAGTCAGATCGGAGACTGACTTGACTGCCCCTGGGTGGACAAGGAAGGATAATGGGAATGGAGCATAACAAACAAAAGGCGGTTCTAATGGGTGGGTTATTTACTGTGTATGCTATTTGATCGATCCTGGGGGGTTTGAACTGTGGGTTGGTTTTCTTTTCAAGGGAGTTTTCATGCCTGGATCAGGGGCCCATGAGTCGCCGTTGTTGGCGTTGGTACCTGTTTGGATTGCTTCGTTACGAATCGGGGAAAGCCGAGAATGGCACCAAACACGACCGTTGGGTTTGACGGCAATGCGAAACACAACCTCTTTCGGCTGGTTGCAGTAGGACGCTTTTCCACGTTAAGTTTTGGTTTTTGTTGGAGGTCGGGATCGAGTTCGAGTTGGTTGGAGATTGGAAACGATGGTTCCAGAATTTTACGTTGGTCGAAAAGAAGATAGAATGAGGGATGTTTTAGCTCGACTTGACCACCAATACCATCGATCGCTTTCTGGATTGCTTCTGGACTTGTTGTTGGGGGCCTAAACATCTCGTGTTCAGTTATTTTGGTCTTTGCTGTCACACAGCTAGCTGAGAACTATTAAACGCCACGAAATTGGGATAACAGCTATATGTGTATAGGACCAACCACAACTCGCTTGGCAATGACACTTGTGGTTTGCTTTTTTTTTGAGATCGAAAATAGTGATCGGTTTCGAAGTAGGTTATCGTAAAGCACCCGTTGAACAAAGACAGACAGGCACAACTTCGGTGCATTCGTATTCCCCCTCAAAATCCTGATCTAATGCTCGTGAACTTTCTTTGACGACCCTTTCCCGCAAGCAGAAAGAAAGCCCTTTCCCGCAAACTTCCGACCAACCAGCCCCAACCTCCAACATGACGCGTCTGAAAAAAAAGCCACCGTTTTGCGCCATTCCCGTGCATCCCGCGTTTCTCTAAAAGGGGTATATACCATGAAAGCAAAAAAAAAGTCCGACCGACCAACTAACCAACCAACCGGCCCAACCCAAAATTTCAACAAAGGAACGAACACAGACCCCGAAAGTGAGATCTCGGGTCCGACCCTAGTTGGTAGCCCGAAAAGAAGAATCAAGCATGCAAAAGATGCCTCCAACTCCATTTCCTCTTGCAAGACGCTGACGACCTAGAGACATCTTCGCATGCGAGAAAGTCTTCGATTCGCTGCTTGATGTCGCTGGGGAGTTTGTCAATGCTGTCATTGAGCAAGTCCAGACATACTCGTGACGCTAAAACCGGTGTTAGACTATATCTGTTCATGAGTCCGGGGGTTTTCAAGAGTATAATAATACGTACGGACAGAAGCGTTCTGCTCGCCCATCTCAATCGCAATGTTCATCCGTGTCGAGTTATAGCAGCCGAAGGTGCGATGAATGGCAAGCATACGCCGCCAGAGGAGCTGGGTGTCGATGTCGTTGTAGTCTCTCATGTCTTCGATGCTGGATCTCAAGGATCTTGTGCTTCGTAGTGAGCTTGATGAGGATGATCTGGAGAGCGGTGTGTGTCCGTCGTCGTGAGATGATTCGACCGGGCACGGAGTTATGGCGTCCTCGTTGTAAGCTGGTGATGATGATGCACGGCTGTAACTTTGTCGAGTGCAAATGCTTCGGAGGAAAGACTTTTGGCGAGTTCTGAGGGAGCCGGGTAGGTCTGACATGACTTGAGATGATCGAGCCTCGTCGAGATGAAGGCGAAGATGGGTTGTTGATATAGAAAATGGATGTATGTATATTGACGATACAGTTGGTTGGTGGATCGGCAGTTGGTTACTCGTGCGGCTAGAGCCGTTGGTTGAGATTATTTTTGGGAGGTGGAGGCGATCTGCTTTGACGAGTGCGTAGATGGCTGGGTGACGAAAACTGGTGACAAAGAGAGAAAATGGGAAGATGAGATAACAGGGCCGAAAACGAGGGCCGAAGACCATTTTATGAACCAACCGCGGAGATAAGAAAAAAAAGTTTGTCGTGAGAGTTTGCATGAAGTCCGAGACTGCCTGACATGGGGGATACCTACTCGAACTGAGCTGTCACCTTGTCCACTGGGACCGGATCGGCATCAGGGGTCTTGAAAAAAAGGCAAACGAGAGCTTGATCTCCAATGGGTCCCTGAGGCGGCGTTGCTAGCTTTGTTCATGCCGCCTCGGAGATCCATCACCCTTGAGCGAGGAGCGGAGGTGGGTGGGTGATCCGGATGGTCAAGTTGTCAAGGTGATGCCAAGGGGTACAATACGCAGCGGATGTTGGCATCGATGTTTGTTTGGAGCACCTTGTTGGCTGCTCTAGTCAACCGTGACTTGTGTCATGTAGATGGAATCATGGACCCAACTGTGCCGACCACGGCCGGCGCTTTTTGCTGACAGTGACTGAGTGTTGACGAGGGTGGAAAAGGCCATCATCCCCTTTCCGCTTGGATCTTTCTCATCGTTTTGCTCTCCTTGGGTAGCCCTGCGCCCTGCTTTGACAGTGATCAAACCGTGAAACTTTTTCTTTTCTTTTTCTTAGCTCACAAACAGGGGGCAATCGGGCAGCCAACTGACCAATAGCCGCGATCGGTTGCGGCATCCGATCAACGACCCTCACCACCACAAACCATCGACAACCTTTTCCTCGCTTTACTCGCTTTTAGTCGCCTTATCATCACTATTTATCAGCAGGGATGTAGACACTGCCGTTATAGCGGTGATGCCCGAGTGCCGACCTGCGAGCGGTACATGGCGACGGTGACGTTGACTTCTGCAACTCTGATGGCGTGTTGCTCCCATGACACAGTTTAGTGTCTTGACCGCCCATCATCTTCATCCTGAAAAAGATATCGCATGATGATTTCTGGTCTGGTACATGCATCGCCTTGATCTGGATGCGTCGACGTTGACGACCAGACGACCAGTCTGATCCACGGCAGGGATGGCGGAGCGGGGCATGATGGCGGCATCATCCCATCTCTGTCGTCCGGTTCGTTTCCGGCCGGGGTGTTTTTTGTCAGGGCGCGCAGATCTCGACCTGTGAGAGTTCAAGCTTTGCATTGTTGCAGTCGGAAAAGCTTCGGAACTTATATTTTTCGGTGAAGAGTCACAAGCGACCCTCCCGATCAAGATTTTCGTTTGCTCGCTTGCGTCCGTCCCACTTCTAAATGGCGATATTAGTATACCCAATCCTCGGTGTGCCTTTAGCAAGTGGCGGGACTCTCCGCTGAAAGTCCACAAACATCCAAACATTCAAAGGGATTCAAGGGCGCGTTCCAAATTTTCCAACGTTGATCCAGAGCCCATACAAATCGACCCCTGCGGTTGATATGCAGTAAATATGCAGTTGATCACACTGCATATGGCTCAAAGAAGACGTTCAGGAGCTTGGCACGTACCACGCTAGTAAGGGGGCCCTGCTACCCCCTTGTCCGTGGCTTTTCAGCCTGCATCAGCCTGCATGAAGTCTTCTGATTGGATGCATCGCTTCTTCGCTCGTTGATCCAAAAAAGCTGAGAATCTCAGCTTTTTTGCAGTTGATCGATGATGTCTCCTCCAACTTTCATTGCACCTCTTAGAAATTTCAATCGCTGATACTTTGAACTCATCGCTATCGAACGCAGCTCTTTTTGTTCATTTCTGAATACCTTCAAAATTCGACCAAATTGGGCTCAAAGTTCCCACCCTGGTAGCGCCAAGAAGGTCTTGGCACAGGGTACAATCGAGCTGCAGATTTTGGCTTTGTACTCGGATCAACAACTGGATCAACTGGCGGATCAACCATCGATATTTGGAACACGCCCCAAAACCCAAGATCAAGTCAACAAATGGAGAAGAAAGGTTTGTGATCTTGACTCAGATTGCGATCTCTGTAATCAATGCGCTCGGCACTTGGGGCGGGTCAGTTTTTAGGGCTGTAACAGTACTGCATTTCACGGCATCATGTGGTGTCGATTATCGCGCTTACAGTCTTGGCGCTTTCTTCCACCTTTTCTCGCCAAGTCCAGGTTCCAGTCGAACCGCAAGTATCTCGAGCAATATCAACGCTGAAAGAACGGAAACGCATCCACGAAACGCAGCTGGCCCAGTAGCCGGCTTTTTGCACTGCTTTGCTCTATATCGGGTTGCGGTGGGTGGAATGCGAAGGTTTGAAATTTGAAAGTTGGAAATTGAACTTGTAGCTGGTGCCGGGCTGGCACGGACTGTCTGACCCCTGTTTTGTAAGCGGAATAAGCAACTCCCATCATGTGCCCCTCTATTGCCTTTTGAAGCCGTCGATCAATCACTGCAATCGATGACTCCAACCCCACGCACCATGCCCAAGAGGGGCTCTGTACAAAAATTGTCAAACACCAAACACCAGAGCCATAAACACTTGCTCACAATCCAAGTCCAGGGCGGACTTCGCGCCTTCAATAGACGCGACAAGTAAAATAACATCTTATTTTGTTAATATAGCCAGTCTCAAGCCAGTGATACGGAGCAAAGCGGTTTTTACCGGGGCCATAATTGTCGTGTAAGTGGTCTGATCTCCTTCTTTTCTGTAGCCTACTTGGATATCCAATCTCCTCCTCCGCATCAAGCATGTGAATCATCTGAAAGCGGGGAATTCGACCATCATGCCGGATTCCGGAAACCTTATCTGCAGTGCGGATCAAAATGGCGGAGTATTCCAAACTCCGTTTCAAAGTAACCGTGATCTTTCATCGACGACAACAAGCTCCAATGGTCAAATGCTCGCCTCGCCCAAAACTCGGAATGCCCTCACGCACGCGCGCACCTCACAAACTGAATGAATTCCACTTCCCCGCTCGACTCCCATCACCACCACTCTCATCAACTTCCGCTCAAATCCAATCCCCCATCTTCAAATCCCTTCCGTCACCTCATCCACCTACAACCCAAGCTTTTCCAAAAACCTCACCACCCTCTCCCCAACCACATCATACGCCTCCTCCGGCAAATAATGTCCCCTCCCGCCTTCAACACCCACCACCTCCAGTTCCATCCCATCCCCCACCCACTTATCCCCCACCTTACACTCCTCCTTGCCCCCCTGCTTGCCATCGACAGTGACAGTCCCCCTCCAAACCCCCTCAACATCCAACCCCCCACCCCGCCCCAACTTCTCCCTACTAAACATCACCAGCGCATCAACCTCCACCCTCCTTCCCTCTTTTAGGTCTTCCACCTGCTCATCCACCTCCCTTTGCGCACCAGCTTTATAATCCTCACAAGTCCACCTCACCGTTCCCTCCCTTTCAAACAACTTGACATGCACTTCGACAGCATCATCGCTCATGATTCTTGCCGTGCTGTCGGTAGCTGAGCCAGCCAACCGTAAATGCCCACCGCGCACCCAGTTGCCCACCCCGAATGCTTGGATCATGGGCACGGCTAGCTCGACGTTGGCTAGCAAGGGCCAGTGGAAGTAGCCCTGAGAAACGGAGGGGGAGGAGAACAAGTCCCATTGGGATTTGGTGGGGAGGATGTCGAGCATGATGACCCCCTGCACAGACAGGTTGAGAGCCGAAAAAAAGTTGTTGTTTTCGGGGTGGGAGGAGGGGGAGGCGTCGACGGCGAGACGGTGGCAGATGCGGGCGCCGCGGTCGTGGCCGGCTAGGATTATTGGTCGGGGTGACGATGACGACGACGAGGTGTTGGTGCCGAAAACCTGGGAAAGAGCATCGAGCAAGGCCCGGCCGACGGCGCGCTTGGTGTGGTCCCCTGTTCCGGCGGAGATGGGGGTGCTGATGCCGTAGCCGGGGAGTTCGGGGATGAAGAGGGAGACTTTGGGTTGGAGGAGGGGGACGAGGTGGCGCCAGCTGTGAGAAAGTTAGCTACGTTGGCTGGGATTATGGGATGGACTGAAACCACTGAAACCATCAATCATGGTGAATGGTAGGTAAGGAAGGTCATATTAAATCATCGTCAGGATCAGGGTCAGTGGTAGGGTGACTAGTAAGTATTTACATGAATGCGGATTGAGGATATCCGTGAATCAGAGTCAAGATGGGACCGCCGTTGCCCAGGTCAGAGGTGTAGCTGACCACTTCCGAGCCGGAAGCAGTGGGCGTCACGTTCCGCTGCAGAGCGGGGAAGAAATTGCGGGTTTCGAGAGGCTCGGCCATTGTGGACGGTTGACTTGTAGTTGATGATGCTATTTTATGAGTCGACGGTTATTGAATAGGGGTGAGACGTCTTCTTATGTAGGACCAAGTGTCAGCCGTCAACGTGTGGGTCGAGAGGGGAACCTCGGCTTACCGTGATCTCACCGTACTGTGTAGATCCTGAATGACGGGTAGCCAAGACTTACATCCACCAGCTTCACCTTCACACTGAAATGGGTTTCACCCACGAAAACAAACCTCAACATCAGCTTGCGCAAGATCTTCCAAGAGACTTATTCTTGATTATACGCTCTCTCTGATATCTTCGAATGTTGATGTCCCTAGCTCGAGACACACAACCTCACCCACCGATTAGTCCTCCAGACTGAACTTCTCCCCAATAATATCCTCACTGAGCTTCCATAGTTTTCCCGCGGCCACCGCATCTTTGGCGTGCTCGTATGGGTCCGAGATCTGACAATCCACCAAATATAATCCTTTGGTTTCTGGATCGATTTTGTAGTCAACAAACGCACTTTACCCCATCCCAGTCTGAAGAACAAAAAAACTTACCACTCAATGCTGGATCCAGCGCCGCGACCAGAGTTGTCGAACAGCCCTGATCTTGGGACTTCCAGTACAGCCCCATCTTTTTGAATTGAGCTTGGATATCGGGGTCTTGGTCCCTGCCCAGTTCCGTGTCAATGGCTGTAAAAGACAATGATTAGTAAGTTGTAGTTTGTGAATTTATGAGTTGTGTAGCTGAACATACTTCCAGGATGAAGCGTATAAGCCATAATCCCCTGGCCATCCAAATGTTTCTGCAAATACAGCGTAAACAGAATGTTAGCCGTCTTCGACTGCCCATACGTGACCATGCCGTTGTACCCATCCTCGGTACACCTGGCAAAGGAACCAGGCAAAGGCTTGAAATGATCCTCCTCGGGCGGGACCTCTTTCGGCTCGAAGTTGTAATCGCTGAATCGGATGGGAGATAGCCCATGTCCAGCACTGGCAAGACTGATGATGCGCGTTGCACCCGGTGATGGGTTAGCCTTGGCCGCGTTCCGCAGTGGCGGCAGGAGCAGGTTGGTAAACAGGAAGGTGCCGATGTGGTTGGTGCCAAAAGTCATTTCGAGACCTTCGGGTGTGGCCTGGCGAGTAGTAGCGTTGATGGCGGCATTGTTGACTAGTATGTCAAGTTTGTCGGTCAAGGTTGTGATTTCTGCCACTGCTTCACGAATGGCTTTCTGGGAGCTGAGATCCAAGGTAACCAGATCCACTCTCGTATCGGGAAACTTGTTGCGGATTTGGTCTCCAACTGCTTCAAGCTTGGATTTGGTGCGTGATGCGAGGATCAGGAGGTCAGGCGCTTGCGATGCGAAGGCAAAGGCTGTGGCAGCCCCGATTCCTTTTGGACTGACGCCTGTGACGAGGACTGGCGAGGGACTGTCAGTTTCGATGATATCATGAGAACTCCGGGATGGGAACTGTTTACTTGTCCTTCCTCGAATCTGATCAGCAAACACACTCGCGACCTCGGTGCCTGTTGTCCGCTCATTGAACTCCGGATGGGAGGTCATTTTGGGACTGGATGTTGACTGACGCGATTGACGATGATCGTGGATTTGCCGCTCAGGGGATGGAGATTCCGTCAAGTCCTCGAGAAGTTCAATCACGATGGGAGCGAGGGGTTGACACTATGTAACATTCGATGGACGAGGCACCGGATGAAGTCGTCAACCCCTCATTGCTACCGGCAATTCATCGAGCCGGGATAATAGATTCCCGCCTTCTTTGTCCATTCTGTTTTGACGGGTCATTGGAATCGTTCAAGTGACAGTAATCACCAGATTTGGTTGCGCTTAAGCAGCTTCGTGCCCGTTGTGAGATCAAAGTTAATCGTCCGGTCCATGGTGAGTTTGCCTGTTACCTGTGAGCAGTGGTGAAGTAATCACAGATGTTCTTCAACACGACGAGGAGGACTGAAGTGAAATTTGTTGTCTGGCTGCGCGTTGAAGAAGACTTTAGGGTTGGGGAAGCTGGTTAAGATAAACATAATCTCAAGTGTCTGATTTAACAGAGCGGTAATGTGAGTGACTGGTATGTGTGGCTTACCGTCAGCATCAGTCCTACCTGCCTTGACCTAGCTGTATCGTAATAAACGGGTAAGACTGACAGGAAATGGATATCCATCATACTGGTGGTACTAGTTAGACTCACCCCTTGTCCTTTCTCGGTAGACGGCTTCCATCCGTTTTCCACTTCGACTTCAGTTCCGTCTCGGCTTCCAGTGCGGCCGCTTCAGTGATTACCCGAATACCTTAGGGCCGCAAGTAAGTGCAATCTTACATGCATCAGTCCGCTCTCCATGAAGTACACACTGTTTTCATGACACGGGTCGCACCATAGAGCTTACCCTCGACGGTAATAAACCTAACATCGTAATGGGCAACGGCCTCTTTGGTACACCAGTTGTTGGTTGTATGACTGTCCGCCTTGCCGTCGTCAGAACCATGTGTTATCATATCATCAGCCAGCCTTATAACGAGAATGTAAGCACTAGTTCTGCAACCATAAAGACGGCCGCAAGACTGTGGCTGCGATATGAAGCTGCCGCTGGCCTAACTCGGTCATTCTAGCGACTGTATCAATGGCTGACGGATGAGATGGCGCTCCCAAGTTACTATTCTCTCGCTTCCATGACGATCACATCATTCATCGGACGTCAACTGAGTGACTCCGAAGAAGTTCGGACGGCAATCTGCCAACATCTTCGAGCGTGGGTAATACGATACGAGAAGGAGCCTACATACACGAATCAGTGACAGACTATGAAGCATGTTGGCATGAAGAATATGGTCCAACCTCTGGATCAGTTGTCTTCCTATCTTCCTCTCACTGGTCTTCTACGGGGCATGGCTGGCTCACGGGCTTCCTGGCTACCCCTTCCCAGCCGAAGTGCCCGCTCCCAAATTGTACCCAAACATAGCCAACGGACTCGACAGGGCAGCTTCCCGTAATCGGTGCCGCTCCAATACCACCCGTGACCCTGCCACCGATCTACGGACGGGAAAGGATTGCCCATTCCGCATGTAAGGACACTTCATGTCTGTCAGCAACTGCAATAAAGCGGCGCAGCGGAAGACCGAACGAACCATACACTGAGTGAACGGCAATCAGATGAGAGCCAAGGGTTGTCTTCATGCCTGGCAACGGCACAGCACAGCACACAGTCCACCGGAGAACAACAAATCATGGGAATAGGACATGTAGACGGTCAAGTATCCTCTATCTGTCCCCGTCCTGTTATTGCAAGCGAGGGATCGGCAGCTCAACGAGGGTACATGGGCGCGGCTGGAGGGAGACCACGGTTGTAGGCAGGATATAGTGGTGAGAATGGAACCGAAACTGACTGGTCGTATAAACCGTGAATAGGTGGTCCAGGGTTGTCATACGTTGGTGAGAAAGATTTCCGAGTATGGGATTGTGAATCGTTGTACAACCCACCACAGACACCGCTGGGTCATTGACCATGGCATGCCGTCATCCATTGCAGGGCTGATTCCGCTAGCTTGATCGAGGTCAACCTTGCGAGACAGTCTAGTGTAATATCATAGGCGTGGTGAAGCACGGCAGTGCAGATGCAGATGGACTTTGTTGTTTCTTGTCCCAAAACGGACCCATTCGGCTCGTTGTAACGTATTGTAATCTTTCTGTATGGTTCATTGTGGTGCGACTTTGAGAGTGGTAAGTTTGGTGTTCATGCTGCTTGATACTAGAAAATAGTTCGAGAACAAGGGCCAATGGGTATCGACAAAGGATGTCTGTCCGTCTGAACAGCCATTGTCAACAAGATGATCCACGATTTGGCGGTTCAGGGGCCACATACCTTAAGCGGATCTGGCAATGTGAGAGGATGTGATCATGGAAGGTTCTTGGGAACCGAGGGAAAGAAGGTTGGATCTTGCAGTCTTTCGCGGTTGCGCTTTGCAATCTCAGCCTGCCTCTTCTTCAACAGGCGTTGTTGGTAGAAGGTACTGTGATGAGCGGATTAGTGAGATGTACTGAGCAGTTTCGGGCGAGGGAGAAGACAACGAACGGCTTGAGTTCAAATATCCTTGGCTCTTCTTCCACGGGAGGCGATTTGGTCCCTTCTCTACTTGTGCTCTGCGATAATGTCACCCGGTAAGTATGAGACGGCAGAACACACTGGCTGGCGATAGGAGGCTGTATGGTGTACAAACCCTAGAGTCCTTGGATTTTTCCTGGTCTTTCTCCTCCTTCTTTTCGTCTTTGTCTTTGCTCTTTTCATCATCTTTCTTATCCTTCTCTTTCTCCTTCTCCGCCTCCTTCCCCTTCTCCTTCTTTTTCTTCTGCTTCTCCTCGTACTCTTTCTTCACCCTCTCAACCTCTTCCTCTAGTTCCTTTTTCTTCCGGGCCTCAATAGCTTCGGTGTCAATCTTTGGCGTGCAGTATGCTGGCTCCTTGAGATGACTTAGACAGATATAAAAGAAATCCTTGTTGTCTGGGGTGATGAGGACGCTGGTGCTGAGCCGGTAGCAGATGTCGCATGACTTTGCTTTGGTCTCGGCCACCTTGCGGTGTGTATAAAGGTTTGGAAATGACATGCTCGACATGCTCGCTTGCTAGCAACGGATAATGATGATTGAGTCGACAAGGCAGTTGACATGGACGGCTGATAGTGACGCGGGGCTCAACTTCCACTCAGCACTCAACAGGGGACTGGGCTAGTCGGGGGTTAGGGTAAAAAGTGCATCGGTGATAAGATGGAGCTCCAATCCCGAGTCACACACAGCTCTCCCGCTCCACCGCGGGGAAGCTTTCAATCGCGCTAGGCCCGTTGCCGTGGCCCCTGTGCCTCGCGCCGTAGGGCTGATGCGGGAGCTTCAGTGGGCGTTATCGCTGTCGGAAGGTACCGGTCCAGTGAAAGAGCTCCCCTCTTGAGTCATCCTGCGATATTCGGCGGGTACAAACCCGACGTACCTTCCAGCTGTGACTGTTGACAAACCTTTTTTTATGTTGTCGTTTGTTGCTCTTTTTTCTCAATTGCTCTTTTTTCTCCAGTCTTCTCCTCATCCCAATTGACAGCCACGATTCGGTCCAAAGTCGCGCAACCATGAGTGGACAGGCCAAGCCCACCGAGAACATGCTCTGGGGAGGTCGCTTTACCGGTATGCCCCGACAGCTCTATTCTCTTCTCTTTTTCTCTCTGGGTCCTACACAGCAGCAGCTTCATCAAGCTGTTGTGGTCGCATTGGGCGGACCCGAGACAATGGTGCAGGTCATGGGCTAATCTTCGCTCGCAGGCGGCCTCGACCCCCTCATGGTCCAGTACAACGAGTCCATCCACTTCGACCGTGCCCTCTTCGCCCAGGACATCACCGGCAGTATTGCCTTTGCGCGCGCCAACGCCAAGGCTGGCATTATCACCCAGGACGAGTTCAGCAAGCTGGAGCAGGGTCTCCTGGCTGTCAAGAAGGAGTGGGAGGACGGTACCTTCAAGATCGTCCCCAGTGTCGACGAGGATATCCACACTGCCAATGAGCGTCGTCTCGGCGAGATCATCGGAAAGGATGTTGCTGGCAAGCTTCACACCGGTCGCTCCCGTAACGAGCAGGTCGCTACCGACATGCGCATGTGGCTCCGCGACGAGCTTGGCAAGATCGAGAAGCACCTCCAGGACTTCCTGAACGTCACTGCTGCCCGCGCCGAGCAGGAGATCGATGTCATCATGCCCGGATACACCCACTTGCAGCGCGCTCAGCCTGTCCGTTGGAGCCACTGGATGCTCTCGTACGGTTTCGCTTTCGCTAGCGATCTCGAGCGCCTGCGCGAGGTTATCAAGCGCGTCAACCGCAGCGCTCTTGGTTGCGGTGCGCTCGCCGGTAACCCTTTTGGCATTGATCGTGAGATGATGTCCAAGGAGCTTGGCTTCGACGGCCTCCTCTGGAACTCCATGGGCGCTGTCGCCGATCGCGACTTTGTTGCCGAGACCCTCCAGTGGGGCGCCATGTTGATGCAGCACATCTCTCGCTGGTCCGAGGATCTCATCATCTACTCTACTAGCGAGTTCGGTTTCGTCAGGTTGGCGGATGCCTACTCTACCGGCAGCTCGCTGATGCCCCAGAAGAAGAACCCCGACAGTCTCGAGCTGCTTAGGGGCAAGGCCGGAAGAGCTTTCGGTCACATGGCTGGCTTCATGATGACCCAGAAGGGCATTCCCAGCACTTACAACAAGGATCTCCAGGAGAGCTGGGAGCCCATGCTCGACCACGTCAAGACTGTTTCCGACAGCATCCAGATTGCCAACGGTGTCTTGGCTACCCTCAGCATCCAGCCCGAGAAGATGAAGGAGTCCCTTGACCCCTTCATGCTCGCCACTGACCTTGCTGACTACCTGGTCCGCAAGGGTGTTCCTTTCCGCGAGACTCACCACATCTCTGGCCGCTGCGTTGCCCTCTCGGAACAGACCGGTATTCCCATGGACAAGCTCTCATATGAGCAGCTTAAGGGTATCGATGCCCGCTTCGAGGAGGATATTTCCAAGGTGTTCGACTATGAGAAGAGCGTTGAAATGCGCTCTGCCAAGGGCGGCACCAGCAAGGCTTGCGTCCAGGAGCAAATCCAGGTTCTCAAGTCCATGATTGCCTAGATGATGAGTCTGGGCAGCTGGGTATGACGTTTATGAGGGATCTAATGGAGTTTTGCACGCAGCCGGACAAGATGCTGTGGTTTTACGATGTACAATAGCTATGAACTGGGACATATGAAGCGTTATGGGTGTATGGGTCTTGACATACCAGCAACTTGTAGCGTGGGATTGAGATGCGCTATACTTTTGGGCATAAAACGTTGGTTATACAATTTAAAACCATCTCTTTGGCGTTTAAACTCCTGATCGTCCCCGAGCCTGACCGGTTACAATCTAGAGAAGATTGGCATCACAAATAATGATGAAGCCGTGTACCCTAACCCTTGTAGCGGCTGAAGTTACACCCGCCTGCAGGGAAGAGAGCAAGTCATTTACGCGTCAAAAGCTGACGTGACGAACACCAATCCGAATGCCCAGAATATTAGAAAACATCCATCTTCCTGCCAGACACACTACACAACCTATTCTCGCCATTGCATCGCCGATTCTGCAGAGCTTCGCATAGTAAAGCCGTTGAACTTTGCGCAAATCATCTCCTTCTACGACACCCTAAATTGGACTTTTCCGCACTCAGACCACGACACAACCGCTGCCATGGCAGCCAAGCTCGACTCCCAGACACTGGGACTCGTCTTTCAGAGCCGACCCGACATTTTGAAGGGCATCCAAGAAGCTGCTGGTGTGTTTCTCTTTCTTGCGACCTACCCAGACTTGTAGTCGGCGGTCCGCGACCAATCTCATACAATGGCTTTGTCCTTAGCTGTTGGCTAACCTGGATGGCACCTTGTCTGATCTAGACTCTCCCGCGCGCATCGATCTTTTCAACACCATCGCATCTTTTGTGTACGAGAGGATAGCGAACAGCACATCCGAAGAGCCAGCGACGAAGAGAAGACGTGTCGAAGCACAAACAACCGGTTCCAATGGCGCAGCTCACCCGATTGCGGGCTCACAAGCGGCAGTGCTCGGTGCAGACGCCGCCGCCGCCGAGCCAGTACTCCTAGAGATCAAGGATATCTCCATTTCCGTGCCCCAGCGCAAGAAGTACGACTTGTGCTTCACCAAGAACTTTCTCTACGCCCGCGCTTCAGGCTCTCCGGTGCCTGTACAAGGCATCGTGTATCCCTGGAAAGACATTGGTTCGTATTTCGACCGATTCCAACAGAGAATGACTCTTTGACTGACAACTTTCCAAACGAACAGAACACGCCTTCTACCTCCCCGTACCCGACAAGTCCCAAGTCCAACATAACTACGTCCTCCTACCGCGCAACAGCTACCTACCGACAACCAAGTCCCAACAGCCCGCCGACCAGCAAACCCAACAAGCCACAGCGCCGCTCGAGCCGCTCGTCTTCACCATCCCCTCTACCGCGCCCAAGCCAGGCACCATCACGGGCCCCTCGGCCGCCGCCGCCGCCCCCGTATCCGACAGCTACGCGACGCTCTTCCACTGGGCTTTGACCACATCGCTGCGCTGCGCCGGCAACCACGCGTGCGAGCTGGTCTCGTCCGACCCCAAGGTGTTCCACTCGGTGGCGCGCCAGGCGTACCGCCCGCAGGAGAAGGCGGTGCACGTCAAGGCGTTCCGCGGCAGCAAGGACGGCTTTCTGTTTTTCTTGCCGACGGGTATCCTGTGGGGGTTCAAGAAGCCGTTGCTCTTTTTGCCGCTGGACAAGATTGTGGCGGTTAGTTATACGAGCGTGTTGCAACGGACTTTCAATATTGTGGTGGAGTTGGAAGGGGTGGAGGGGAGTGAAGAGGGAGGGCAGGAGATCGAGTTCAGCATGCTGGACCAGGAGGATTATGCAGGGATTGACCAGAGTTATGTGAGGAGGCATGGGCTGGCGGATCGTAGCATGGCGGAGCAGAGGAAGGCGAAAAAGCAGCTGGCGGAGAATGCGAAGAAGGCTGCTGCGGGTGGTGGGGAAGATGGCGAGGGTGGTGGTGCGGATGGGGAGGCTGATGATGGGTTGACGGAGCTGGAGAGGGCGCAGAAGGAAGAGGAGCAGAGGTTACAGGATGAGGAGGATGAGGAGGAGGAGGATTATGATCCGGGTAGTGATGGGGATAGTGAGGGCTCGGGGTCGAGTTCCGAGGAGGAGGAGGAGGGGGATGGTGAAGGAGAGGGTGATGAGGATGACGATGAGGATATGGGCGAGGGATTGGAAGGTGAAGAATAGCCACCTTGGATTTCAAGCATTTTAGTCTTTTTCTGGGAGGTGTTATCAAAAGGATAATTCATTACGAAACCAACATAAAGAGGTTCTCTTGGTTCGAATGCCATCAAATCGGCCGTTACTTGAAGACTGATAGAGTCTGGTATAGCATACTGTCTGCAGAGTCTTTGAACACATACAAGATTTCAACAAGCATGTGATTTGCTCATTGGTCTTTGACAAGTACATGAATCAGCTCGTCTAAACAGAATCTCCTTGGAGAAGGAGAAAAGAATAGCAAGAGCGAGTATCATCGCATCGAAAGCCGGACGTGTCCCAATTCGGTATCCCGACGCCGATGCAGTCAGTATCCCACCAACCTGTCATGTCATATCCTGACAAGGCGAGTCTTGCACCGTTTACAATACCTACACCTTGTCCTCACCGTTAGGGTACCAACTGTTCGTAGACACCGTTTGACGACTCCATCACGCCATCCATCCATCCACCCCTAGGCCCTGATCGAGTGCCCGCTGAGCAGCGTTATAGAGATGAAAGTTAAGGGATTTTGTGACCTTCTTAGTGTGCCTCCACTCTGTGGCGATATAACCGTACCGTATAAGGTCCACATTTTCGTATCCACTATAGAGGCTTACCCTCTTTATTTAGCATCGCTAAGTCCGACTAACCGCCTTCGTAAGGGGAAGCAAGGGAAGCACTATATCTTAGTAGAATGTATAATAATGTTTATTGGGTGTACTTCATTACTGTAGCAATATTATTAATTCGATTATTGTGGCGGCTAACCGGGAAGGACCGCTATATAATAATAATAACGAACTCTCTAATTTTAAGGAGGAAACTAACGACAATAAACTCGAATCTTTAAGTAACTACAATAGTGAAATTATCGCTAATATAGTAACCAACTACTCTATCTACCCTATCTCTTTTACTACTTTTTTTTATAGGGAAAAGAAATTACTAGGAGCCTCCATTACTAGTATTATATCCCTAAATCCTATATTTACTAATATCACTTCATTTAATACTATTATTAATCCTAATTAATCTACTATACCTATCGTTATACTTATTCCTATTCTAATTAAAGGGAGGAGGAAGGGGAAGGGGAAACGGGTAACCTTACTACTAAGCAGCCAACTTATCATTAAAAAAAAGAAGATTACTTATATTAAAGGGATAACTACCCAATTTATATTCTAGTTCCTCTAATATAAGAACGAAAAGATATTCGCTAATATAAAGCGTAAAATATATATACTAATTTAAATTTACCTCCATACTACAGCCAAAAAAAAAATAACCCCCGTAATACAGCGGCGTATAGTAACCGACCCTAATTTAATTCTCATTATTACCTCCTCTTCGAATACCCTTATTAAAATACTATTTAATAATACCTATTCGACTCCGCTATCCCGTAAATAAAAAAATAAAAGTAACCAATATTATCGGGCAATCTATAATCGCCGCTATAATATCGCTAGCAAAAATCCTTAACGCAGGCAATTTATCTATAACTATTATAGACTTCTAAAAAATATTGAAAGACGGCTAAAAAAGGATAATATAATAAAATATATTAAAAAATTAATAAAGGAGCTATTAATTACTAGTATATAGTCAAATTTTAACGAAGAAATTAAAAAGATATATATAGAGGAATAAACTAAGTAAAGTTATATACTAGTAAAAAAGGCTAAAATTTTTTTTTTTTTTTTTAAAATTATAAAATAAAAAATTAATAAAGGGTGTAAATACTAAATTATTATACTCAACGAAAATAATCCATACTTTTGTATATATTTTAATACAACATTTATCATATTAATCAAATTATTAGTAAAAATCGTCTTTTTTCATCGAAGTTAGAAAATTTTAATAAAATTTCATCGATTCAATAGGGTATATCCTTCTAATTCTCCCTACCTTACCCCATCTCTCCCTATCTCTCCCCTCTATTCTATTTTATCGATTCTATCGACTCTATATTGTATTGCGACTTCGTTTCTAAGTAATTTAATTATTAAATATTAATTCCGCTACCTTATAGCGTATTTTATCGGATTATTTACCCTCTAAACCAACCGCCCTCTCTTTCGCTTTTTCTATTAATACGAGGTCCGCCGCTATAAGAATATTCTTACCCAACGTATACTTTAAAATAAAATTATAGAGACCAATGACCGTATATATAAATAAGACCTACTTCGGTAGAATATATTTGGGCAGGGTAATACAAATAATATATTAGCGCCGCTTTAAGTATTTAAAGACCTATTTAACGACTATACGTATATAGGCGTAATATAGATTATATAATTCTTTAATAGTCTTTAAAAGTATATCCGCATTTTTCTAATCTTCGAAATAATATTTAATAATTAGAAAAAGTACGATAATTCCCTAGCAAATACCAAACCCTATATTTACAACGTAATATCGGTTACTAAAGATACGAAATAACTGGCTAAAGGTATAAATTGCGAGAAACGCGTCGTTAATCGAACCTTCTATACCAGTTAGAACGTAATAAAAGGAATAATCGAAACTGATAGCGGCGAAAATATTCTAAATAATAACACCCTTATAATTACGCTAATAAAATTAATAATCCTTCTTAATATAGGCCGCGATATAAGTTCTATTAATAGCGCTAATATAATTATTAAAAACATTCAATTTAAAATCGAACTTAATAATAGAATTAAGGAAATTATTATTTAATAATCGAATAAATATTTAATAAAACTTTATTAAGCGGGGTAAAAAATCGTTAACAATTAAAAATATAGAATTCTAATTAATTTTAAAGAAGTATATAATAATTTTCTAAGCGGCTCCGTAAACTATTATATAGAATATAACCATAACTTTCTAGTCAATAATATAATATCTATTATATTCTAAATTAATATTATTACGTAACTAAATAACTAAAATACTAAATACTTCTTTATTCATTCGAAAAAATCTTTAAATTAACGGTTTAAATTATATGATAGGGTACGTATAACCTTTCGTATTACTAGCGGTCTAGAATCGTCGCTATAAACGGGAGTAGGGTCTTTTTGAAGGATAATACGAAATATAGAAGTAATAATAAAGGTAAAGGCTATACAATTAACTCTACTCGAATCTATATCGACGTTATTAAATTGAATAGAATAACTAATTTATATAGTATTTATAGTATTACACTATTTATAACATCAAAATCCCCAAATTAAACTACCCCGCACCATAGTAGAGCCGCATTTTACTAAATTATCTACACTTTAATAGCTATACCTTTTATTTAAATATAAAAACGCACTTTTTACAAAAGTTCTAGCGACAGTAGAATATAAGGATTTTAATACTATGAACGTTGTAGAGTCTAAGCATCTATTCCTTATTAGGAAGGTATAAATGCCTACATTAGTCGGTACCTTATTGACTAGGGTGAATAGCGTTATAAAAGCTTGGCTATACCTACCTAATGCCAGATCTGGGCTAGCGAGTGAGAAAAAAATAAAATACCCATATCAAAACCCTAACTTTGGCGGTCTGAAACGCTGCTCAGAGGGCACTCCATTAGGGCCCTAGGTCCTTAAACTTTTGTTTCTTTGTGGGCCAAACATCAACCTTTCCAGTTTCTTTCGTTCTCCGTCCTGAATGCCAACACTGCCCTGAAAGCCTAGAGGTACATACCTTGGCCCACAGGCTCGGTCACCCACATTCCGACTTACCCTTGCCAGGCAGCCAGATGGTGTCTTCATGTGGGATGGGAGCTCATTGCCCTCGAAGAACGCTTCAGAAGCGGGAGCCGAACGGACAAGTTCTTTCTTCTGTATAGGGGGTCACGGGAGGATGGAAAGACCGAAGGGACGAAGAAATATTCTCTCACATTGACTTATACATGGCCATGCATTGTGTGTTCCTTTAAGCAAGTGTCGATCCGGATCGCGGGGGGGGTGGGGGGGGGGGGGACACACAGTACATAATCTAGGGGGAGGGGAAATACATTGGAGGAATGAAGGTGACCATTGCAGTCCCATCCTGCTATCATGAGTATCTGAAGAAGGTATCGGGAGCTGTTTCATCGTTCGGGCTTTTCACCCGGACATCCTCTTTCCCCGACGTTGTTTTGCCTCGTCTGCTTAACCTTGTGTTGTGCCATGGAACTCCATAACCCATCCGCTCCCCGTACTAGCCAAAACTTGTTGCCTTGAACGGATGTCATAGTAATTCGAAAGAAGTTCAATCTGACCAACCGATGATTGAAAAAAGAGCTTGTTGGTCCTAGCAGGTCGATCAACCGCTTCGCTGCCGATACTGATGATGATGATGCTGATGCAGTGAACTTTTTAGTCTCATGGGTGCCTGACGCCTGGCTAACCTGGTGTAATTTCCCGACGGGAAGTTTCTGTCCTTGTAAGGCTGACCAACAACGATGACGGCGCCGACAAAAGTTTTGTTGCCTCGGATAGTCTTGCCCTTACCCATGCTTTTATCCAGTCTGGTCCAGTGATGCACACAACGCAAATCAAATCAAATCTGGGATCTGATTTGATTTATTTGCAAGATTTTGAGGTCGGATTTGCTTTGTTTACAGTGATATTTGATTTGCTTTGTTTAGATTTGACCCGGAATATCGTTTTTCCGGTACATATTATTCTTCCAGTGCCTATATCCAATTGTACAATACCATCTCTAGCATCTAGGAACGCCAAATTTACTACCAATTCTTACACAGAGCGATACGCTCGATAATAGAATATAACAAATGATATCTACGTTAACCGACCACCAGTTTAATCTTACTAAATACTCTCTCCACCTCTAAAGATATCGTAAGTATAGTTAGTATATTGAGGGCTATAAGGGATAATTTAAGGAATTTATTTTATTATTTTAATTCTAACTACTATAGTACTAGGTAGATAATATATTCTAGTAGTAAATTTTTCTCTATAATACGTATAGAAAGGTACGAATTTATTTCACCGACGTAATAATTAACTTTATTGCTAGAGAAATTAAAAAAGACGTTTTTAAATATATATTTCCGATAGCGCGCTTCTTTTTCTATATAAATTCGAGCCGGAGATTAGAGTGGTTATTATTATTTAGATTATAATATTGGTCGATGAAGATCTATTTGAAAGTTTCGAAGAGATTAGCTCCCTTAGCCGTATTATAGTAAGAATAGAGGGCTCGCTTACATTTAGTAAAGTAT